GTCATCTGTAGGCAACTGGATGTACCTTGAGACCATGGTGTTAGGTGAAATAAATCAGACACACAAGCTTATGACATGGTTTCTCTTTATTAGAAATAAGGTACCTCATTGTCTGGGTGTGTCACAGGATCACTCTTGCTTATTATGAATTCAAAGGATCACTCCTGCTGGTTGGAATGTTGACTTAGTGACTGGAAGGTTAGCAGCCATTTGGGGCCAGGAAGGGACTTTGGGGAAGGAAGGAGAGATCTGTGACTGTACAGTGGAGGCCACGCTAGCCCTGGACTGATCACCTCTAGGCTTCTTGAAAGTGAAATAGAAAATAAGCTTCTGTCATGTTTTAAATACTGTTATTTCTCTCTCAATAGCTAGATAGCCAAACCTAATAGATACTGAATTTCTTCCCTCACCAAGGAAATCTTTACTGACGGCCAATTTAAGTGAGGTGCTTTTGACTCAATGCTAAATAAATAAAGATGCATCACATAAAGACCTTATAATTTGGGGGTTCACAGCTGAGTCAAGAGAAATGGTCATATAAATGAGCATAAGACTAGGAGAAGCACTAACAAATCATGCATCAGTCCCACAAGTGGACAGAGAGGACAGGAGTAACTGACCTACAACACCTGGAGGTCTTATTTACCCTGCCTTCCCCATTGGTGTTTCTAAACTCCAACCAAAACAATCTGCAGGGCTTGATGATGAAAAACAAGAATTTCTGAGAAGTGTTGGGAATTCCTAATATAAACTATTCATAATATACTTCCAACATCATATACTTTTATTTATTGTGAATATATAAAAAACTAGTAAGAAACAATTTTGGGGTTGGGGATTGAAGCCAGTGCCTTCACACTGAGTTACAGCCTGTCTTTATTTTTTTTACCTTGAGACACGGTCTCACTAAGTTACTGAGATGCCCAAGCTGGGCTTGAACTTGCATCCTTTTGCCTCAGCCTACCGGAGCGCTGGAATCACAGGCACACACCACCTCCCCTGGCTCTCCTATTTATGCAGATCCGCCACCTGCAGTGAGCGCTCAGACGCAGAGAAATGCCCATGATTGTTGCAGAGGGGCACTGGAGGAAACGCAGCCTTAGCTCTTCCTGGCAAGGTGCCCAGGCTACACTGAACTTATTAAATTACCCCTGTAAAGTCACGCAATTCTAGGAAAATATCTTACTTCTTGGAATATTGCTTGAATGATCTCGAGAAAGTACACTAAATAAATAATTCTTCCCAGCGTGCATTTCATTTGCTTTCACCGTGACTCATCAATTAGCACACAGAATCACAGCTGCGTGCGGCCATGGCTCCAGGCAAGCTGACAGCTGACCAGATGGTGGCTGCCTCTCTCCCGTGCTCTCCTGCTCTGGTCCCCGGAGACGCCCTGGCCTGGGATCCTCTTCCCTGTGCTCCGGGAACCTCCAACATTGCTCCTGGCAGCCTCCATCTTGGACCAGAAGCCCCCACGGAGGCCGGAAGTCCATGTCTCGTTTCCAGCACTGGTCTCCAGTGCCCACCCAGTGTGGGAACAGAGGGCACGCTCAGTCTCTGTGTGCTCACTGACCTTTCCTGGCTGCAGAAGTGAGATTTAAACGCAGCTTTGGGGGTCGCACTGGTGAGAGGCTCCTGGGCCCTGGCATTAGAACTCTGCAGACGTGTGCACAGGGAAACCCAGATTCCCAAGGACTACAGTGAATCTGCGTGGCAGGGGACAGAGGCTTGCAGCAGGGATGGCACCAGCCCTGGGAGGAGTAAGGCCACCTGGGGAGTGTGTAGATAGCAGGCATCTGCTCTCCAGTTCTAGCCGCTGGGAAGGCCAGGGGGCCTTCTCCTTAGACGGCATCATCTCACTGAGTCCCCATGTGGCACGACAGAGGACAAACAGGCCCCTCAGCGCTTTCATAAATTCTGATCACACTCATGTGGGCTCTGCCTTAAGGGGGTGACCTGGCCCAATCACCCTCCTTGGAGGGCCCCCCAGTTAACGCTATCCCACGGGAACTAAGTCTCAACATACGAATTTCGTTGGCACACGTCCATTCAGGTGTCCCCACGGTAAAATAAGGGCACACACAGGAGCTTGTAAGTACCCGTTATTACTGTTATCACCAAAGAGTAAGTAGAAGGGGTGTGTTATACTAAGATGCTGAAAAATTAAAATAATTGATTAAAAGATAATTAACAAAAATAGCTACTTAAAAAGATAGTTATTAGCAATATTGTCATTCTGTACTGAGCTCATTACCCTAGTAAACAAGCACCAACCACATAGTTATAAATTAACTGACCGCATCATTCTGCTGTTCTGTAATGCGTCATCCCCCCCACCTTAGTGACCTGTTTGCTGTGTCAACTTTTGTTCCCCTTGTAAGAGACAAATGATGCTGTGTCAACTTTTGTTCCCTATAAGAGAGACAAATGTTCCTGGAATTGGCAGACCAAGGGCTATGAATCGGCTAACCACCCACTGTGAAATGCCTCTGACCTCAAGCAAAGGGGAACAAAGGCCCACCTTGTTTCTGATTCTCATCACTATGTACTTAATGATCAATGAACTAATCGTAAATGAACTATAAAAATCAGGGAAAACTCTAACTCAGTTGCACAGCTTTGCAAATTCCATCTGCACTGTGTGGCTGGGCCAGCTAAAATAAAAGCGCTTCTTTTAAAAAGACGTCTTGCTCCGTTTGTCATCTCGGGGCCTTGTTTTTTGGGTGAGTTACAACAGGAGAACCTGGTCACCTTTGTCCTGGGTGACAGAGGCCACTCTGCATTGAAAGCCCATCATCAGAACTGCCAAGGTCTCTCCCACGTCCCTCTGTCCATGATTCACAGGGTGGCCTCAGCCCTGAAGGACACAAACCTGCCCTGGGGGCCTTCAGTTTCTCCTCTCTGCTTCCAGACACTGGAGGCAGAGCAGCACAGACAGGGGCAACTGGGGAAGACGCCTCCCGCCTCACAGAGGTCTGAGGTAACGAGGCGGGAACAATCATGCACTCAACACCCATCCCAAGCCGCTGTGCTTTGGCCAGACCTTCAGGCACCAAGTGGGAGGGGAGAGAGTCCCAGGCTCAGGTGGCCTCAGGCCTTCAGCTGAGCACCTTCCGTCTCCTCTCCTGGTGTTTGGACCCCTGTTTCTGGCACATTTGAGTCTCAGCTACAGCACCTGTAAAACGGGACGCTAATTCTTGCGCCTCTCCTAGCTGGGCCCGTGGGCCGACTTCGTGACCCCTCTCTCCTCACGCCTCCAGCACACCTGACCGCTGACCATCGTCCCTGGTGGTCTCACCTCATATCTTCCCAACAACAAGAAAGAACCCCGCCACCCTCCCTGGCCTGGTCTACAAGCCCCCTGTGGCAGGTGTCCCTCAGAATTCGGGTCTTTCTTCTTCTTTGTCTGCTCAAGGACACTGGCCACTTCCCTCTCCCACATCGCCCACCGTCCCCAACTCCACTGGCTCATTCTCACTCGTGTGCCAACAATCAGAAGCAGAGTTTTCTCACCTCTCCTTATCTCCAGCCTTTCTCTGGTTCTCTTTAAAAACATAAAGGGAGTTGGGTTCCTGTCATCTGCAGCTGAAAAGTCCTCATTAACACAGGACAGACCATTGGGGGCCTGTGGGACAGCTTGGGATGGAAGTTGGCTTTCTCCTCCCACAGCAAAGTCAACCAAGGCTCAGAAAGATTGAGTAACTTGCCCGAGTCTTCAGAGTCTCCCAGCTGAAACAAGCAAATAGACCAAAGACCTCCCTCTGCTCACCATGCTGGCAGTTACCTGCCCTGTGGCTCCCCCGCCCTGTTTTTTGGAAAACCTGTGAAAGAGGTGTGCTGCGGCACACCCACAATCCCGATACTCCGGGAGGCTGAAGCAGGAGGGTTACAAATTTGAGCCCGTCCTGAGCAACTTAGGGATTTAGCACGATCCTGCCTCAAAATTAAAACTTAACAAGGCTAGCGATGTAGTGCAGTGTGAAGGTTCGTATTCAATTCCTAACACTGGAGATCCACGTCTGTCTTCCCACGTGCCATCTTCCAATAAAGCTCTCCTTGTTGCATTTCTTCCCCAGCTCGCCAGTGCCCTGCCTGTGGCCACATGCAAAGGCCAGTCCCCGCCCTCACTCTTGACCTTTTAGAGGGCCTCTAGGATGACCTGCTAGCTCCCTCATTAGTGTCTTTGAGGACTAGTGAATCTCGATTGGGACTCAGGCCTCCAAGCTCCCCAGTTTTCTATCTGTATTCAGTCCTGAGAGACCTCGTCCCTTCTCGTGGTTTAAGGGCCACCCAGTTGCCAGTGGGTGCTCGGGTTTACAGCACTGACCCAGTCTCTTCCCTGGACCCAGGGTGGTGTGCAGAAGTCCTCACCTGCGCCGCCGTGCTGAGGTCTGGAAGGCATCATAAATGCACTGTCCCCAGTGAGCAGGCTGATGTTCCCCCAACCAGCTCCTCCTTCCCACCTCAGTAAAATCGCAGCCTCTGCCCAACTGCTCTATTTCCCTTGCCCCCTGTGACCAGTCCACTTTTATTCTTTCTTTGTTATTCTTTGGTCCAGTCTACTTTGGGACCTTGAGCAGATTTCCTTTCCTGCTCACGGCTTCTACTATTACTCGGTTGGAGGTCTTGCCTGGGTTCTCTATGTTCTGAACAAAGAACACACCGGACACCCAGGAGTCACAGCAGGATCTGTGGTCTGTTTGAAAAGACAAAAGTCACCCCACAGGAAGAGCTCCCAGCCCGGAGGGGCTTGGTGCAGAGGTGAGTGGGACTGAGGGTCTGGTCTGGAGTATGTCACTGCAAGGGGCCGTCCTAAATCTGAATAGTCAGTGACATGGTAATTAGGGTGGACGCGACCCACGGTTGCAACAGACTGCTGGTGCACGACCAGAGACTCACCAGGCATGCGCAGTTACCTAGTTACCTATTCCCACCCGCTTGTGTCCTGGTGCCGAGGTAATGTTTAACTCAGAAGGTGGATCTGACCCAGAAAGCAGCTCTAAGCTGACAGACCTTTTTCTTTAATTTTAAAGAGAGTAAAACTAAACAGAACAAAGCAGGTCAGAAGAAAATAATGTAACACATTTCAAAGCAAGACAACAGGAGATCTTCACTGTCTATCATATTGTTTCTTGTTTTCTTCTAAGTAGTTGTCCGTATCTTCACACACAGTGAATTCATACACAACAAAATAGTATTAAATTGATCAGAACAGAGTGACGAAGGTGTTACAGGCCTTCACAACCAGACAACAGGGAAGTCAGCAATGCCTGGCGGCCCCTTCTTTCTCTGGCCTTTGCTTAGCTATCTTGTGCCTAACTAACCCAGCCCCAGACCTTGATCCACACCTGTCAGTCTCAGGCTTGAATGGTCCCAACAATATTCTCTTTAAAGCCGGGGGAACTGGTCACTTGGTTACCAGGTTAGAATGAACGGCTTCTCACCATACACTGCCCACCACCCGAAGTCCTTCCACGGACGCAGGTCCCTCTGCTACCTGGTGGTGGGAATCTCTTCAACTTCTTCTCCCAGGCTTCCTTGCTTACCCTTCACCGACCACACCGGCCTTTCCACTCACCCTCAAGCTGCTGAAGATGTCTCAGGACCTTAGCACTGGCTCTGCCCTCAGATCTCTGACCAGTGTCAGCCGCCTCGAAGAATACTTCCAGCTTAGCACACTAGTAACATTCCTCTGCCAAATGTTGGCACGTGCTTACCAATTTGCATTTGTTTGTTGTCATCTCCTCTATTCAAATATAAGCTGCATTAGAGCAAAGACGTTTATTTGTTTTGGTCACATCCTCGGAGTCTAGAGGAGTCCAGCAAATGGTAGATGCTGCACCGTAAGTGAATAATGTGAAGATCACAGGTGCCACTCTGATATGAAGTGACATTTGTCACCTTTTAAACACTGGAGCTCTAATCACGTGTGAGTTACGGTAACATGCAGTCTATCCCAGTAAATATTTATGGAGCAATGCGGCAGGTTGCATTCGAGATGCTACAATTACAGAAATAAATAAGACGAGGTTCCTTCTCTAGCTGGAGAGTCAGGGTGAGAACAGGCACAGGGAAGTGTTAGCTAGCTAAGGGCTCCTGAAGCATAGTAAAGGACCAGAAGATTTAGTGTGTGTGTGTGTGTGTGTGTGTGTGTGTGTGTGTGTGTGTGTGTGGTGTCCCTGTCACTTTCCTCATCACTGAGGTGTAATACCCGACACCCACAGTTTAAAGGAGAAGAGGTTTTCTCTGGCTCGTGTTTTAAAAGTCTCGCCGCTTGCCCAGCTGGCTGGCTCCAAGGCAGAAATACCACAGTTAAAGGTCTGAATGGAGAGCTGCTCACATCCAGGGAGCCCCAAAGCAGACAGAGAAAGGAGCCAGAAAGGGAGATTAACCTGCCAGGCACAAGCCCAGTGACCCACCTTTAAGTAGCCCCTGCAAGTCAGCTGTAAATCAGCCCCATGATCCAATCTTCTTACAAAAGCTCTGCCTCTGAGCACATGAGAGTTTTGGGGATCAGTCTTGATCTAAAACCATAACAAGGAGACACCAGCAATGAAAGGCTTTGCAGGGATACACACACACGCACACACACAGAGTCACATTAAGCTGGGCTTTGCAGGTTGCAGTTGGGGTCAACGGAGGAGAACTGGGGAAAGCAGCCCAATGCATTTCTTTACCACGTGGACCCCCAGCGCCTTTCCCCAAGCACCTTCCCTGGCAGGGCCTACCTCCTTCCTGGCTTTCTCTCTTATTTGCCAAGTTCCAGGCCTTCTTCGACCTGGCCCTCCTGCATCCACTTTTGTGTCTCACTGCCCACCTTTCCTGCTGCATTTCAGTGGGAAGGTTACAATTCCTCGGAGCACAGAGGTGTCAGCCCTCCAACCATCCGCCTGTGCACTTCCGGCCACCGGCCTTGCATTCCAGATACAGTCCGCTGGATGGCTGAAGTTCGCCCTCACTATACTAGAAAGGATACTTTCTCAATGAAGCATTTAAAATTTTTTATGCTTATCCAATGTTCTTCTTACACAGCCCATAATACCAGTAAAGACAGCAAAATAAAGGAGAGACAGTGTGGAAGGCGCAGTGAGTGAGTGGAATGTGTTTTTAAAAACTATTTTATGTGTGATGTGCTTCGCATTTCATTTTGAACTTGTTTTGTATTTGGTATCTAGTTTCCCCTAGAAACGTTATAAATGGTACTTCAGTGCCAAGAAATTACATGAAGGCTATTTAGCTCATCATGTAGTAATAAAGTGCAGAAAAATAATGAAATGTAGTTTCAAGCAAAATAGTGTAACAACATGGATTCAACAATTTTGAACATTGGTGCTTGAGGAAACCTCGTTTAAATTAGAAAACAGGGCGGTCCTTAAATACAGAGACTCTCAAGGCAATAAAGGGTCTCTTCAAGGGTTCCAGGATGCCATTTGGCCTCTCAACATCTGCTTTGAAATGGAAATGTGTTCCTGTCTTCTCCCTGGGTATAATCGCACCCTTGGATCAGTCTTACAGTCACAAAGGGCAGAAGGAAGGGCTTGAGTTTGGTGCTGGGGAAGAGGACTTTGGTCTGGAGATAGTGGGAAACTGCAGGAGAAATTAAGGCTTGGCAGAAAGAGGAAAAGGAACCAACGCGGTGGCAGCAAGATTCTGCCTGGAGAGTAGTAGGACTAGGTTGGGAGAAACCATGATAGTCGGAGATCAGACAGTAGCCCGGGGGAAGGCAGCCCGGGCCAGAACCGGGGGAATGTCGCCGGTGTTTGTACACGGCAGGACGCCAGCCTGCAGACTGCCACTTGGAGCTGTTTGCATGGCAGGTCCTCTTGACATGGAGGTGGTTTCTGAAGAATGTGTGCTTTGAGGAGCATCGTATTCTTCCTGTTGGTTTTGGTAATGTATTCTGTTGCACAAAATTACTGATTCCTAGGAAGGAACCTCAGAGACTCTTGCTTTCGACACAAAAGGATGTCACCTCCCCTTCGCAGTCTCCGCATCCCTCTCCCTTCCCTCTCTGCTCCCGTAGGTAGCGTCCGCTCTCTGACCCCAATCAACTCATTCGATTCAAGAGGGTCCACTGTCTCATCTTTAAATGACAACACCAAACTAGATTCCCTCTCCATTCCAGTTCTAAAATATTGAACATAAAATTCTCCAAAGTGGAAAGAGGATGGACTCTAATTATCATGGTCCAAATCAAGTAGCTGGGATTTCTAAAACGGCTCATCCTGAATGTTACGATGACTCAGAGCTGCGCAGTTTTCTTTCAAACGCGAATGACCTCTCTGTTCTCAGAGCTGCTTGTGGGAATTGGCGTGTACCCGATAAAGCCGGCTTGTGAGAAGCGGTGTAGGGTTGTCTCTCAGATCCAAGTCAGTAGGATGGCGAGTTCGAGGCCTGATTAGACAACTCAGGGCGATCTAGTCTCAAAACCAAATAAAAGAGAGAGGGAGGAAGAAGGAACGCTCGCTGGATTCAATCCTCAGTACCTAAAAAAAGCTGACTGCAAAATCTTCTCTTTCCCGTCTTCCACTCGACGGCTGAGTAGCCGCAAGCAGGTAAACCCTGTCTCCCCACCCTCGAGTTGCCCCTCCTAGGCTGTCTAGCCATTGAGTGGCCCAGGACCGGAAAGGGAAGACCGCCTGGCTCAAACAGGATTCGGACTGCCCGCGCGGGGTAAGGCGGCCGGAAGCGAGGCCGCCACACTTCCGGCTATCCTCTCGGGCGCTCGCCACACTTCCTGTTGATCTGCATTGTGGGGAGGGGCGCGGAGGGCGGGTGGGCGTGGCTTGCTCGTGAGGGGCGGGCCCTGAATGGAGGGGCGGGGCCGCGGCAGCCAGAGCTGTAGCAGTCCTCGGAGCTCCAGAGCTCGGCTGTCCCCGCCGCGTTCGGTCCTCGTCCTCGTTAGCGTCCTCGGTCCTCGCTCGCCCGCCGCGCCATGCCCGCCGTGGACAAGCTCCTGCTGGAGGAGGCCTTGCAGGACAGCCCCCAGGTACCGGCGCTGCCGCGTCCTCGGTCAGCTGGGGTCAGGGCTGGGGACCAAAGGCCCCCCGCGGCCCAGCCCGCTGTCTCCGCCCCGCCTCTCTGGCTGGTTAGAAAGGGGTGCACCTCACCGGGCAGGCAACGTCACCTTTTCTTTTTTTTTCTCCAACACTGGGGTTTGAACCCAGGGAACCCTTCACTCTGAGCTTCACCCCCCCAAGTCTCCCTAAGTTGCCCAGACTGGGCTGGAATTTGTGATCCTCCTGCCTCAGCTTCCTGGAGTGTTGGGATTCCAGTCGTGTACCATCCAGACCGGTTGTGCTTTGGCTTTGTCTCTGTAAAACAGGAATGACATCGGACTGGGTTAGAATTAGATGAGAAAGTCTCTGTGGAGTTCGGGTCAGAGTAGAAGGTCAGTTTGACTACCATGGGCACTGAGCTCACTGCTGCTGCTGTGCTGAGATCTGGTGGATTTAAGGTCCAGAACAGGAAGCAGAAAGCTGGATCCTTTTCCCAGGCTACCCAGGCGTCCCAGGCCACGCCTTGGCACTGTTTAGATCACAGCGCCTGCCACTCTGCCCGGGGTGAGAGTCCTGAGAGGTGGGGCTGGAAACCGGGTGCAGACGCAATGAGTGTGGTGACCTGAGCAGCCCTCTTAGGCTCTGCGCTCCTTTTGCAGGTCCCCTGCGTCCTACTCCCAGGAGAAAGACTCCTGTCCCAGGAGTGTCCTGTCTCCACTCCTGCCTGGGGCGTTAAATAAACATCTTCATTTTTTTAAATGAAGTTTATCGATATGGTTGAGATATGCACAGTGATCACATTCAGCACGGGGAATCTGTCCCTGTGTGGTCAACAAGCATCCTTGTCCCCAGAGTCTCAACCCCTGCAGACTCAGTGGGACGAAGCCCCACAGTCCCTTCTTTGGGTTCCCTCCCTGGCCCTCTGGTGGGATGACCTGGCCCCACCCAGCCCTGCCCTGTAAGCCTTTGATCCTTAACTCTGTCAGGTCTCCTTCTCTCCACTACAGGATGGGCCACAAGGGTGGGCACACCTGTGTCCCCTCCCCCACCATGGACAAGCAGGAAACCGAGCAGGCTGTGGTTTCTCCTGGTACTCATTGAGACCCTGTGGGCTGACCAGCTTCTCAAAGGCTGCTTGTATGCAGCTCTGAGCCAGACCCACACCCGGGTTAGGGGGCATTTCACCCATCACCCCATTCAAGGGTCTGAGTATAAGAGGGGGACGTTTCTACCCAACATTGCGAGCCTTTGTCTGGGGTCCTGCACACAGAACGTCACTTTCCTGGCCAGACTTGGTGTCAGCTGAGTCCTCGAGGACAGGTGGCATCCCGAAACCTTGGCTGTCACGGAAGTGAGCAGAGACTGCTTCTGAGTGGCCTGATGGGTTTGCTGGGCTGCAAGGGACTGCAAAGCCGGGAGAGGAGTCAGACAGCTGGGCTGCGGTGCTGGCTTTCACTCTACCTGGTCTCTTGCTTATGGCAAGTGAGCTAGTCCCCGTCCTGCACTGGCTCGAGTTCCCCCTCCGCAGACCCTCTTTAGGACGTGATACGGAGCAGGTGGCCTGCAAGGAGCCCCAGAAGCTTAAAGTCCTGTCGTATCTTCAGGTTTATAGTCGTGCACCTATCAGTGGGAACGGAAGTTTGGAGGCCTTGCCGTTCCTGCTGGATGCTCCCTTTTAGACTTTGTGTCTCATCGTTGGCTTTGAGACTGGGCCTCACGATGCAGTTCAGGATGGCCTTGAAGTCACTAGTGAGCCAGGCTGCCCTGGAACGCCTCGTGCCTCAGCCGTCCTAACCCTGGGATTGCAGGCGTGTGCCACCACCCAGGCTTACTGTTCCTTTTAATGTAGGGAGTGAGTCGTGTTGAGACTTGATTGTCACCCTCTGGGGTTTTGATGGGGTTGCTGCAGAGGAGAGGCTGATGGTCTCTAATGTCACAGTGCTCGCATGGCCCTCCCGGTGCATGTCATGTGCCAGATAAGTGCCCCAGTCAGAGAGTCACAAGGTTCAAGCTGGAATCAGTCTGTCCCTTTCCTTGATTTTATCAGGAAAGAATAAAGGTGACAGCAAGTGCCTGGCCCCTACCGTTGTGTGCCAGCCACTGTTCCCAGAGCGTAATCATATGAGCTCACAAAGTCTCCCAGCGGTTGTTTGACCTCGGTCCTTTGTTAGGTGACCAAGGAGCAGAGAACTAAATAACTTGCCCAGAGCTGGACTCACATGCGTGGAGGTGGAAAGCGCTTACGTTCCCAGCTGCCTCGCCCCCTCCTTCTCTGTCCGTGTGACCTAAAATGCGGTTTCATGAGGAGGAAGAATCCTAGGAAACTGTCCACCGCGTGCGTCCTCTGGTGTCAGGTGCGAGCGTGGGAGGGAGGGTTGCTCCAGTAACCAGGCTGCACAGGACAAACGACAAGAGCACAAAAGCTTTTGTATCTGAACCAGGTGACCCAGGACGAGCTGAATGGAAGCACGACCTCTGCCAGGAGGTTCACCTGCTCCTCCTCGGCAGCAGTGTGGAGAGCCGTCTGCGTGTGCATGGGGGTGACTCCACCTACCCCCAAGGGCCAGCGGTGGTTTTAGGTCAGCGGTGTGTCCCAGCCCCACCCGCAGGGCACCTCCCCACAGCTGGCTGGGTCCCCGCGGGGGGCAGATAAGGAGGCCTCCATTCCAGCACAGCCAGTGCGCGCAGCCAGGGTCAGCCGGGACTCGGGACAGCTGGCCCTTGGCTTTGAGCCGCAGGGACACGCTAGGGCCGGAGCCCAGGCTGGCTGCTGTTAGCGTTTCACTCTGTGCATGCCTGTGAGAACTTCGTTTCTGACCTCACACTTTGTTAAACTCAGAACGCCTCATGGCCTCACACTGTTGAGAATGTCCGGGGCTGTGTGATGGGGTCCACCCGGTTTGCTTTTACTCCAAGGTAAAGGAATACCCTGCCACGGGTCCTGCCTCAGACACTGTGGGGAGCGTGGGATGACAGAGAAAGGCTGGAATTCCCACCGCGAATGTGGCCTTTGCAAAGAGGTTCACCCTGTCTGAGCTTGGGTTTGGACTGAGAATAAAAAGAGCCCCTTGAAGTCAGGTGTGCTAGACCACACCTGTAATCCTAGTCTTCAGGAGGCTGAGGCAGGAGGCATTCTGTGACTCCCAGACCAGCCTGGCTACATAGCAAGACCTTGTCTCAAAAACAAATTTTAAAACAGAGCGACCCGAGTTGTTTTGAAGAATAAGTGACATATATTCCCAGCACAGCTGAAGTTGGGGACACAGGCATGGTGGCCCGCGCTGGGGGACAGACCACCCAGGGCATGTGAACATCTCTTTGCAGTAATGTGTTTTTCAAGGAAAAAGTATACTTGAAAGAGATGTAATGAAGAATTCTCACTCAGGGCGTTACTCGTGTGCGGGTCGTCATCCATTACCGGACTGTGAAATCCAGACGGTCCCAACCACAATTCTTGTTAATAAATGGAATAAAGGGAAGGGCGAGAAACCAGAATATACACCCATTCTGTTGATAGTGTCTGGTGAAGCCTCTGTTCAGCTCTGGTATAAGCTGTATTTTGAACTATGGAGTTTCTTTTTTACTTTAATTTTGGCTTTTTTTGTTTGAGATGGGGTCTCACTGTGTAGTGCAGCCTGGCCTCGAACTCACTGTGTAGCCCAGGCTGGCCCCAAACGTGTAGGGATCCTCCTGCCACAGCCTCCCAGCACTGGGATTACAGGCATGCACCTCTGTGCCCAACTCTGGGTTTTAATTTTAGGAACTTCAGAGGCCCCATCTATCAGGAGTGGCACGCTGTCCCAGCACCAGGCTGTTGATTCGCTGTCACCCAGAGCTGCTGGAAACTGCTTCCGCCGCCTGGTGTGGGCAGTACCTCACAGGACACCTTAGCTGGACCCAGCACCTGCAAGGCAAGACCAGCACATTGCTGTGAGGGGCCCAGGCTTGTGGGCAAAGTCAAGGGCCCAGTGCTTGGAGGAGTTGACATTCTGTGCACCCCAGAGTGGCACTCTTGGGGCCACGGCAACACAGGCCCCTTGCTGTCCTTTGCTGAGGGCCCAGAAGAAGGAAGAAGACTGGGCATTCACCTGCAGGAAAGCAGGGCCCACAGGCTGTTCTCCATGGACTTCAGTGCTGCCTGGTGCAGGTCCTTTCTGTGATCCGCTGTCCGTCCTTGGCCCTTGCCTGCTCGCAGGGCCGGCTCAGAGCCCGGTGCCCACGGCACCGATGTCACCTTTGAGGTCCCCACCACGTCCCTCCTGATGCTCTTTGGTGACAGCCTGGCATGTGTGACTGCACCGCCTGTCATCCCGCACGGCAGGTCCCAGTGCCTGGTATGAGCTGGGTGCCCTCATGAGCCTGCCTGACCGAGGTCCCTCCCTGCCCTGGAGCTGCCCCTTGGATCGCCCTGCCTGGCACCCACCGTGGGCCCTGACTGTGAAATTCCTGGCCCGGGTCTGAGAGTGGATTGAATCAAATAAGACAAAAGACACAGAGAAGCATAGAGGCATCTGAAAAGGAGATGCAGACACCCCAGGACGAGGGCAGAATCCAGCAGCCCAGGCTGCACGGTGATGCTTCCCACACCCGGCGCAGAGGGCCTCCCGTCCCTGTGGTGGATGCAGAGGTGGGGCGAGGACAGGCAGGCTTGGCCCTACCATCTTGGGTCTCTTTATGGCCTGACGAAGCTCCACCTGAGCCCCGCCCCAAACTCTGGGGCCAGGTGCACATTGCACTGGGCCTGGCCCTGCCTTGGCTGCATTGCAGGGTTTAGACAGGGAGCTCTCAGTGGGTGAGGTGGAGCATGCCTGTCATCCCAGCCCTTGGGAGGCTGAGGCAGGAGGATGCTCAAGAGGTCGAGGCCAGCCTGGGCTACATAGCGAGTCCCTCTCTCAAAAAACAACAACAACAAAAAAGACAAAGAAAAGGAGCCCTCTTATAGCTCCCTTCCCCCACAAGAGGAAAACCGGAGACCCCCCCACCTCCATCCCTCCGTTTCTTTTGTACACACATGTGTGCATGTGCATGCATGTGTGCATGTGTGTAATTACAACCGTAGAAGACAGACTGACCCCCCACTCTCCCTGCAGACCCGCTCTTTGCTGAGTGTCTTTGAGGAGGATGCCGGCACGCTCACTGTCTACACCAACCAGCTGCTGCAGGCCATGCAGCGCGTCTATGGGGCCCAGGTAAGCCTGCCCTTCCCCAGGGTCGAGAAATCCCAGCCAGAACAATAGGTGAAACAACAGGTGATGCGCATACCTGTAATCCCAGCATTTGGGAGGCTGAGGCAGGAGGATCTCCATGAGTTCCACAGTGAGTGCAAGCCTAGCCCAAAGTCTGTCTCAAAAGATTGTAATTTAGGGGCTGGGGAGTTAGCTCAGCAGCCTGACAAGCTTGAGGTTGTGAGTTTGACCCCAGTACCGAAAAAGAAAAAAAACTAGGACAAAACAAAGCCAAAGACAGCCTGTTTCCTTGAGAGTCATTTTCTTGTAGCAAGAATCAGTCGAGGGGGACATTTAACTGCTTTGAACTTCTTATAAAAGGGGTGCATTGAGCCCTCCACTTCCCACGAGTGCATGTGGTTCAGTCTGTGGGGCCCTGGCTCTGTCTCCCTCGTGGGCATTCTGGGGTGTGGCAGGGCAGGGTGGGGTGGCCCTCAGGGGTTCCCCTCAAAGGCTGAGCCACAGCTCTAGCGGAGCCACAGGGCGGAGGTTTTATTTTGAGGAACAAATGCCTCAGGCTTGCAGACCCATGGAAAATAAATTGCTGAGTGGCTCAAAGGAAGTTTTTTGGGGTGAAAACACTGCATGCTGTGCACGTCACTTTCTTAGGGGAGACTTGTGAGTCATTCAGGCCAGGGGCCAAGCTGCAGTCGCAGTCCTGTGATGGCAGGTTTTCCATGTGGCTCCGTGCCGGCCGGATCTGTGCCTGCCCGGCGTGGCTCTCCTCACCCTGCCTCTGTGCATGGCGCTCGGTCCTCCCGTCTGGTCACTGTTACAGCGCCATAATCACCACTCCCTGTCTTAGTGTCTGTCCTGGTCACAGGGAGCTTCCTGCTGGGCAGGAACACGGGCATGGTCACCAGCCCCGCTGGAGAGTGCTGTGGTCAGCTTTCCGGGCGGAGAAGCAGGAGAGGTTCCTTTCGGCTCCTAGTCTCGGGGGTTTCCCCTCCCTGTGAGATTGAGCACCTCATAGGGACAGGAAACCCTGAAACCCAGAAGCGGGGGCAGGGCAGACAGGACCTGGGGCACCCCAGTGATTGCTTCCTACAGCAAAGCCCCTACTCCCTAAGGTTCCACCACCTCTCGGTGGCCTCAGGTGGAGACTAAGCCTGCTGCACGTGGACCTTGGGGACAGTCAAGGTCCAGGCCATCACCACCAGGCGCCCCCAGGAGGGCGATGGTCAGAGCCGAGATGTGAAAGGCTGAGTTGTCTCCTGTGGAAGGCAGTCTTGGGGCTCTGGCGTGGAATCCCACAGCCAGCCTGCGGCAGCTGTCATCAACGCTATGCCCTTGGTTGGGCAGGAGGCTGCCGGCTCTGGTGATGAGCAGCTCGCTCTGGTCCTGTGTGTCACTGTGTGTCAACTGAAAACAGAAACAGATGCCAAAAGAGAGAGATGCCCGGGCCTTAGCCTGGGACATATGGCGGTCAGTTGGGAGAGCGTGGAGAGAGGAGGGCACACGCGTGTGTGCACACAGGAGCCTGTGGCTGTGTGTTGGTGTCAGGGAGAGACTGGTCTGGAGGTGTCTGGGGACATCAGCCTGAGGGGTCCCTGTTAAAGCTGGGATCCAGGACTCAGGGCTGGAGTTCTAGGCCTGCGGACTTGGTGATGGATGTTCCCCACCAAGCAGAGTCCCTCCCGACCGGAGTCAGTGCTGATGCCCGAGGACTCCGCTGCAGTCCTGCCTGCTTGTCTGTCTGTCTGGGCAAGACCTGGGGGGGTGTGAGCCAGTTCTTATTCTGAAGCCTGGATTCTGTGTGTCGTCTGTTTTTGTATTTCCCTGGATATTCCAGATTTAACACAAAGAACCCCTCGCCCACTCACCTCCGAGCTTACTTGGGCTTCTGTCTGCGGAGTGCTGGCACTGAATTTCTCCTGTTTCAGGCGTGGAGGCCCCAAGACCTAGGGGCTGTGCTCGGGGCTGCCCCGCCGCCAGCTGGGCCCTGCCTTTTTCTGTCCGCTGAATCCTATATTTGGAGAGCCCAAGCATTCTCTCATGCGTTTTTCCCCTGTGAGCCAAAATACTAGGTTTTGCCAAAATTAAGTAGGTCTTGCATTCCGAGAGGCAGGGAGCCAGCTTTGACCCTGCAGCGCGTGACTGTCACGTGGCTTCCCGGGGCTGGAGGCGTCTGGCTGCCTGGCTTCCCAGGATGCCTGCTGTGTAGACCCCGGTCCACACCGCTGGGCCGGCTCATTGGTTTGTCAGACTTATTTGAAAATGCAGAGGTCGTGTTTTGTTCCTTCTTCATTTAAAAAAGAAAACTCTTCCGGATCTCTCTGGCCAGTTGCTTTGGTGCGCATGTGTTTTGGGATAGCAGTGCTTTCTGGCATTTGCGTTCAGTTTCTTTCTGAGTTGTGTTCTCTTGGTTTGTTTCTTGGGCACTTTATACTTAGCCATGTCGAGTTAGAGTTTTGTAATTTCATTTTTAAGAACAGGCACTTAGCAAGACAGGGTTTACATTGCAGCTAGCTTTATGCAGCTGATAAATGATAAACATTCATGAGAGATTTTAAACAGATTATGTGGTAAATTTCTGGATCGTGATACACAGAATGTTTGTTGGCTCTTTCTTAGTTGGAGAAGGAGGAAGAAAAGAAAAATAGAGAAAGTTTCCCTTACTGTGGCTGGTTTGAGGAAGTTTTAAGTTTTACCTGGCCAGCGCTCTGGAGGGAAGCCGTAGGCTGTTGATGGCTTTCAGCACTTTTTGTTCGTTTGTTTGGTTGGTTTTTGAGACGGGAATCTCACTCTTCAGTCTGGCCTGGAATTCGAAATGATCCTCCTGCCTCGACCTCCCCAGTGGTAAGATTGGGAGTGTGCACCACCGCACCCCACTTTGCATGTATGTTAGTGCACAGAGAGCCCTGCGCTGGGCCAGGCGGCCCCTTGGCATGGTCACATTCAGCCGTCCCGACAGGAGTGCGGTGAACACAGGTGTTTGCTCCCCGGGTGGAGAAACAAAGGTCCGGAGAAGCTGCACCGTGGTGTGCGGCCACACAGCTGAATGGAAGACCCAGAGCCCAAACCCAGCCTCTGAGGTCAGTGCCTGCCGAGAGCCCCTGGTCTCCACCACGAGACCTGCCGCGTCCCGTTTTACGCGTCCCTGTTTTCCACCCTTCTCTGGTTCATCCTGGTCCCTCGTGGAGTTGTGCAGCTCATGGCACCTCGGCCCTTTTCCGGCCCTCCCAGCAGTGGGGCGGGCGCCGGGACAGTGGCGGGAGGGTCACTCCTGCTGCGAGTGGTCCTCGACCCTGAGCCCCCAGCCCTGAGTTCCAGTCTGGAAGCGGCCCTGCCGTGGGACTTGAGAAGGGCAGTCCCGGGCTCCTCGTCCGGTCGTCAGAGCCAAGATGCTGCTCGCTGGGAGCCTGCTGGCTGTAGGCTGCCAAACTCTGTCCGGCTCCGCCTCCTGGGCTCCCAGGCCCCATCCTCACAATGAGCCCTCCCTGTCCTACCCCCACTTTCCTTTTCCAACCTGGGATTGAATCCAGGGCCTTCACTACAACACCAGCTCTTTAGTTTTGTTTTTTGGTTTTTTTTTTTTTTTTTATTTTGAGACAGAGTCTTACTAAACTGCTAAGTTGCCCCAGACTGGGCTGGAACTTGTGATCCTTCTGCCTCAGCCTCCCAGAGTGCTGAGATTATAGGCGTGTGCTTCTTCGTGCACTCACAGCGGCCTCTGGGAGCGCTGTTCCCACAGATCCGTGAAGCCCTGTGCTGCCCGGCGCTGGTCTTGGTGTCCAGGATCCTACCTCACTCTCTGGCCTCTCCCTCGGGTCCGGGCGATCACCTCTGAGATTCCCGAGTCACTGTTCCAGGCTTGTTCTCTCCCTAGCTCGTGCTCTCTGGCCCCAGGGGCGCCTGTGTCCCCGAGAGAGGCACGTTTAGGGTGGATGGGCAGGCGGCGGTGAATGTGGGACCCTCCGCCCGGACACTGCATGCTGCTGGCACCTAAGTCTGGGTCCCCCTGGGCCCATGCGGCCACCCACACTGGAAGCCCTGTTTCTTGGACTCCTCCTCCTCCTCCCTCACTGCTGTCTGGCTAGGACACTGCTGTGGCCCCGCTGGCGTGTGACAGTCTCCCCACCTGTCCCTGTCACCTGCATCCCCACCTCTTTCCTGCCCTTAGCACATCCACAAGGCCCTGGGACAGCTCCATGGCTGCCCAAGCCTCTCCACGTCCCGACTGCCTGTCCTGCGGGCACTGTCCCAGCCACACGCGCTCTGCTCCTGCAGACACCCCAGCCCGTGCGGCCCATGAGCCGGGCTTGGTGGCAGCAGCACCATGAGCGTGACCGTCGGCACAGTACTGCAGGCCCCATGTGGAAGCCTGGGCCCTTGCTGACCGTGGGGCCACCTCCTCCCCCACCCTGGCCTTCCCTCCAGGCTGCTGCCCACGAGCCCGGGGGCGGTCTCAGGTGACCGCCGCAGTTAAGAGGCTCTCTGTACCCTGGGAGAGCAACACCCGCTGCTGGGAGCCCCGCTCCCCCGGGCTTGCTGGCCGCTTGCCCTTCTGCCTTGGTGGCAGCCCCGGGAGTTCCTGCTAGCCCAGGAGCTGCCGGCTCTGAGGCGCTCCTCTGCCTCCTGCCTTGTTGGGTCGCCTAGCTTTGTTTTTTGCAGTGCTGAGCTGGGCAGGGAGTAGATGGAGCCGGGAGCTGTCCCAGGGCCTTGAGGAGGTGCTGCAGGTCAGGCTGTACCTCAGCAGCAGGGCCGCTGGGGGTACGAGGCCCTGGGTCCTGTCCCCAGCACTGTGGAGAGGGTGTCACCCTCAGACTCTGTGTGGAGAGGGTTAGGCCATGTCTCTTGCTTGGCTATGGCTGGCAAAGTGTGATGCTCGTGTCCATAGACCGAGGCTCCTGCTCCTGAATATTAGCCAGATCGAGGGCTGATCAGAATGCACGTTAATGCTTAAATAAAACTTAACTGCAGCAAAAGACAGACTTGCCAGAGACGCCCCTCATCTGAGCTGCGCACCCCACTCACCCTCACCCAGGAGGCTCCTCCCCTCCCCCTCACCACTCGAAGCCGCTCTAGAAATCCTCCCTTGGGAGTGTCTCTATGAGGTGTGATCCAGATGTCGTGATTCTGCTGTCACATGTCACCCAGCAGAGAGCAGGCTGCTGAGGACGTCGTGGCATGGCCTCGTCTGTCTTTCTCATTGCTGTGACAAAATACCCAACGCCCACAAGTTCAGAGAGGAAAGGTTTATTTTGCCTCGAGGTCTGCAGAGGTTTCAGTCCATGGTCAGTGGACTCCAAGGCGGGAGGCAGGGCAGCAGGAGGAGCAAGCCGTCAAGGGAGGACGGGGAGGCAGACCCTTCCAGCCAGGCCCACACTGACCACCTCTCCCACCAGGCATCACCTCCCAGCTCCACACCCAGCCATGAACCAGTGTCACACTCCCGTGATCCGGTCACCTCCCCAAGCCCCTGCGTGAGGCTCTGGGGGACGTCTAGATGGAAGCCATGGTCGGCCTCATTCAGCTTATTCACTGACACCGTGTGACTTCTGGTTCTTCCCAAAGCCAAAATGACCAGGAAGGACCAGTGTTCCGGAAAAATCAGGTCCCGAGGCAGCCACGGCAGTGCAAGTGAACAGGTTCAGTACAGGGACCCCAGAGCTGCCGCAGAGAGGGCAGAGGACGGGCTGAGGGACCGAAGCGGCAGGGAGCCTTGAGGGAGACGAGGGCTCTGTCTCTGTGATAAAGTCTCGAAACTCTGGGCATCACTGCCGTTTCCACACTTCGTACAGTGTTGGACTGTGGTCCGGGACCACGTGGTGTTGGGACCGTGGCTCTAGGTTCCAGCCCCACTGGCCTGCACCGACTCCGCCTGCCATTTCCCAGGCTTCCTCCGTACTCTGCACCGTGGCTTGTCACGGGATGAGAGCAGGTCCTGCCTTGTGGGCCACAGCCAGGGGCAACCCTGACACTGTGCAAAAGCGCTCCTGCGATGTGGGAGACTCAGAGTCAGCAGCCGCCGCGTCTCTGTGGTGACCGAGTTCACCCGCTCCCCCGGCCGCTCCGGTTCTGCAGGTGCTGCCACCTGTGCCGCTCCGCCCTGTCCCTCCCCGGGCATGGACGCTGGCCAGTGCTGCACCCGGGCCGGGGAGCCTCGTGTCCGGGAGGAAGTGCAAGCGAGAGCACAGCCAAGCCGGTGCCTGGTCCTGGGCGGTGACAGCCCTGTCGTCAGGGTGCTCGGTCCCTGTGTGATCCTGTGGCAGGTGGAACTGAGCTGCTTTGCTTGGCCACTGAGAGATGCAATGTCTGCAGGCCGCAGGTCCAGGGCCACACGGCAGGGTCAGCGGTGCTGGGGGCCGTCCAGCGGGGCAGCGTCCCGGATGGCGTTCCCATGGGGTACGGTGGGGGGAACTGGCCAGGGAACGCTGGGGAACTGGGTGCGCGGGCCGGGGTGCTTGTCGTAGTTTGTAGCCGGGTGTTCCCTTCACGCCTCGTGTGGTCACAGGCAGGACCTGGGGGGGTGACTGGGTTACAGTTAGCGCTGCCTTGCTGTTCAGAGGTGGGGGGCTGTGGGTAGGCCCGGGCAGCAGACCCGTGGGGTTTGGGGACGTTAGGACCGGAGTGGGGTCAGCATGTAGCCACGTGCTGACTTCTGATGTTTCCAGAGAAAGTTCTGCTGGGAGGAAGCCGCGGTCCCCACTTCCCCGCTGTCTCAGTTTATTTTCGGCTGCAGCAGCGGAAGCGAGTGGTTAGGGCCGGAGCGCGTGGCGCACGGGCCTTGGGTCTCTGATGGAGGCACATGGAGGGGGAGCTCAGTGTCACACACACCCTGTCCCCCCGCCGCGCAGCCTCAGGCAGGCAGCAGCCTCGCCTCGCTGTGCCTCAGTGTCTTCATCTGGAAACCGAGATCACAGCCAGCTCCTGCCGTGCGGGCTCAGGAGTCTGGGGGCCATGCGGGCCGCCTTCGGGGCCCTGGGGTCAGCTGTGGTCACGGGTCTTGTGGGTGGCAGAGGATACAGCACCGGGCCACATCCTGGGGTCATGAACAAACTGCTCTCTGGCCCAGCACAGCTCACACGGGAGGATGAGGGGCTCGGGGACGTCACAGCAGCACTGCCCCTACACAGTGACCACACCGCCCTAAGAAGGGACGCGGCAGCTGCAGGTCCCCTCAGCTCTGGAGTCTTATCACCCTCACCCATGCGCATCCCTCCAGGACTGTGCTGACCTTGGCGTGTAGGTGCCTCTCCCTGCCTGTCAGTCTGTCCGTCCGTTCATTCACTCGTGCGTTCACGCATCCATCATTGGCCTGTGCTGAGCCTGTGTGCACCCACCCAGCATCAAGGACACCCCGAGGATGTCCCCTCACTGCCCCTTCCTGGACAGGGGCCAGTGCTGCCCCGCTGGGAAGGGGTGAGCCAGAGCAGAGGGGACCCCCCCCTGTGCCCTGGGGGGACCTGTGCCCTCATTCTCCCCAGGGTGCCGGGGGAGGCGGGACGGTTCCACTGGGGCCCTAGCGGCCCCAGGTGTGATTGGCTTTAACCTTGGCCCTGTCTCGGTCTCGCTGTCTAAGTGGCCAGGACGTGACACTCTGTCTCCTCAGCAGGGCGCACACACTTCTCGAACCCTCTAAGACAGCCTTTCCCCCGTGACAAATGTCACTGACTCTTCTGTCTCTTCTCCCTGCAGAACGAAATGTGCCTGGCTACCCAGCAGCTTTCCAGGCAGCTGCTGGCGTACGAGGAGCAGGTAAGGAGTGCCTGCCTTCCCGCTGCCACCCTCCTGTGGGCGTGGGGTGCTTATGGGGGAGGGGAGGTGTGGGTGGGGGCCGGTGGCCGATCTTGGGGCATAACTCCAAGATCTGCAAGTGACACCCATGCTTTCATCCTTCGCTCGTAGAATTTTGCCCTTGGAAAAGGTGACGAGGAAGTCATTTCCACGCTCCACTATTTCTCCAAGGTGGTGGATGAGGTAAGAAGCCTGAAGTTTCTGTCCGGCTCTCGGTGACCATTCCTGCTGTTTGGGCCCTCTCGTTGCTAGACGCCTCATGCGGGCTCTGAGCTGTTTCAGGCTGTCGCTGTGCTCAGCTGGTGACTTGACAGATGGCGCCGGATCCCAGGTGTAGCATCTGAGTGGAAAAGCCTTCCAAAGGAGGTTTCTAGGGCTCCAGCATCCTCAGAGGGTGAGCACAGGTCCCCGCAGAGATGTCATCCCTCCCAACACCTGGGCCGAGGCGTGTGCAGGGCCACACACCCCAGAGGCTCAGGCCTCCCAGCTCGGGTGCCTGGCCCTGGCTGTGGCGCCCCAGCCTCTGACTCTGCCATCCCTGAGTTTATGCTCTGTATCTCTTCCTTGATCAGAGCTCCTCACAGTGGGTGTAGGGCCACTCCGAAACCCCAGGGTGACCTCACTTTAGAGCCCTGCATTCCACGCACCCCCACGTTCTCCGGGGACCTACTTTTGGGGGTGCACAGTTCCGCACACTGCCAGGGTTTGGTATAGTGGCTCCTCAGCTGTCTTGTGTAATGTCTGTGGGGTGTTGGAGAAACCTCGATCGCTCCAGGAACTGTGTATGTCCTACTTATAAAGATCACAAGAGCTCAATACTACTGACTCCTGACAGAACACTGCAGAATTAGGCCATAGAAATGTTCCATTGCCAAGGAGTTCACAGCATGTACTTAGAGTGGAAAATCACAACAGAGAAGCAGAAGAGAAAACGCAGGCCCATTCCACCATCCGTTTCGGGTAGATCGAGGCACGGCATTCGCGTAGTCACATTGCTGTGTTTTAATTACACACAGCAGCCCACACCTCCTTCAACAAACACACAGCCAGCTATTAGTCAGACTTCAGGGCGGAGCCAGAAGGACACAAGGTCACCAGTCTTCACTGAGCTTGGTCCTCTGTCCCACTGAGTAGCAGGAAGGAGACCAGCTGCTTCCTGCCGCTGGTTCTCCCCGCTCGGCGTTCTTGGTCCCCTGCACCAGTGTGACCCTGTTGTGACACTGCTTCCCAGGAGGAAACCTGTGATCCCAGAGTTAAGGGCGCATCCCCCAGGACCACCCAGCTCCAGGTGCCAGTTGAGAGCCCCGGCCCCGTCCTGGCTGCACGGGGTGGATCATGGCTCTCTGAACCCTCATGCAGGTGGGGCTGGGGCAGCTTCTCGGTTGTGACTTGAGCTGGTGGTGACCTGTGCCCGTCCTGACCCCTGACCCCCAGGGCTGCTGCCTGTGGACACTCCTGACCCCCAGGAGGCCCCAGGGCATCACGAGCTCTGTGCCAGGAGCTGGCATCAGAGGCCAAGTGTCAGGACCCAAGGGCTCCCGCGCCTCTGCTGCTCTGAAAGGGTATAGGAGTTGCAGCCAGGAAGCGCAGCAGAGACCAGCAGGTACCGTCCAGCGTGTCAGTTTCCACTCCTGGGAAGTGTGTGCTGCCACAGTGTAGGATGAGGCAGAAATGGAATCACAGAGCAGCCAGGGAGAAGCAAGCATCCCGGAGCCTCAGGGCTCCATCGTGGTCTTGGAGCCCAGGAAAGGCGGCCTTGACCCAGGAGGAGGAAAGGAGCCCTGGCTTGGGTTGGAAGATCTCGAAGACAAACAGTCCAAACCCAGCATTAAAGAATGAAGCAGCGGGAGTGGCCCGTGTTTCGTGGGTGGGATCGTCCTCGTGAGCCCCAGAGAGCTCTGTGGGTGCTGAGTTCCCCCAAAGCAAGGGCTCATGGGGGTCACTTCTTGGAGCAGACCTGAGTCATGGTTGTCACTGTCTCTGCTGACTGAGTGCTGGGGTGTGTGCCCAGGTCTGCTCTGTCACCTTGTGGAGAAGGGGACGCGCAGTGCCCCAGGCCCACAGCAAAGGCGAGGACAGACCCTAGGGAGGAGATTGGAAGGGAGTGACCAGCGGGGGGTGGGTTTTCAGCCGAGGAAGTGGGGTGTCTTCGCCTGGAAGCAGTGTGAAAGGAAACGTCTGTGCCACCTCTCGGCCTGGAGCACAGAGCCCGCACACGGGTGGACTCCTGAGGATCCTTCAGGAGTTGCCAGGGGCTGCCCGAAGGACAACTTTCACACTCGTCTTCGAGGCAGTGTGGCTTTGGGTGCGCCCAGCGGGAGCACAGAGGGATGGCGACGCCCCACCCTGGACTGGCACAAGCTGAGCATAGCGGGTCTCTGCACTTAGAGCCACTGTGTGGCCCCGGCCCTGGAGGGCACACCTGGGGTGATGTGGGGTGGAAATGTGTGGCCAAGTCACTGCTGGGGGAGCCTGGTCTCATGCTGACCCCGAGTGACTGCAGGGTAATGCTCCCCAGGGGCCCAGCAGGACTCCCCACACACGGCCCTGTCCACCACGGTCCTCGATGCCACCTTGACCCCTTGAGGCCCAAAGCCTCACGGCAGTGTCAGTCCAGGTCATCGTGGGCCACATGGACCTCAGACACTGCACCCGGGATGGAGCCTGCTGTGCCAGGGAGCTCAGAGTTCCTGCTGTCCGTGGAGGCTTGCAGAGCGGCACACAGAGTAACCAGAGGCGACCTCCTCTGTCCCCCGAAGCCACTTACAGAGCTGGCATTTTGCAAGCCCTTGAGGTGGACAGAGAAGCCATGAGAAACGGTGACACCCGAGCACAGTCCCTGAGCTTGGTGGTCGTCTGCCACCCACAGAGCCTGCCATGGACGGCCAGTGCTGCCCGTATGATGCGACCTCTTCTGTGACAACTGACGGCAGCCTGGCAGTGCCCAGCGCTGCCCACACACAGCATCCGGTTCCAGGGTGGGCGGGGCTGCTGGGAACACAGGGCTGGTGTGGTTTGCATGGCAAACAAAGGGACCCAGAGACGCCTTGAGTAAGCTTCGCAGGTGTCCCGCTGGAGGCCACAGTTTGTTCTTTTTCCTTTCCTCCTCCTCCTTCTTTTTTTTTTTTTTTTTTTTTTAAATTTTCATGCTGAGTTGCATTTCCAGTCCTTTTTATTTTTCCCGGTAAGTTGCCACATTGCCCAGGGGGACGTCGAGCTTCCCGTCCTCCGGCCTCAGCCTCCAGAGGCTGGGGCTCAGGCGCATGTCCCGCCCCAGCTCACGTCTCATCCCCGCACCTCTGGTCCTGCCTCCTGAGCTGCATCATGGGGGTTTCTCTTCGCTCAGGAAGCCTGGTGCAGTCTGCATTTCACGTGGCCCTTCGTGCCACGGGCCACGTCACCAGCAACGTGTATGCCTGGCCTCACGGAGTCCCCTTCCTTTCAGCTTAACGCCCTCCACGCGGAGCTGGCCAAGCAGCTGGCGGACACCATGGTGCTGCCCGTCATACAGTTCCGGGAGAAGGACCTCACAGGTGAGCCACGGGCCGCTGCTCAGGGCTTGCCCCGGTGTGTGACCGCATGCTGAGCGCCGGCAACAGGGTGTGTCCAGGTCAGGCACGTGCTGCCACTTTGAGAAGTGTGAGGTGTGACAGTGCACCACCGTCCATCTCCTTCCAAATCCCCACCCTGTCTTCCTCGCCACTTCCCGCAGCGGTTGGCAGATTCCTGAAACTGGGGCGAAGTGGCGGCAGCCCTCCTGTCTCAAATAAAGGCATCCCGCCATGTCCCCTCCACCTGGCTCACGGGCTGTGCCACTGTGGGCCTTTTAGTTCTCTCTCACACCAAAACGATTGGGAAAGAGGGACATCTGAGTCAGTACAGGACACCGAGGTCATCGGCGCAGTGCAAGACCCTCAGGAAAGAGGACTCCAGAGCTGCTGCAGGAAGGGGCCAGGATGTGGGATGCGGGTGCTGGAAGCGAGGGGAGGATTTCGAAGTGGTTCACACACCCTCTCCACTGTAATAAATTTAAAGTTGATACATGCACTGTTTGTGACCCCACTCGCACAGGGGGAGGCTTGGTGGGAATGGCCCAGTGGCCGCACTGTCTGTAAGACTCTCCGGGTGTCCCCATCACGGGACAGGCAGCCCACGAGGGGCGACTCGGAGAATCTGTGACTGCTTCCCAGAGCCGAACTGGCCTGTGCAGTGCATTTCAGTTCTTCAGCTACAACAGAAACTTCAGAATAATTTTATATCACTTGGAAATCAAAGTGGTCAGATTTAAAAAAGAATATAAAAAAGAACTCATAACCTTGAAAAAAAATGTTAGAAAAGGCAGCCCAGACTGCTTAGTCCTGTTGTTCTTTCCTATTCCATGGAGAGTGTTCATTACCTAAAGAGTAAAGAGCTGCATTTGAAGCCGGGAGTGGTGGCACATGCCTTGTAACCCCAGCTCATGGGAGGCTGAAGCAGGAGGATGGCCACATACTGAGTTCAAGAGCAGCCTGAACTACACAGTGTGACCCCATCTCCAAAATGCCACCCCCGCCCCCACACAAAAACCTGTATTTGAAGAGCACTCGGGGAAACATTGCTGAGTAAAACATCCTAGGAGACCTGTGCATGGCTGGGCTTCTAGGCAGAGATGCTGCATCACCCGGAGGGCACCTGCGGAAGCTGGAGTCTGCCCTGGGCCAGGGGCCTGCGCTGCAGGCAGCGGGCAGAGCACTGAACCCTCCCTGCCACTGGTGCTTGGGCAGCGCCAAGCAGGAGGTGGGCTTTTCCCTGTGGCTTACCTGTTGGTGACCCGGAGCCCAAACCCACTGAGCGCAGGCTGTGTGACCATCTGATCCCAGCTGGGGTCAAACCCTGTGCGTGCGGGGAATATTCTCTCTCCACAGTCTGCGAGCGTGTGGGGTCATTTGCAGAGCAAGCCTGATGTCCGGTAGGAAGAAGTCACCAATCCTAAGTCTGCAGGCTGGGTCAGGCTGAGTCTGCAGGCCGGGTGGCTGGCACAGGGCACATGGTGCCGTGGCTGGCATCAGTCCAGAGTGATGACCCAACACATCCCTCACTGTCCAGAGTGGTGATTCTTTTATTTTTCATTCATTTATTTGAGACAAGTCTCCCTGCATAATTTAGGCTGATCTTGAACTTGCTGTGTAGCCCAGGCTGGCCTTGAAATTGCAGCGATCCTCCTGACTCAGCCTTCGGTATCAGTGCTAGGAGGCTCTGTGCTCAGAGGTGTAAAAGCTGGAGGCAGGCGGAGAAGGATGCAGGTGTTAAGTGCTTGCTGTTTGGACAGAGAGAACGGGTGGAGCTGCTGCTGTGGAACGCACCCGTCCCTCTGGGACTGTCTGTGTTAAGCGCCCTGGCTTCCCCTGCCAAGGGTAGAACCCAGAGTCTTGCATGTGCTAGGCTAGTGCTGTGCTGCTCAGGGATTGGTTTGGTTTGGTTTTGTTGTGGTTTGGTTTAGTTCTTTTGTTTTTTGAGACAGGCTTGGTCTAAATTGCCCAGGTTGGCCTGGAACCTTTGATCCTCCTGTCTCAGCTTCTGAAGTGGCAGCCTCTGAGGTGGCTGGGATGATCGGCATGCATCACCAGGGCTGGCCTGTTTTTAAAGTTTTAATCCTGGCTGTTTATTACCGTCGATGACCTTGTTGCTCTAGGTTTACAAATCCGTCATCATGCACCATGGTGTCCCGCCCTTGTTGGGTGGTGGTGATTGGTGCTGGCTTGTTGCGTGCAGACTGTGCCGGGCTGTGTCACAGGCTGTGCTTAGCACACTCCAGCATTCCTGTCCCTCTGGCTCTGGTCCTGGCTTCATTCGCAGGACCGATGCTTTGAGCTGGGGCTGAAGACCCAGAGCTGAAGTTTATCCCCCAGGTCACCGTGGCCTCCGGCCACCTCGCTGTCTGCCTGCGTCCCCATGGTGCCAGCTCCTCTCCAGGGTGGGCAGGGGCACCAGGCGCAAAGTGAGAGCAGGAGTTGGGCCATCGGGCCGGGCCCAGAACACAGAGGGACAGAGTGATGGCAGCATGCACTCACAGATCCGAAGGCAGAGCTGGGGGCTGAACGTTTTATTTTTCCTCGCTCCGAGCTGCTTTCTTTCCCCCGTGCAGAAATCAGCACTCTGAAGGATCTCTTCGGCCTCACCAGCAGTGGTAGGACTCCCGCCCCTCGGGTTCCGTGGTCGGTGGCGGGCGGGTCCTCAGTGTGGGGAGGCGCCAAGAGAAGGGTCTCACATGCGGCCTCACTTTCCCGGCCTCCTGTCTTTTCAGACCACGACCTGGCAATGGCCAAATACAGCAGGCTTTCGAAAAAGAAGGAGAACGAAAAGGTGAGCGGAGCCCGCGCCCCGAAGCCTCCGTCAGTCCGCGCATTGGCCCGCCTTGCCCTGCGGCGCTTTCCCCTCTCAGTCCTCCCTTGAAGTTACTCCGCATCCCAAGGAGGCCCTCACGTCTCTAGCCTAACTTCCCAGCCCGCTTTGTCCAAGGCAGACCTGGACCCATTGGGTGGCGACCCCACAGGGACCCCAGCATCTGCCGGGTGCTCGGTGCCCAGGGTCCATTCTGACCCCGCAGCCCCTGAGGTCTGGGTGCCTTGATAGAGCTACCCTCATGCACATAACTTGTCCTTCTGTGCCCTGACTTCCTCGGGCACAGTCACCCGTAGCATAGTCTCGCCGTGAACCACGCGTGTGTGGCCTCCAGGGCCAGTGCCGGGTTCCCCACGAAGTGTCCCTGTTGGCCTCCCCGGTGTGGCCTCACAGATGCAGAGCTGCTGCTGCTCCTGGACTTGGGGTTTTCAGCGCAGACCTCCCTTAGATTTGAGATGGAATCTTGTTTAAGTGTTACCGTGTCTGTGACCAAATGCCACCGTGAACTTCCAAGTGTGTGTCACATCGCGTACCCCCACAGAAGTGTCACGCCTGAAGTCTTCCCTCCGCTCCACATCAGGTGAAGGCCGAGCTGGCGAGAGAGGTGGCGGCCGCGCGGCAGAAGCAGCACCTGTCGGCCCTGCAGTACTACTGTGCCCTCAATGCGCTGCAGCACCGGAAGCGGGTGGCCATGATGGAGCCCATGCTGGGCTTCGCCCGTGGGCAGGTAGGGAGGCGGCGTGTCTTGAAGCACTGTCACAGAGAAACACGGTGCTCCCTGGGGCTCTGGCCGGGCCGGGCCACCTGGGTTGGACCACCTTGGCTGGCCATGGGAGGCCGTGTGTCCCTGAGGCGATGGCAGATCCCAGGCTCTCCTTGGGAGGAACCTGTGTGGTCCTTTTTCTCTGATCCACGTGAAAGCTGAATCAGGGCCAGTGTTCCCATACGCACTGTGGGCTCAGGCTGGGAGAGCAGCGTGTACCCCGGACTCTGCAGTGCTCTGCCCTCCAAGTGTGGCCAGGCCCTCCCTTAGCACTGCTGTCCATCCATACCTCCCCGAGGTTGTGGCCAGTGTCTCGCCTCTGGAGTGCTGGACAGTGTCACCAGTGCTCTGCAAGGTCCTCTGCAGAACATCGGCCTCCTCCCTCTGACCCAGTGGCCTCCTGAGCCTGTAGGGGAGGCGCCAGCTGCAGGGTAGGAGGCAGGGACAGGCTCAGGTGTTCTGGCCCCCGGGCCCAGCACCCCCTGCTTTGGCCCCAGCGCTGGCTCCGGACCTGCACTCTGGCCCATGAGAAATGGACCCAGCATCAGCTCTCACCAGACGATCGAGACTCAGACAGGGGTGAGAGGAAGAAAAACATTAATTAAATGTCACTGCTTGTCCAGGTCCACATAACAGCGTCTTCTATAACGTATAAGAGAAACGCAAAATAGTTCAAAAGGAACACGTCCACTCCATCGGGTAACGGGCCTCGGAGGACCTTCCAGCATCTGCATCCGGCTGTCTGAATGTGGGGGCCACGTGGTTCGTGGGGAGCTGGGTGCAGTCAGCTCGTCCCTCCGAGGGGACATTTAAGGGGAGCTGTGTCACCCTCTGAGTCACTGAGTGAAGCCAATGGAATCCTTGGGAGTCACGAAGTATCCTTGCCTGGGCCCCTGGAGTGGGCCCTGGTTGGCCTCCTTTCTCATCTGGTGATGCGTGGCAGGCACCCCAACCTGGGCTGATCCTGGGTTTGCTGCAGAGCGGCTTGGGTGCTGTCTTTGGACATTCATTCCCCTGTCACGCCGCCCTCCCTAGAGTGACAGCCCTTGCCTGGAGCCCAGGCCCCGAGGGAGCAGGATTTAGTGTCCCAGAAGTACAAAGGCGACAGAGTGACCAGTGGATGCCAAGAGCATGGCTAGTGGGAGAAGGGACTTCACTGGCCTGGGGGACAGCTGTGTGGCCAACCGGCTCCACCCTGCAGCTAAGGACTATGCCACGTGTCCCAGCCCAGGCTTTTCAGGCTAGTGCCGCGGGCCATGGGGAGCACAGCAGCCGTGGGACCCACAGCCACTGTCTGTGCAGGGTGGCGGGTACCCACCCCTGGAGGATGGGGATGGCAGGTCTCCTGTGAGAAGCCCCTTCCCGAAGGGCAGTTTCAACCTTGCTGGACACCGCAGTCCTTTCCTTTGAGTTGTGGAACACTGAGTCTCATGGATGGTCCCGAGCTGTTTGCTCCTCTCCTCCCCGGCCCTAGGGAGTCGGGGTGTCCAGGGCCCTCGATTTCTTAGCGGGGTGGAGACTGACTCCAGCTACTCTACGGCACCCGCCCCAGGAGCTGTGCTGACCCAGCCCTCTCCGCTCGTCCTGGTCAGACAGGTTCGCAATCCCTGCAGGCCAAGGCCTGGTGTTTGGTCCAGGCTCTGAGCTCAGTGTCACACTGACAGGGTCAGCACCAGGTGGTGCACAGGACCCAGGGTCTTGCCTTCCTTTATCAGATTTCTCTAGGGCCAAGTGAGGCCCGGTCCAAGGAGTCACAGAGCTGCAGAAGCCCTGTGACTTCAGGGGTACTCACCTGAGACTGACCAATGTGGCTTTGTCTTTGGGCAGTGCAGGGAACCAGCATGGCATAGACAGTGCTGATCTCAGTAGGATTCAGAGACCACAGAGCCAGGACTCTCGGCCTGCATGGCCATAGGCTGCTTTTGCCCTTTGATCTCTGAAGACTGAGGTTTCCACTTCTTCCCAAGGTGTCCGGGGAGGAGGTTGGATTCCTGTTATTATGCCTCCTGGCCTCGGTGAGGGCCCATTTTTATGCCCACCCTCGGAAAGGTAGACTTCCGATCCAGGTGGGCTGGGGCAACACAGGAGAGGCCTGCTGAGTGTCTGCCCTGCCTGGTGCCCTCCTCACCACACGGCATGTCGCGTGTACCAGCATCCTGTCCAGGTTTCCTGAAGAGTGGAAGGCTGAGCTTTCCAGAGCGGTGTTGGGTCTTGTCCAGGGTGCCCAGAAATGTTCTTGTCCCCCACTTTCGGTGTGTGTCGTGCTGGGGGTGCCGGGTCCGAGGCCTTCTGGGAAGGGAGGGCCCTCCAGGAGCCCAGGAAGGAAGGGTCCCAAACCCAGCAGCTGCATTTTCAGCCCGCGTGGTCCCCAAGCGTCCTGGAGGCCACCGTCCCCTGGCAGAGAAAGTATCCATCGCAGACCACTGGGTGGCAGGAGGGCCCTGTGCTCTCTGCGCACAACCCCTTGCGCCCGTCACCCTGGAGAGCGGCTTTCAGAGGCTTCTAGCCCCAGCTCCCTCTGTGCTGAACCTCTTGGCCCACCCCTCACCCGTGCACAGCTTGGGTGTGCTGGTGCCACGTGGCTGCAGGCGGGGGCATCCGAGTTGGGCAGGAGCGACTGCTTGTCAGTTTTTTGCTGGGGTGAGCATGTCCAGCCCCACACACTGGCCTGTGCAGGGGTGGCTCCTTGTCGGCCACACAGCAGCACCCCTTTGGGACTTGGGGAGTCACCTGCTGGTGTGCCCGCTCAACAGCTGCCAGCAGTACAGACAAACACCCTGCTCAGCTGCCCTGCTGCCACCCCACATGCAGGGAACCCAGTGATTGCCCCCTGGGGTGATTTCGGGGCTCCACCGCTGTCTTTCAGATCAGCTTCTTTAAGAAGGGAGCGGAGATGTTCTCCCAAAGCATGGACAGCTTCCTGTCCTCCGGGGCTGACATGGTGCAAAGGTAATGTGGCCCGGTGGGGTGCTGTGGGCCTGCCGCACTCCCTGCTGAGACCACGTCCCGAGGGTGGTGGCGCACGCCTGAGATCCCAGCACGTGGGAGGCTGAGGCAGGAGGAAGTTTTATGCCTGTGCAGGTGGGCACCACCATGCCGGGCAATGGGATGCCTTAGAACAAGCTGTGGGCATTGCACAGCTGTGTGCTGTGACCTCCAAGGTTGGGGACTGGGTTGGACGATGCGGAGCCAGCGGCTCCGTCCCTCAGGCAGGCAGCTTCAAGGGCAGTGAGGCCCCCCATCCCTGCTTTGTAGCAGTTCTGGGTAGGCCTGGGTCCAGTGACTGACCTGTCGCCGTCCATCTGAAGCATCCAGGCAGAGCTGGAAGAGGAAGCGGAGCAGATGCGGGCGTCGCAGCAGGAGCTGCTGTCTGTGGATGAGTCTGTGTACATCCCAGACTTTGACGGGGCTGCCCCCGAGGTCAACCGGAACCTCATCCAGAAGGCCGGCTACCTCAACCTGCGAAAGTGGGTGCCTCCTCTAAGCCCCATTCCCAGGAAGCGGCCCCGAGCCCCAGGAGGGTGGGGACACTGGGGAGAAACCCTGCACCCCTGCCCAGCCACCACAGCCTCTGGATGGCACAGGGAGAGAGCAGAGCCCAGTGGTGCCAGGGCTCCAGGATGCTCCCCTCCCTGGCGGCCACTCTCAGCTGCCGCCTGTAGAGAAGTTGAGCTTGTAGCCTTCGGGGACCTGAAGCCACACGTCCCCCTTAGAAACCACACAGACCCTGCAGTTTGCCAGGCTCCTGCCTGTCTCCCCAGGCAGCACGTTAGACGGGAACCATCTCCAGGGGCACAGCCGTGGCTGGGACTCGGGTCCCTGCGATGCCGGCCCAGAGCTGCCCTGGGGTTGGCACTGCCAGCGGGAGCCGCGCCCACCGTCCCTCAGTCACTCGTGTGACCTGGCTCTGTGGAAACAGGGTGGCCATAGAGCGTGGAAGGCCTCGTGCTTCCTTCTCGGTGCTGACACCTCCCGCCGCTCCCTTCCCACAGCAGGACGGGGCTGGTGAGCACCAGCTGGGAGCGGCTCTACTTCTTCACCCAGGGCGGGAACCTGATGTGCCAGCCCCGGGGCGCCGTGGCCGGCGGGCTCATCCAGGACCTGGACAACTGCTCGGTGATGGCGGTGGACTGCGAGGACAGGCGCTACTGCTTCCAGATCACAGCGCCCAACGGGAAATCGTACGCCTCAGGGTGGCCGGGGACAGGCCCCCTCTGGGACTTGGGACCTTCAGGGACAGCAGTCGTTGGTTCACATAGCTCCTCAGGCTCAGGCCCGGTGAGGGTCTCCTCCGCCTTGGGAGGAGAGGTGGCCTGCATGTCCTAGGGGACAGAGCTGGGGACGTCACCTCTGCAGGCTGGCCGGGTCTCGGGGTCCTCACCCACCAGACAGGGGTGAGATCGGTGTTTCTCGAGTGTCCTCAATGAGAGGAACAAAGGAAGCAGCAGAGCCCTCCCACAGCTGCGGCCCTGACACCGCTGTCACCCGCCTGGCCTGGTCCTCCCATCGTCCACTTAGCTGTCAGAGGCAGCACTGAGTCCCTGGACGTGGGTGGAGGCCCGCAGGCTGACAGCATGCAGTCCCTGGGGGAGGCAGCCTGGGCTCGGAGGGAGAGCTCTGCCCAGGCCCGGGTCCCGGTGCTGGCTGAGCCAGCATGGGTCACCCCGGTCCGGAGGAGCCGAGGTGCTGACGGGCCGTGGCTTGTTCCAGGGGAATCATCCTCCAGGCGGAGAGCAGAAAGGAATACGAAGAGGTAACCGGCACCCTGCCTTGGCTCGCCTCCCCACCCCGGGCGCGGTGACTCTGGGGCTCAGGGCTTCTCTCCCCCTGCAGTGGATCTGCACCATCCACAACATCTCCAGGCAGATCTACCTGACTGAGGACCCCGAGGTAATGAGGGTCCCCCCAGGACCGGCTCCCCGGTGCCCCCACCCCGCCCGCTGAGCTGTGTCACCGGGGTTCCAGGCCGTGGCCATCAGGCTGAACCAGCCGGCTCTGCAGGCGGTGACACCCATCACGAGTCTGAGCAAGAAACAAGGAAGCTCCGGCCCCAGGTAACCAGGACAGGGAGGCAGCATGGGGGGCCGGGCTCTGGGGGAGCTGGGAGCAGCTGTCACGGACCCCCTGCCCCGCCCTGACCGGCGCAGCTCCCCCAGTGAGACAGGAGACGCTCTTGTGGGCAACAGTTAACTGCTGCTTTATTTACACGGGCTCTGGTTTATATATTTGGCCGTGACCAATCACAGGCTGCCACGAGGAAGCAGGGCAGGAATGGGATGCAGGCTCTGGCTACTATATCCAGCTGTGGCCAATCAGGGGTTGCCACAGAGTCAGCACGGGGCGAATACGGAGTGAGCACGAGGTGCGCACGGGTTGGCTAATTTAGAGAGGGACGTAGCGCATTGTGGAAGCTGGCGTGGTCCTTAGTCCCGGGTGGGGTATGGTATGTTGAGCGCCTGTGCCCAACACCGCCCCCTGCCCCGGTCTACACCACAGACTAGTGGTGTGGCCAGGATTGAAACCAGCCTCCTCGTGCCAGCGTACCCCCCGGGCCAGCATCCCCGGGCCAGGCTGCTGAGGTCTGAGCCACGGAGGCTTGTGTCACAGGTCCCGCCAGGCAGGAGCCCTCCCGCCACTTCTTAAGAGCTTCCACAAAGCACCATAAGCAAGAAATATGCGCTCTGGGATGGCCCCGGGTGTCCTGCTGCTGAGTTCCGTCCCGCGGCCCCCTCTCCCGGATGATTCTCCTGCCACAGTCTGGTTTCTGTTTTTAGTTGTTTTGTTTTTGTCTTTTTTGAGATAGGGTCTCGCTATGCAGGTCAGGCTGGCCCCAAACTCACTTTGTGGCCCAGGCTGGCCTCATACTTGCAGCAATCCTCCTGCCTCAGCCTCCCGAGCGCTGGGCTTAAGGTGTGCACCACCACCCGGCTCTGCCTCAACCTCTTAAATATTGTGATAACAAGTGTCCCACCACACCTGCAAAAATTTTATTTTTTTAAATGATGAAATCATCTTTTGTGTGTCCATGTGACTGCCCAGGCCTGCTCTGCACTCGTGCTGTTTTCAGGTGAACTTGCTTTTATTTTTATACGTAGGTCTACATTTTGTTTGTTTGTCTGTTTGTTGATCTTTCTGAGGCAGGGTCTCATCATGCAGTTCAGGCTGGCCTCGAGCTCACTTTGCAGCCCAAGTTGGCTTCGAACTCCCAACGATCCTCCTGCCTCAGCCTCCCAAGTGCTGAGGTTTTCTTAACCTAAGTGCGCAGGATTCCATCACTTACTGTTAGATGTTGAGTGTTTTGGGCACCTCCTCCTCCGCTGTTGTAGTTCCTGGTTAAGGTTTCTGTGCAGAGAGCTCCACTGCCCGCTGAGCCCGGCTTCCTGGTCCGGTCTCCAGCTCCACTCTTGCTGGGTGGGTGGTGGCACTGTTCCTGGGCTCACAGAACTGCAACACGCAGAAGGAGGACACGCAGAAGCTGGGCTGGTTGAGAGCTGGTGCCCACTGAGGAATCAGGCCTGGAGGAGGAGCGACAGCTGTCACTTGGCCTAGGCGGACACACACTGCAGGACACAGTGTGAACCACTGGCCAGCGGGGGAAGGGCAGGCAGGGCGCTTTCGAGGATGGCAGAGCTGGGAACCCAGGAAGAGCTGATGGCTCTGGTCCAGGATGCAGAGGAAAGGACCGGGCAGGGGCCGAGCCAGGAGCTCCGCAGCATGAGAGTGACCAGGGGAAGGATGGGCCTGAGCAGGCCCAACACCTGGAGGGCCGAGAGGAGCAGCACCTGCACATCTGAGCAGCGGAGACCGAGATAATCTGCGATGGCCCCCAGAGGTGCTCCAGGGACAGGCAGCGCCCTTTCCAGCCAGGGCTGAGGCTGCAGGCACCCTTGACCCCGTGTCACTTTCGTCCAGAGCACCCAGCGGCTCCCTGGACTAAGGTCGAGTTCTCGACTCTAGCTACTGATGTCACCGGGCTCACGCCACACGGCCGTCTGGGAGCCAGCAGCCTGGACCTTCTCTCTCAGCTTCTCACACGGCTGCCTGCCCAGCGACTGCTCACTGTGACATGGAGGCCGCCGCCTCCCTGCCCCCTAGTGGCCGGATCCCTTCGCTGGTAACCGTGGTGTCTGGACTTGGTCACCTCCAAGGATCCCTGCAGAGCCGGGCTCCAGGCCTGCGAGTGGTGTGGCCTCTGTCTGGGTCCCGTAGGGGACTGCCTGTCACATCACTGCCTCCTGCAGCATGGTCCATTACTGACACGTGTGAGAAACTCAAACACATCCACACAGACACGTCCAGGGTGCTGAAAGGTCACCGAGGGCTTTTCACTGTCCACACCACCAAAGAAGTGAAAGCCCTGCCACGCCCTTTGCCCTGGAAGGAGTCTTCAGTCCGGCTGGAGGGGAGATGTGACCGCAGCGCTGAGACGCCTGGCGCCTGGCTGTCACTGTGCTCTGTGCACGCTGTTCAGGGGCCACTGTCCCAGCACCTGGGAGCACAGGACTCGCCGGGAAGTCTCAGGGCTCGGGGAAGGAGGATTTGTGCGGGCGCTGGCCTTGGCAGGGGCAGAGCCAGCTGGAGGTGTCGCTGCAGTGCAGGGGGCATTGACGGGGGAGCTGGGAAGCAGGGCCAGACTCCGATGACTGCTGGTGTCCGTCCCCATGAAACAGTGCCCAGGCCGGGGCACTTTCTCCTCCAGCTGACACTCTTGGGTGCCCACCGATGACCCTGCCAGCCATCAATGACAGACACGGCCTGGCACTGAGATGCTGTCCCCCAGTCGTTACCCAGGCCGGTGTGGGGTGGAGAGGGTGGGCTCACAGCCCTGAGAGGAGGGGGCACAGTGGGGCTCCTGGAAGCCTTGTATCTCCACATGTAAAAGCCACAACAGTGACCAAGCGGCTCAGTGTCCTTGCTGTTTTCTCCTCCCATGTCACCTCAGCCAGAGCCCGAAGCATGCGGAGCTGGCGAACGAGGGGGGTGTCCCCAGGGCAGCAGCCGCAGCCCCAGACGCCGAGCAGCTGATCGCCCCCGGGACGCCCATTCAGTTTGACATCGTGCTTCCCGCCACAGAATTCCTGGACCAGAACCGAGGTGGCAGGTAGGGCATAGGAGGGCTCCAGAGGAGGGGAAGTCGCGTCTCCATCCGGCCCACGGCCAGAGACCCCGAGTGTCTACCCAGCTGACTCCTCTTCCCCCAGGCGGACCAACCCTTTCGGCGAGAGCGAGGACAACACGTTTCCAGAGGCGGAAGGTCAGTGACCGGCAGGGTGAGCTGCCTCCATCCCCTGTACCCAAGGACGGGCCAGCGGAGGGACAGGTGACATCGGTGTTCGTTCCTGAGATGTAGAACTGGGACGAGGGGTTGAAATTGTGACCCCGTTTGCTGTTCCCTGGAGAGTTGTTAACAGGTGTGGCCCGGCAGGTCTCGGGTCGCCGTTCCCCTGGGGACGGCAGTGCTGTCAGGTCTCGGGCTGGTGTCCGTCCCCATGAAACAGATTTGAGGAGGGTGAAATGACCACACCGATGCGCAGAGTTGGTGAAGGACAGTTTCATATTAGAAAAGCACAGACAACAGGGTTCAGCATTAAAAGTAGATAAGTGTACGCTGTTCAAATTTAGGTTTGGGGCAGGGGATTTGGCTCAGTGGCACAAGTGCCTGCCTGGCAAATGTGAGGCCGTGAGTTCAATCCCCAGCACTGAAAGGAAGAACAGTTAGGTTTTCACTGTGGACCTGCAGTCTTAAAATGTACTGAGGAGCATGCGGGGTGGGGGCCGCCCAAATCGCGTTCCCCCGGGGGGCCAGCGCGGTGAGGAGCCGTCGGCTCCTGGCTGGCCACATCCTCCCGGCACAGGCCACTTGTTTCCATCGGAGCCTTAGTTCAGAATGTGCATTCCTTAAAGGCTTTAGGTGAAGGGAAGCGAGTGAGCTGGCCCTGAGGTGCGGAGCTGCCCTTACCTAACCCAGCACCAGAAAACACATTCAGGCTTGTGAGCGCCTGGGAGAGAGTTAACCGGGCGTCTTCCTAACCCCGTGCCAGGTCCCCGTGCCAGGTCCTGGTAAACGTGGTGTTTAGGAACGGGGTGAGGGGGGGAGAGGGCCCATGGCGTAAAGGATGGGCACACACTGGTCCTCTGGGAGAAAGGCTGCTTCTTACTCAAGCTCCCCTGGTCGCACTGTCACGGCTTCTGTCAGTCGCTCTGAGGCAGCACCGTTACCCAGAAGGCCATCAGCAGCCACAGGCCACCGCTTCCCAGCTCTGCCTGCTTCGGGGACATCACTGCCCCCAGTGACAAATGCGATGCTGGAGTGGGTTTCCTTCCAGGAGAGGCGTCTTCAGCGGCCCACGCGCTGGTGTCCTCGGCGTGGCAGCTGCACCCCTCCTGAGTCCCTAGGGGGCGTCCGGGTGCCACCACCTCACTCACAGAGGACGGGAGCGTCTGCGCTACAGCAGCCACGCACAGGCCCAGGGGTCTGATCTGACGGGATGCCCCCCCATCAGATGCCCACGTGACCAGCAAGGGAAGCCCACTGCTCGCTGCTCCAGGGCAGGTGGCCCAGCGGCCAGGCCGGGGCAGGACCCTGAGCGCCTCCCCGTCTTGCAGATTCGCTTCTGCAGCAGATGTTCGTGGTTCGGTTCCTGGGGTCGATGGCGGTTAAGACAGACAGCACCACGGAAGTGATTTACGAAGCCATGAGGCAGGTGCTGGCTGCAAGAGCCATCCACAACATCTTCCGGATGACCGAGTCCCACCTGATGGTCACCAGCCAGGCTCTCAGGTGCTTGCTTTTTTTGTTGTAGTTATTACGTCTGAGACATAGGGTCTCCCTGTGTAGTCTGGACTAGCGTTGAACTCACTGTGTAGCCCAGGCTGGCCTCAAACTCAGGGTGACCCTCCTGCCTCAGCCTCCTGTGCTGGGATTATGGTGTGTGTCACCTTGCCCAACTTCTGGGGTACTTTCTGTCTCGTTGGCAAGGCCCCTTCCAGCTTCACCCCACACCTAGCGTTAGCACCTGGGGATCTGCTGCAGTGGGTGACATGAAGGTGCTGCTGTTTCGTACAAGATGCTCGTAAAGAGGAGAACTCGTGTCGGAATTCAGCGGCCAGTGAATGTGGGTAGAGTGCCCTTCTCTAAATGCTTGAGACCCAAAGCATTTGGATGTTTGGATTCTGGGGTTTTCCCGCCCAGATTTTGAAATATTTGCATGTATACAATGATATACCTTGGAGATGGAACCCAAGTCTCAACATGAAGTCTCAACATGGAATGCACACCGGAGGATTGCTGTTGGTTCGTTTCAAATTTCAGGCTAAGGACCCTCTACCTGCACAAGGTCTGCATAGACGCCGATGCCCTGGAGGCCTCTCTACCTTATCAGGTCTGGAGAGGGAAAGGTTTTGTTGGGTTTTTATTCAGAACTAAAAAATTAAAATTAACAATGATAAAAGAACATGAATCTGCCCAAAACACCTGGAGCACTAAAAGCACAGAATGGACTCTTTGTGGAGGGCAGAGAGGTTTCCGGTAGTGAGGTCCAGATGAGTGGATGGCAGCGGACACCAAGGGACAGTCCAGGGCCACACAGACCGGAGCAAGTCAGAGCTGACTGCTTTCAGAGCCGAGCAGTGAAAGTTTCTCTGTTAATTGTTGAGTTAATCGCACCGTGACAGGTCCTACTTTAGAGGACTGGATCAGGTTCACTTTTCTTACAGTAGCTTCTGGAAAAGCTTCGGTTCTGGGCAGGGCTCTCCCTTTGTATTTCCACAGGCCAGCGCTGTTTCAGAGCCAGGCTTTCTGGGTTATTCCCGGCCCTGGCGTCTGTGTAACCTCTGTTCCAAAGTTCCCTCGGCTGTAGCTTAACTGTCCTCAGCCCTCGTCCTGTCCGAGGGGCAGAGTTCGTGTGTCTCAAGCGCTCACAGCTGCCCGGCACACAGAAGTGCTCGGCAAATGCTGTCCTCAGGAAAGGAATTTAGGGACCTGGTCAGTGTGCCGCTGTCCCCCGAGCAACTGGAGACGCCGAGACAGGAGGCATCCAAGTGCAGGCCCAGCCAAGACTAGCGGGACCCAGTCTCCCCCTGGAGCACAGAAAGACTGGGGTAGAGCTCCATACCTCCTGGGTTATGGCTCCTGCTTCTGGTTCAGCTGCTGGTGTGAAACTGGCCAAAACAAAAAATAAAAGGGTCCTAGGGCTCCCCTTCATTCCCTTTCTCACTTACTGTGAGCCTATCATGAGAATTAGGTTATTGTGAACAAAATTTCACATGTGTTTTTAAGCCTTTCTGTATGTCCTGGACCTTACATAGAAATGTTTATTGCTCTTAGAATCAAAATCTATAGATTTGCCCCATCTAGACGTTTCGTTATCAGTGGAGTTATAATCATTGTTTTTGTAAACAGGAAAGGTTTTTGCTTTCACCTATAAACTTCACAGCAATCCCATAGTGACTGTAGCAGAACTTAGTGTTCCAGCATGTGCTTGGCGTAACAAGAGCCCTGGCACTAAAAAATATGTACGGGGATTACAAGCTGAATTCATCCCACGGTGGTGAAAGAGGGCTGTGGTCTTGTTCATCACTGGATGCCAAGTTTGCAAACAAAAATGAGATTTTGCCAAAGGCTTCCATTTGCAAATCAAACTGCAGACACACAGGTTGGCGAGCTGAGGTCCCACTGAATTTAAGTCAGCATTAAATTTTGCAGCACGGTCCCAAGGTGTGTGGCCTTGCCGGGAGGTGAAGCTTGAAATCTCGGTGAAGAATGTATTCCAGAATGTCTCCTGCAGTGTGACTCCTCTTGTGTTTATACTAAGAGGGAGTGCTTTTGTCCAGCCCCTTACTGTTCTCTCCCCTCACCTATGTATTTGTTTAAAGTTAAAATTAGGGCTGGCTGTGGTGGCTCACACCTGTTATTCCGGCACTCGGGAGGCTGAGGCAGGAGGATGGTTGTGAGTTCCAGACCAGGCTGGGCTACCGAATATATTAGTGCGAGGCCAGCCTGAACCGCATAGTGAGATCCTGTCTCAAAAAAAAAAAAAAAAAAAGTTACATTTAGAGTAATTCGGGAGCACTCCGGGGGAGTTCAGTACCAGCGACCGTCTGTTGGGGGAGGCTGTGCCGTCTCTGATCTGTCCGCATACCAGTACACAGTGCTGCTGCTTGGATGCGCGCAGGTCGCTGTGGGTTTGCTCTGTGGGCTCCGTCAGCACAGCAGTGGGCTGCACGGGGCCCGGCAGCGGCAGCGAAGCCAGCACAGGGCCACGGGGGTGTGCTCCGTGTGTGTGACGCAGTGAATCCCTTCAAATTTCAGGCTGATCGATCCTCAGACCCAAGTGTCCAGGGCCAACGTAAGTACAGCGTCCCTCGGTACCTGCTTCAGGCCCAGCAGTGACAGGTACCTGGCAGAGCCCCTCATAACCAGCAGCCCAGGGCAGCACATGTGCCATGGGTTCGCCTTCCATGGCCGCCCTAGAGTAGCCCCTTCCCCGCTTTCCGGGGCCCTGCCACCCCGGCTGTCTGTCCTGGCTCCCGCGGTTGGTGACAGCTCGGCTTGCTGTGTTCCTCTCCCCCCAGTTTGAACTCTCCAGCATCACCCAGTTCGCCGCTCATCAGGAGAACAAGAGGCTGTTCGGCTTTGTCACCCGCCTGCCTGAGTCCACGGGAGAAGAGGCCCTGAGCACGTACATCTTCGAAAGCAACTCGGAAGGCGAGAAGGTCTGGTTTGTGTGTTAATTTGTAGGGCTCAGTGCGGACATGTCCGGTTTTTAATGGGACATTGGGGGTAGGAGCCGTGTCCCCAGCTGTCCAGGTGACCGTCCCTCGGGCCTCCTGCAACCCTGCTGCAGGGACGTGGGGTGCATTGCAGTCTCCGCAGGGGAGCACACACCTGCCACAGAGGGCGAGGAGGCGGCGGCATGGGGCCATGAGCTGTTTGTGGGACATGTTGTAAAATCTTGAAGCTGCGCTTCACATTTGCCCTGCAAAATTAAAATCTAGGCAGATCTTTACACTGGACAGTAGTCTCGGGGCAAGCCAGGCAGGAGACGCCGGGAACGTGCATCCAGCCTGACAAGGCCCAGAGCACGCCTGGCCCGTAGAACCCACCCGCATGGACCCCGAGGTCCCCAGAGCCGGGCGCCTGCACTGCCAGCCGCACAGGCAAGGCACCCGCCACCTCCCGAGTGGACGGTGGCCTCACCGTGCTCCTGGATCATCTTTTCCCTGAAATGCTGATCCTTTCCTTCTTTGCTAAACGCACTGCTTTTCTTGTTTTTTGCAGATATGTTATGCTGTTAATTTGGGGAAAGAAATTATTGAGGCCCAGAAGGTAAGGCGCACGTTCGTGCTAGGACCTCTGTCCACACGGGAAGACCACTGTCGAGTTGGAAAGCCGAGCTCCCTAGGTGGAGTGGGGTAGCGTGCGTTTCCAGAGCTTTCTAACCCCGCCCCCCGCGGTCTGGCTCTGCTAACACAGCCACGCTCGCTAACCAGGCCCTGCCCCGGCGCCTGCTGCCTGCCTCGCCTCTGCACTGCTGGCTGGAGCTCCCACTCACTACCAGGACACAAACCCATGTCCCCAGCGCGTGGCCCAGGCCTGTAGCCCCGACAGTCCCAGTCCCTAGAACCCACCCCTCCTGTCTCGCGGCCACGTGTCCCCCAGCAAAGCTCGGGAGCCTGGTTAGTGGAGGGACAGACACGCTCCCTCGCCCCTGCCTCTGCCGTGTGTGGCCGACGGTCCAACACGAGGGCTGAGTGTGGTTCGCCTGACGGGAGCGGGGTTTCTGAGTCTGAGGCAGTAATGTGTGGGTAGCAGCTACCCTGCCGGTATGGCAGGGTCACCAGGGAGGGCAGGTGCCCAGTGCAGGCACCACGGCACACACAGCATGACTGCCAGTGGGGTGGCTCAGAGCCAGACCTCCTTCTCCTGCTAGCCCTTACTGTCAGGCCTGGCGACTGTCACCACCCGTCCCCTGCCCCATGCTGTGCCCTCAAGGGAGTAGGCCAGTGAGTGGATGAGCGTGCACACACCCAGCTCCGTGCTCCTGAGCCAGGCACCGGTGTCTAAGGAACGGAAGGCCAAGGCTGCGAGCCCGGCCTCTGCAGGAGAGGATAAGGGACTGGCTGTGTGAGCGGCGTTCAGCCCAGAGGGAAACCGAGCCTGAGTCCAGCAGTTTCCGAGCCTCGAGGGGCCCGAGCTGAAAAGCCACAGGCGAGCGCGGAGGACGAGCCAGGTGGCCCGCACTGAGAGCCAGGGGTCACGTGCATCTTAAGCCTGTCTTCTCTCTCTCTCTCTCTCTCTCTCTCTCCCCCTCTTCCTCTCCTGCCCTCTCAAACTCGCCTAACTTCAGGACCCACAAGCACTGGCCCGACTAATGCTGTCTGTGCCGCTAACCCATGACGGGAAGTACGTGCTGCTAAGCGATCACACGGACGACAGTGACGGAGGCCCGGGCGGGAGCAGAGGCGCCGAGTCCGAGGCCTGACTGGCCGGCCGTGTGCGGGCTGGGGCTCGGCCTCAAGGGTTTGCACCTTCTCTGCCGCACAGGCGCACGACCGGGTTTCGGGGTGTTGATGCGCGCACCCCTCCCGCCTTCGCCCGCGCCTGGCCGAAGCCTGCGCCTGCACCCGGTGCCTTAGGTGCTTCCGGCGATGCGGCCTCGGACTGTGCCGTGGGCCCCCGGACCCAGCTGTCGGAAGCAGAGGTCAGCACTCCTGTGTCCGGCGTCCTTTTTTTAAGAATGGCAGAGGCCCTGATTGACAGTTTGATACCTACACTTTCCTGTTAATAGCATCTATTTTTGTATGTGAATGAGCTTTAAGTGCCTGTTGTTCTTAAGAGTGTACTGAAAACCAGCTCGCCTCGCGGGCCCGGGCCCAGGCCCAGCGCGGTGGCCGCGTGTGCACCAGCCATCAAGTGGCTCTCCCCTGGGAGCTGCCCAAGCAGCACGGACACGAAGGCCGAAAGGAGCTTCGGATCTTGGGGACGTGACTGCATCAGTGGCCATTCGCCACCGGTGTTTTCCTCTTCTGAGCCAGACCCTTCTCAAGGACGGGCCGATGAAACCCCAAACTCACCCGAAGCAGAGTGAGCAGGGTGCACTTCTGTTCCACTGTGGTCATCAGGTTCCTGGAGCCCGGCCCACCCCACAATCCCCCAACCCCACAACCTCCCAGCCAGGCTTAGGGATAAAGGTCTTGGACTGTGCGCGGCGTGTACCTGTAACAAGTGCAGCAGACTGTTGTGACCTGTGTAATAAATTGACTTAGCCACGAAAGCAGCAGTGCTCTCTGCCCTCGTTACTTCCCAGAATGCCCTGTGGGGGAGCAGAGGGAGCCCCTGGCATGGAGGTTAACAAAATTACAGCAGACGGGACCGACTGCTCCCAAACACCTTTGTTCAATGGGTACAACACCATTTTTATTTTACTTCAATGTTTTTACTTTGTTATGTTTTATGTTACTTGTTAAATTTAATATTTTATTATTTTGGTTAAGACAAGGTCCTACTATGCAGGTCAGGCTGGCCTCAGATTTGGCAGAGGTCCTTCTGCATCGGCCTCCCGAGTGCTGGGGCTGCAGCCAGGTGCCAACACATCTGGGCCGGTAGAACACTTTAAAATGATGCACTTGGGCTGGAGATTTAGCTCTGCGCGCTATCGTGAGTTCGATCCCTGGTACTGATAAAAAAAATAATAAAATAAAATAAAATGATGCACTGATAATTTTTGCAGCCCCAAACTAGGTGAACTCCCAAGAACTGCTGGGAGAATCCGCTCCTGTGCCGCACACGTGCAGAGGAGCAGAGCCGACCAAAGCCCGTGTGAGACCCACAGCAGCAAAGAGCTCGAGTGCACCAAGCGGGCAGGGTGCTTGCTGAGCTGCGAGGCCTGGGTGTTTTTCTTGAGGCTTAAATTCTACAGGATGGTGGCAGCGGGGTAGAAAACCTGAGTTCCACGGCTCTGTCGAGACTGTGGCTTCGGTAGTAGACAAAGCACATAACTCATGAGGAGCAAACAAAACCAGAACTGAGCGCTGTTGAAACGTCACCACAGATACACCAGGCGGATGAAAGCAATGGGCAGGACACAAGAAGGCACCAAGCCCGCACCCCCGCAGCACAGGCACACTTTCGTGGGCATCATTTACACCACCGCGGCCTCACGGGCCGAAACACACTCAGCCAGGCCACACCGGGACCCCACACTCACCGCGGAGCAGCAGCCGGCGGCCTGGGGGGCACTCGGCCTGTGTGCACTGTGAGCCCCTGTGCCCCCAGTGAATCGGCTGGGGGTCCACACGGTGGGCGCTGAGAATGCTGAAGCCACAGTGCCCAAACAGTGAGACCCACTGAGGCTGGGCTGCAGGGCCGATGTTGCCATCGGGGAAGACGCACAGGCTGCACGCTGCGGGGCAGCACGGGGCTGCCTGCCACACAGAGCCTCTGTGGGCAGCGAATGCTTGGTGATTTCAAATAACTTTTTATGTTTTTTGAGACAGGGGCCTTGTTATGTAGCCCAGACTGGCCTCAAACTCAGGCTCCTCCTGCCTCGGCCTCTCCCTGCCGGGCCTACAGGTGAGCACCAGGCCTGGCCAACAATTTTAAGATGTGGCAACAGCAGTGATTCCCCTTCTCTACAGCTACTGAAACGTGTGCCAACATTTAAGTGCCTAAATGAGAGGCGGGCAGGGAGCGTTTTCAGAGGCCTGCTCTCTTCACCAACCTCCGTTTCCGGTCTGAGGGAGCAACCCTACCTCTCAGGAAGACAGCCTGCCTTAATTCACCACCCAAGTTGAGCCCCTTAACCCTTTTAGGGCCAGTGTGCCACTTTTGGGATGCCACTATTCCAGAGGTACATAATAAACATTTTTCTCAAATTCTTGTCCCTTGAATTTTTCTAGGTAACGTAGGACATTTTATACAAAAATTCAACAGAGTACAACCTTTAGCCTAAGTGGGTTAATAAACTTCAGCCCTTAGAGACCCAAAGTCTGCTTATTTAAAAGAAAACTGTTCTCGGCCCAGTTTCTGCCTGCAGAGGTGGGAGGAGTCCAGGGCACAGGACCAAACAGGACTCACTCAGCAGGCCTAGAGGCTAGTGGCCAGCCATGGAGCTGACCTCCTGGACAAGCAATTTTGCATTTCCAACCCACAGAGCTTGAAGAATTATCCCAGCAGGCGCCCTGTCAAGGTATCTTAGTGCCTGGCTACCTTTCCAGCAGATTCCTCAAAGATTAAATACCTTATTTTCATGCAGACAAGTATTTCTCCAGTACTCAGGAGGCTGAGGTATGAGGATCACCCCAAGTTTGAGGCCAACCTGGGCTACACAGTGAGACCTTGTCTCAGACTATTTTTAAAAAAAGGTCGTTTGCCGGCGTGAACCCTTGATGAGGGCCTGCTAGGGAGCATCTGGGTATCCGTGTCTTGCATGCAATAGACAATGTATTTACAGCCCTTAAAGGCAGCCCCCGTTAGGCCACAGCTACATGACAAAGGGCTGAGCTGCCTGGAACGTGGGGACGCATCTGCTGTGCTCCTCGGCAGGCTTTCCCTGTGCACACCGCCCTCCAGCGCAGCCCTCAGCCCACCGGGGCCCTCCTGCAGGCAGCCCCTGGGCTCCCACTCCCTCTGGGCGCTCCTTCTGCGCCACCTCCCCCAGGCTGGCCCTGAACCCACAGCGCTCCTGGCTCAGCCTCTCAGGTGCAGACTGCAAGTGTGCAGCCGACGCAGTTGCTGCGGACGTCCAAGAGCTGCCTGTGAAAACACGCAGTGAAGACCTGAGGAAGGAAACGCAGCTTGCAATGTCTGCAGCGTGAGTCTTGAGAATCGTGATAAACTTGCGCAGACCGGTCGAAGCCTGCCTGCCGTTTCCCATTTAGCAAACCGGGCAGCACAGCAGGATGACCTCCCTCCGGGGGGCAGGAGCTCGCTCCCACCCCAGGGCCCTGCCTTGGGCCTCCGGGTCAGCACCCGCCAGTGTGACCTGCGTCCTGCTCAGCTTCCCCACTGCGCACGTGCGGCCCTTTCCGGGACTAGGGCTTAGCGTAACTCGGCCTCAGTGACAACACCAAGCTGTGGAGGAGACAGAAGCTCCGACCAGGCGACAGCAGGATCCGGCCTAAATCTGCTCCTGCGTGACACGCTCTCCCTGCGCAGCTGCACTTCCCCACATCCAGGTTTACTAACAAAAGCCCAAGTAGTGTCACCGTGAGAGCGAGCCCTGCTCAGTGCTGCCGAAGGCTCACGCGCGCGCACACGTACACACACACACACACACACACACACTCATTTATGCATCTACTTCATCTTTTTGAGGCAGGATTTCACTGTGCAGTTCAGGCTGCCCCTCAACTCCCTGCATAGCCCAGGCTGGAGCCTCCAAGCACTGGGATTACAGGCGTGAGCCACCACGCCCGGCTTGCACACATTTAAAAAACCTGTTTAATAGTACAAACATCACAAAATGGTGCAAGCCTTTCTAGAAAAAGATCCCATATATTTTGACTTAAGGAGGACCCCCCCAAGTTAACTGTAATTACTGGCTTAAGACATTCAATTCTGAACATGAACAGCAATGAGTTTTCAGATCGTATTTATCAATGTTTTATTTATACAGTGTACTCACTCAGAGCTGGGAAGGGGAGAGCCCCACTCAGGTCAGGTCACGAACCTGCCACCTTCACAAGCTCTAATGAGAGCAGACAAAGGTACACTTAGTCCTTAACTCCTGAGAATCTGAACCTCATTAATTTTTCTGTGAACTTAAAACCAATGCTCACATTAATTTTTAAATTACAGTATGTCTGCAAAAATGTTAACATTCATTCATTAGCGAAGCAAAGCATCAGCTAAAGGCAGGATTAGCGCAGGCCTGAACACACCGAAGCCCCGCGGCTCTGCACGTCAATACCAGAACTCGTAATGAATTCTCCACACTGCAGTGACACCATTTTAGACTAAGGATCGGGTAACTGTGCGCCCTTCCCGCCGCTGGATATCCAGGGAGTGGGCAGGAATGCCCCAGTGCGCTAAGACAGCAAGACGGGGCCCACGACAGAGGACGGGCAGAGGACGGCACTCTCCCGACTGGGACCCTACCCTAGCAGGCAGGCTGGTGTCAGGACGGTAGAATCAGAAAGCCACACTGTTGCTATGAAATGGCAATTAATTTGATATAATCAAATGCACTATCATTAATATAGACATTTATAATCATGGAAATATAAATTATTATGCAGCATGCTTTAGGGCCATGTCTACAGTTAGTACGAATTAGGAACGTTAGATGCTTTAATCCGCTCTTGTCCATACTCTGTGCCGTGTCTGCATGACAAACAAACCCTCTCTCCTTCACGTTCTGTTTCTTCCGACTTTAACAGTGCCGGTGTTCACCTGCGCTGGGCTGGGGAAGCACCTGAGCCCGGCCCTGGCCGCAGCTGGGCACAGAGCGGGCACGTTTGCCCGCCGCTTCCCCGATGCTGTTCGTGTCCCACTCACACTTTGCTTTTCCCTGGAAAGGGACCACTTCACTGCATTTTTAAAGGGGATGATCAGCCCACTGATTGACTAATAAACTTTTACAGAAATAAAAGTGGGCTGCTGGGAAGTAAATCTCCTAAGAAGCTCTCTGCACTTTTCCAAGTCCCAGAGTGGCTCATGTCACTGGTTTTACTCTCCCAGCAGTCCCTTTCCCAGCCCGCACAGGGCAGGTGTTCAGCCTTGTCAGAAAAAGTCTGCCCAGACCAGCGCCAAGGAGTCACCTTAACCGGACACAGAAGAAACCTGAGTTTAAATGTGGAAGCCATTCACTCTGCTTTCCTGTCGCCACGCCAGTGTCGTCCCCGAGAATGACACGGCCAGCTGGGCTCCCTGGCGTCCGCTAACCTCCTCGGGGTATGCAGCGCATCTGAGTTTAGAGCGGTGCTCAGGGCAGGGCCCGGAGCAGGGCACACGGGTGTAAACTCCCCGCGGGGAGGGACACAGTGGCTCCTGCAAGGCCCACTGAGCGAGGCCCACGTGCAGGCTCCTCCAGCGCCGCTGCCACCTGCACATGTGCTCTCGGAGTGAGACCACAGGCATCTCCTGCGTGGTCAGGCTCAATCCTTTACAAAAGCAACAAACTGACTTAGAGACAGTACGCACAGAACTGCCGATGCCTGGACACACGGAGCCCAGAGAGCTGGCAACGCAGTTACACACACGCAGACTCCGAGAGCGCCGGGGCACCCCGAGGAGTCTGGATTCGCTGTCTGTGTAACTTCCTGTCAGATAACTGTTCCAAGGAGCATGTTCCCGCCTGAAGTCCAGGGAAAGTCCAATTTTACAATCTTTCAACTCTGAGAAGCAGAGCCTTTGGAAGCGGAATGGTTAACTTCAGAGCGCTGCCTTCGGGAAGCCGCAACATCCAATGTTCTCCAGGACACGATGCACCGTAGTTACGACCTCCATCTCTGGCTAAAGCGCGAATGCACCGGGTGAGGGCAGCGCGGCATCATTTCACCACGGGGTCGGCGGACACGGCGCTGTCCGGGTCTCCACTGCTCGCTTTTGTGTCTTCTGGAAGCAGAAGGAAAACGATAAAGGCCAGATTCATGTTCATTTTTTGAAAGTCTGTAAGAGGTAAGTAAACTCAAGAAGTGATGTATTACTAAATTTCAAACTCAGGAAAGGATCCATCTATCAAATAGTTCTCTAATATTTAATTTTTTAAAAACGTCTCAAAAGAACACCTTCAAATGCTGACTGTGGCGGCGCACAGCTGTCACTGCAGCCCTCGGGGGCAGGAGCAGGCGGCCTCCAGCCTGCTGCATGCTCCAGGCCGGCCTTGTGTCACGAGGCGCTACCTCAAAGGAGTGAGTGACATTTTAAAACCCCGGAGGCCGCAGAGGTCGCACCGGCTGTCCCCGAGAGCAGGGGCCACCTCGCCGGGGGTCCCCTGCCTGAGCGCCGCCACTGCCAGCGCCTCCCGAGGGAGGGCTCTATTTACCCTGTCTTGGAAATGAACCTAAACATAATACATTCAAGTTTCCGTTTAGTGAATACGGTGGTGCTCTGGCGGGCAAACAATCTGTCCTGGGGTCCTGGGACCCTGGGACGGACGGGCGCGTTCCCGGGCCGTGGCAAAGACGGCTGCGGCTGTGTTCCTCCCCTGACGTCACCGTGTCTGCCACGGAGCCGGCCAGACGCGTCTGCTTGTAAACAAATTGCTGACGAGCTGGGGACCACTGCGTGTCCCAGGGGCCTCCGCTTTGCTAACAAATGTTACTACCTCGTGCAATTCTACAACGGCTGGCTCTGGGCCTAACAAACAGCAGCTAAGGTTTCCTTACAGGCAAACTAAGGCATTCTCTAAGCAACTGCCTTTACTCAGTGTAAGAAGAAGAGCACTTTAAAGCGATTTTTGATGAAGAAAAACATGGCGTTTTACACGCAGACATACAGAAGTCTCCCACGAGGCACCGAGAGAAGCTGGAGTCCCCGTGTGCCCCGCGGGGGCCGGCGTCTCCCCAGACGCAGCCGCGCTCACCTTCCTTCTCTTTCTTTTCCTGGTTCTCCTCAGCTGCAGTCTTGTCTGCTCTGAAGAAGATTCTCGCACTGCTCAGTGAGAAATACAGCAATTCGAATTCCTAAGTAAATAAATTTGAAATAAGAGGGGAAAGTCATTACAGTAAAACATCAAACGTACTCTCAGTAGCTCTAGTAGGATTCCCAAATACAGAAACCACCCCGGCACTCGTTAAGGTTTGAGTCATAAGGTTTGCAAACGCCGTTAATGCTAAACCCGCTCCCTTTACCCCGTCCATCTCGCGGGTTAAAGTGGGGTTTCCACACGGCTGGCAGCTTGCAGCCCCGAGCGCCGAGTCGGAGCAGCACCCGCCCGCAGGCCCACCTGTAAGTAGACGTCCAGCCGCTTCTGGGTGAGATTCATGGTCTGCAGCAGCTTCTCGTCCTGGCTGGCCGCCTGCACGAGCTGCTGCTTGGCGACCGCCCGGATCTCCTTCACGTACTTCTCTCTAACAGACTGGAACCAGTGCAGCGAGTCAAACTCCTGGTACTGATCCAAAAGCTTCAGGATGTACGCCACACCTGCAGCCACGAGAACCAAAGCCAGGGCACAGTGAGCACAGGAGTCCTCTCCACTCCCGCGCCAGCAGCTCCTGCACTAAGCTTGTCATTTCCAATTAACCCTCTCAAATCATACTGTCCGGCATAAATAGGGTTAGCAAGACGGCTTAGTTGTTTCTTAAGAAAAAAAGTGTAAAAGCATAAAGAAATAAAAAAGAGAAAATAACTGAAGAAGAAATTAAATAAATCCCATAGCCATGAAAATCACCTGGAAAAACATAGCCGCAGAACAATAAAAACTTCCCCCACTCAGAGAGAGCCCCAGGAATCGATGGGGAAGCCAGGAGAACTCGGCGCAAGACGCGGAACTAAGGCCAGGACAGAGCCCGGGCGGGCGGGAGGCAAGCTGGGCGGAGAAGCACACCCTGCTGTAAGCAGCACACAAAACCACGGCCAAGAGCCCGCGCCAGGCGGCCATCACGTGAGCGGGGAAACGGTTCCATTCGCTTACCCATGGCAAAACCATCATCAGTAAAGGCAGCTCCGATTTTGTTTTTTTTATTCAGTTTCTCCTTGCAACTAATGGAATGTTCTACAAAGTTGAGGGTCTAAAAACAGATAACAGGTATGAGAGTCAAAATTCAGTTAAGGAAACCTTTGAAATTTAGCTCCTGCAAGAGGCGTGTTGAAACTCATGTGCAGCACCGCGTTCGTGTCCTCCAGTGCGCAACACTGGCCTCGGACACGCGGTGCCTGGGGAGAGCGGCCATCTGTGAGGTGGGCACTACCCTGTCACCACCACCCGCCACAGGGCCGGCCGTTACACAACAGCACCTGGGTTGGACACGAGGATGCTGGTGGACTCTGCGGCCCCACCAACAGAAGTGGATGGGCAGTATCAGAAAATGGGCCTGTCCTCCTTGGGAGCAGAAGCCTCTCACACACAGGGCAGCCCTCCCGCCCCTGCCCGTGCTCCCTGACACCGGCCTCTTCCCGTATTCTCAGTTCCAAAGAGGATTAGTAGCCCTTTAGGTAAAGGATAAATTCCTCAAAACAGTACTTTCTCTTGAAATCCTGCTTTTTTAAAATGTCTAATCAAATCATTCAGTCGGCAAAAGATTCACCGAGACTCACTGTATACCAAACACTTCTGAGAAGCTGGTCAGCACCTGGCGTCCACTCCAAGTGGCCGCGGCAGAGACGCCGTGCACCTGCAGCCCGCGCTGACTGCCCGTGGCCCTGAGTGTCTGGTGGGAGCCAGGGTAACTGACAAAGTGGAATTTCTCTTCTATAAAATTTTAAAGAGGCCGTGTCACGGAGGAGGGCAGACCATGCTAGGTGCGACAGCCCTAACACCCTCCACTGGAAACAAAATAAAAATTTTACTTTTATTGCCTAGGAAATGTATTTGGTGACCAATCACATTAAGTGTGAAACCTCTTATCAGCTCGGGTTTTTTTTGGTATGGGGAAACTCAGGACTGCGCGCTTGGCAGGCAAGTGCTTGTGCCACCGAGCTGAAGTCCCAGCCGTGTCAGCTCTTGGTCCACAGCCCGCCTTCTTCCTAGAGCAGATCACAAAGGAGAGCACAGAAGCAGCGCCCATGGCAGCCTCATCCCCGCCTCCCTGCGGCTCAGGCTCTCCCCACTTCCTGAGCTGGCCGCAGCGCCAGCAGGCCGGACGGCCTTGCCGTCTGCCTAGCACGAAAGGACGCGCACCGCGCGGACGCCTCTAAGAATCTTTGCCGTGTCACAGTTAGGAGAGCGGACGCCGAAGGCATAAATCAGAAAATGCACAGAGAAAACAGCCCTCTGCAGGTGACTGGCTATTTCCAGTCCCACTAGGCACCAACACTTACGCACCATGTAAGAAAACACAGTAACGGTCCAGGCACCAACACAGAAGTGCTCGTTAAACCATGGAGCTCTCCACTTGATTACAGAAACCGAACAGGAAGCCACCCTGCCCGCACAGAGTCTCCCAACTCCTGACTCCAACCTCCCCACTGCGGCAATTGTCTTCATAATGCGATTTGCAAAGCCTGAGCCATACACAGGCCACTAGAGAATCAGAATGGGGCACTCCACAGTCTCAGAGGAGAAAACAGTCACAGTTTATTCTAGGCGTGTTTACTCTCCAGCAGAATAGTTCTCAAACAGCAGGCTCTGGAAGTGCCCGGTCAGGAAAAGCTCCCTACTACGGCAGTTCATGCTGCTCGCACCAAGCCCCTCGGGCGGGGTGCGGTGTAACTCTCCCCGGAGACTCTGGTGCACACGTAACAGCACACACTCAGGTAATGTGAGAACAGCGGGACCGGCTGGGGATGCAGCTCAGCAGCACAGCGCCTGCCTGGCAAGAGTGAGGTCCAGAGTTTGGTTCCACACACACACACCAGCAGAACTTCTCTGCAGTCTATTAATACGGAGCCCTCTTAGCCACAGATAACCTCCTTCTGCACAGCTACTCACTAAAACTTCCAGGGCACACTGCCTGAGGTGACCTGCAGCTTTACCTACATCAGAGAGTCAGGAACACAGTCTGCCTCATGCTATAAGGAAACCAAAATTTACCAATATCTTTTTTTAAAAAAAGTTTCGTTTTAAGCTCTGCAAATACTCACTAGAGGAGGCACAATGATATAGAAATTTCGGAGGTGTATGTTCTTTGGCCTTCGAAATTCTGGTGCAAAAACATCCACAAGCATTTTGAAATACTCTGTGCCTTCCGCAGAATTTCGTGTGTGATCACTGAGAACTGAGTCCAGATGCCTAAAAAACAAACAAAAAAGAACAAAAATAAAATAGTAGAAATTGCTTTCGGTTCCTTCTTCAAAAGCAGGTGTCTTCTGAAAACCCCTCCTCCTCAGGCAGGTGAAAAACAGCTCCGCCTGTTCAGATCGCGCTTGGAGCACCCCGAGCACCGCGGCATTGGCCAAGTCGCCCCAGTACAGAGCTGCCCAAGCCTCAGGAGTCCCCTCCCCGTGAGCGACTGTTCCCTTTTAAATGTCTCCTCACCTCCACCTGAACCTGGGTCTCTTCCAAGAACTTAGCTGCCCTTTTAACCTTCAGAACGCGACTCCTCTTTTTCTTGGAATCAAAGTGCGTACTTTCAAACTGTCACTTCTCACAGTCCTCACAGCAGATATTCCTCAATGCACCCGGTGCTGCATGGGGCAAGCCCACGGGCCGCCCACAGGCCAAGGAGCAGGGGCACCTCATCCCACCGCCCGGCCCTTTGTGGGTGGCCACATCCCGCCAGGAGCCGCCAGAGCAGCCCCCACGCCGGCCCTCCCGGGGCACCCTGCACATGGCTCCTGCAGGAGATCCACACGCACGGTGCAGCCCGCCAGGCCCTGGGTCGGGCTCTGGCACTGCACAAGGTAACAGTAAAAATCTTTAAATGTCAGTTTTCACGGATCATTTTCCCAAGCTTGTAAAATTCACAGTAAGAAAAGGAGTCCAGCCAGGGCCCTCTGTGAACACCTCTGCCCTCTGCTGAAAGTGGCCTTCCCACTAGCTGCGGGACCCCGTCACCTGTGAGGCCCCACCGAGCCCTCCTCGGACAAGCCGGACCCACGGCCACCCTCAGCTTCAGCCACAAAACCTAGAGGACAGCACTGCGCTCCTGCTTGCCCAGACCCCCTCCCAACAGCTTCCAGAGGCTAACTCTGGGGAAGATGGCACCATCCCGCCGACAGTGCAGGCCGCTTCCGCTCGCGGACACACCCTCCATACTCGCGCGCCTGACTTCCAACAGCTCCGTTCTCCCGACTGCCGGCACCGGCACGAACCTCGCTACCCAGCAGGCCCCGGTGCACGGCTCTGCCCTGCGGGGAACGGGGTGCAGCTCACAGGCGCACGCATGCGTTTTCCTTTTTGACTTTTAAAACTGTTGAGCCTACCAAACAGTTAAAACCCAGGGTAACAACCGCTGTACCCTCAGCTAGATTCTCTCATTTATTTGCCTGCTAAACAAATTCTTGTTTTAAGCTACATGACAGAATCACTGCTGGCTCTCTCTGGAGACCGCGCTTCCGGTCAGCCACTAGTATCTGCAGTGAAATGGAATCCGATCTGCACTCCAGCCTCCCGCTCCCCCCGCTGCCCTCCCGGCTCAGCGCCGCACAGGCACAGGGGAGGCGCGCCGTACTGCGGCAAGGTTCCGGAGCACAGGAGAGGAAACCCTGGCTTCTACCAGAAATCTTCCCCAAGTGAACAGAAACGGGGGGAATGAGTTCCCAAAGGCGCCCGCCCTCTGGACTCCCTTCCTGACCCTAAGTCTTCAAGTGGGAGGGATGTGCTCCCACCACACTTAGGGGCCCAGAGGCACAGGGCTGGAGGCTGCACACTGGCCGCACGCTCCGCAAGACCCCCCTGCAGCAGAGGGGAAAGACTCAGGGCACTGCAGTTTAAAAAAAAACCACGGATGAAGCCAAGACCATAATTCACATAGTAAAAAGAGCGGCACCTACATTACACACCACCCTACAGGCTGCTCTTTAATGTTTTATACAAACACATCTTTGTTTAGTTTTTCAAGACAGGGTCTATGTAGTTCAGGCTGGCCTTGATCTCTACATAGCCCAGATGACCCTGAACTCAGTGATCCTCCTGCCTCAGCCTCCAAATGCTGGGATTATAGGCAAGTATACACACCCACCTAGCTAAACACGCCTTTTTAAACTTCCAAATTTAGATTATTCCAAAACTAGGTTACCTTGCTGCTTTTAATGTTTCTTCTGCAAGACCTTCTTCTTTCACTAGTTCTTCAAAATTTACAATATCTTCAAGATCAGGCACAAATCTATGTAAGAATTTGGGAAGAAATTTATTAAGGCAACTAAAATAGGTGCAACTGACAGGAAAAGGGGTACTGTTGACATTCCAGTATTGCAACTATGTGTTTCAGTGGTACTGTAATATCCCCCCCTCGTTGTAAATCAGATTTTAGTTATCACATTTTAACCTTTATAATCATGTACTCTATTGAGACTAATTCATAAGCCATAGTGACAAAAATCACTTAACTGTAACCTTAAGAGAAATAAAGATTTTCAAGTCTAATGGAGATTTAAAATGAGGGAAACAGTCTAATTATAATTAGCAAGATTAGTGGTTTTCTTCCATTTTTCTCTCAACATATACAAACAAAAACCTCCATAGTATCACTTAAATCACAAGAGAAATTTATATAACATAATCTTAAGCGGTATCAACAAGTCAGAAATGAGGTTTGCGTCCATACCTAATGGCCTTGCTGCTACAGTGAAGACCACCAGATCGGATCATTCGTACATAGCCCATGGCATTACCTTAAAAATCACACAGAGAACCAGTGTTTACATGCAGTCAGGTACAGGCTTCTGCTCCTAAGCTCCGAACATTCTGCTGTTGCCCTTCAGTTCTCGTCCCATAAACAGTGAGACCGTGGCGTATTTCCACACTTACAAAGGTACAGTGACAGTCAGCACATGACTTAGCTGAAGGTAAACTCACTAAACGCACCCGGAGACTACACGTGTGACCAGACATTTAAAATCCGTCATTTCTCCCCTCTGCCCTTCAGAGGCTTCCCACACACACCACCCGCCCAGAAATCTTTAGTAGATGCGGACAAATTTATATTCCCAGTACGGATTTCACTGAGGTCCAGGCTTCTTTCAATCCAGTATGCGTATCCATCTAGGAAAACGTTCCCATGTAAACAACCACGGCAGACGCGGGGTCTTCGCGCCCCTGCCACGCTCCCCCTCGGAAGCTGGCCCCTGCCCTGCGGCAGCTGGGGGGGGGGGCACCTGTAAGCCCCTTTGCCTCCTCCCCTCCCTGCCACTGTGCGACTCGGCACTGGACAAGCGAAGGCCGCTCTGCCCGGGAAATGCAGCCTGGGGAGCACGTGCACCACTCTCACAGCTCTCACCCTACTGCAGACTTCCCCGCCGGGTGCCCTGCCACGCCCCGGCTTCACCCGCACCACGGAGGACCTGTCAGAGCCTCCAGCCGCGGCTGCTCGAGCCCCACAGGTGCAGCACCACTCACAGGCCAGCAGCTCCGCCACACTACCAGCAGCCTGCAGTCCCAGAGGGAAGCCCAGCCTTCCAGCGACGGCACAGCCAGCCCCCCACGATGGCCCCTGTTAACTGCTTCCAGCCCCACTCCGCCTCCAAGGGCCCAGCACACTCAGGGCTCTGCGCTCACTGTGGCTCTGGCTGCTGCTCTTTCTCCAGATAGCACGAAACTTCCGTCCTTACAGGATCCAGGTCCCTGCTTAAGTGTCACCTCTGGGAAGTCCTCCCCAAGGATCCCTGCAGAGCACGCACACTGCCCTGCAGATCTGCCACCACTCACCCACCTCCCCCAAATGGTAACATCGAACTGCAGGAGCAGAGCCTTTCCGGTCCCACTGCTCCGTCTCACAGCCAACACGGGGAGGCGAGGGTCCAGCACGAACTAAAACAAGCTGAACTGAAATGACCTGGCCAAAAGACAGACATGCTAACCGTCAGCAACTCCACATCACCAGAGCAACGCGTTTCACCGTTAACCACCCTGCAGGGACCACTGCACCTCGCTCAATGCCACCCCAACTGTCTGGTTTTGTTGGCTTCTTGACACAAGGTCTCATTATGTGCTCAAGGTGGCCTGCAGCTCACAGCAATCCTCCTGCCTCAGCCTCCCAGGGTGACAGGGGTGTGCCACCACACCCAGCTGTTTTTCCTTCTCACGAGAATCTTGGGAAAAGCAAGTACCTAATTTCACTATTTCTTCCCCCAACTGTCACACCAGCAGCTAGCTGATCAAAACTAACAGGTGGGCACAACACAGTGGTGAGGAGCCAGACTTCCTGGTTCAAACGCAGACTGAAGCACTTGCTAGCGGCAGGGCTCTGCCCAAGCTATGCGACTGCTTTACATGTCAGTGTCCTCGCCTGGCGGTCAGCTCCGGCGGGGCTCAGCCTTTGGCCAGCGTCTCTCTGAGCAGCAGCAGCCCCTGGGAATGAAGGAAAGGGAACACCGCCTGGCCGGAGGTTCCCTGAGTGACGGCACACGCGCACCGCGCGCAAAGCAAAAAGGCTCCGTCACCAGCAGCAGGTGGCACCAGGACTCCACTTTGCTCCCACCTCCACTCCTTTTCTCAAAGACCGGAAAGCACACTGCAGTATTTTTCAGGCACAGACAAAGAATCTATGTTTTAAAAGAAGCGAGTAAAGAATAAAGTGTTGAGCTAAAGAGAAGAGGGAGCGTTCCCCAGAGAGAGCACGCTGGAGGAGCAGGGCCACGCCAGACCCCATCTCTCCAGTGGCCCTGGGTACGGAGGCGTATCAGGGACATGAGCTGAGGGAAGCCCGTGACCTAAGTGTTACTTCTTCAAATAAAGTCCTACTTTCAAAGAACATAAAAACATGGAAACTGTTGTAAAGGCAGTATTTACTCACTGAGGCAAAACTCTGATGTGCATATACGGAAAAACAGTTACAGCAGCACTCACCGAGAAGGCAGAACACCAGGCGCAGAGCAGACCGGCCCAGCTCCAGGAAACCAGTTTCACTGGCATCTAAAATCTACTGCTCCAGTAGTTTACCAACGAGGCCAGGAAGGACAGCATACGGCTGTGATCCCAGCACTCAGGAGGCCAAGACAGGAGGAGCACAGCAAGGTCAAGGCCAGCCGGGGCTATGTACTGAGTTCAGGACCAGCCTGAACTACACAGTAAGATCGTATCTTTAAAGAAAAGCAAGCAAGCTTGCCATCTAACGTGACACCAACTGCCTCCTTAGATAAACGGTGCTGAGCTGGCATTTCTCATGTTGAGCAGCTTAAGATAAAAAGTTTATGAAGATTCTCTAAGCTCCTACACACTAAAACAGAACAGGAAAACTTAACATGCAAACCAAGTAACTGGCACAGTTTAGGCCAGCCCTCGTGAATTCACGCCAGATCTAACTAGTCACATCCTTCCCACAGAGCAACAAGCCGCTCGGGAGCAAAGCCTGTCTGCAAACCCAGCACATAGCAGAACGTCTGGCCTAACTGACGCTTAGTAAATGTTTGGTAAAAGAAATCAATCCAGGAGGCATGATTTTATTAACCGGCTGGTGTCAGTTGATACAAACTGAAAACTGTGAAACACCTTTGGACTTACAGCTAAAGAAGCCGGGGCAAGTCTCAGGTAACCACTTCTCACTTCTCTTCTTCCTGTACCTTTTTAAAACACAGCCAGACGTGGCGGGACACACAGCCAGGAGGCTGAGGCAAGTGAACAGTTTGAGACCAGCCAGAACCACAGAGCAAGTTCAAGGCCAGCCCAGACTGTATAGCCAAGATCCCATGTCAAAAGGAAGAAAAACCTAAACTCCGCAACTGGCTGTGTGGTGACCTCCGGGGCTAACGGCAGGGCACTGAACGCAGGTCATTTCTGGGAAAAGTTCGGAGACTGCAGGATTTTGTTAATCTATGATTATTTCTACATGTAGCTCTTGCTCTTAAATACACTATACTGTACTTCAGAAAACAAGTCTCCTTATAAGTCTACTTATAAGACAGAAGTACGAATCACACAAGTATTAAGCTGGTATAACCAAAAAAATCAGCATTTGGCATTTTATCTCTAACTTATATATGTTATTAATTTAAAGTACTATCTTTTCATATAAATGTTTCCTACCTTCGTGTTTTGGCTATTATGTGAGACAATCTCTTTTATTTTATGTATCTATTTTTGTCTCTATTGTCTGGTCTTCAGCTCACTCTGCAGCCCGGTTGGTCTCAAACTTGCAACAGTTCTCCTGCTTCAGCCTGCCCAGTGCTAGGGTTACAGGCTGCACTACCACACCCAGCTAAGAGAACCTCTTTTAAAGTTAAAATGATGCTTTGAACAACAGGTATCAGTAAGTACTTACAGGCTATTAATTTTGAATATGGCCTCTGAGATGATTAATTTGATAGGAGAGGTTTTACTTAGCTTTTTATTAGTCTGCAGTTTACCAATTATTTCTGCAGCAAAAATCCTCGAAGGCAAATTCCCCTAGTGGAACAGCGCTGAGCTGGACACAAGCTGTTGGTCAGTATGAGCAATTCAGGACAAGCAGCTCCCAGGATCTGCGCTGTGCCTCCCGACACAAGTGACTCACCAATCTGGCTGATGAGCTGTCTGAACTGGTCAAGGTAGCTCTGCCCCTCTGGCGTTACTCCAAGTTTCCGGATGCCTCGGTTGAATTTCTCTGCTCTATCAAAAGGGTACTGCAGAAAGAATTTAAAAACTATCTTTAGACCATAAGCTAGAAAATGACTTTCAAGTCAACTAAGCCAATCCTACTTTCTAATTTTATTTCCTTTTGCTTTAAAAACAAAACTCTCAAGTCTCATGACAGAAAAGTTTATAAAGTACCAGGTGTGGTGACATACACCTGTTAATCCCAGCCACTCAGGAGGCTGAGGCAGGAGGATCACTGTGAGTTCCAGCAGAGCCCAGGATACCTAGTGAATTCAAAGCCAGCCTGAGCTACACAGTGAGATCCTATGTCAAAAAAAATATAAATAATTAAAAAGATAAAATAAAAACTACTTATGTTCCAGGTCACTATTATTTAAGTGCCCCACACCAGTGTTGGTCTCTAATCCCCAACAGCTCTATCAGACAAAAACAGGAGAAACTAATTCGTCGTAGAAACATCCGTCCACAGACACGTGACCGAGTGGACAGAGCACCTGTAAAGGCAACTGACTCCAGAGCAGGGAAGGGAGGAAGGAAAGCCAGCGGGGCCGGGCCACTCACACCGCTCAGCGCTTCCCAGCAACATCTGCGTTACTTTACAACGGGAGAGAGGGACCCGGCTGTCCCGAGCCCCGCACTTCCCCTCGAGAGTCTGACAGAGACCGCGAAGCGCAGCCTGCAAGCAGAAGTGGACCAAGAGAGCCAGCCTGGAGACAAGAGAAACCTACGACAGAAAACCCAAACCCGCTGTGATCTCAACAGCGCACTGTGCATAAACATCTGCCACACACCTAACAGCTGAGTCAAGTGCCTTAAAAAGAACACACAGCATACCTTGTGATCATTTTGGTCCTTGATTTCCCTGAAAAACCGAATGTCTTTAATCAATCTTGATTTGATATGTTCATCATACATAAACTGGCTAAAGATATAAAACTTCTTTTTCAAAAACTGGTAGGTGAAATTAACCTATAAAGATTAAATTCAAAAATTCGAGAGTTAATAAAATTAAATGATACTGAAAAAGTACTATTTGCAAAGTTCAATTCACAGTTGACCTAAAAATATTTAAATTTTCCATACCCAAGTTGACTTTTGTCTTTTACGTATTTCTCTAAAGAAAAAAGAGAGAAAACAGTGGCACATTTTCTTGCAAAAGGACAAAGCCATCCTCGGCGGGGAGACAGGAAGCTGGACTGGGGTCGCTGGCTTTCAGCCCCAGGCTCGGGTCAGTGAGCTCGCTCAGGAGCAGCTGCACCCGAGACTGAGCCGAAAGCCCCGCGAACTTTCTGAAGAAAGCCACCATCTGTCAGCAAGTAACTCTGAGCATGTTCCGCGCTGAGCCACGCGCCTGGTCTCCTGCCGCCGCCGGACACGGCTGTCCTAACTGGGGTGGTAGCCACTTTCCACACGTGTTGTTGAGTGACTCACATCCCCCCTGCCCCGATCTCCAACCTGAGAAGCGTGGTGCTCGGGAAGGAGTAGGAAAGGGACTCAGAAAAGGCCGCCAGGTGAGCGCCGAGCTGAACCCCGACCCACACGGGACGCCCAGCCGCCCCCCCAGCTTCCCCGACTCGCTGCTGGCCTGAGGAAAGCCAGGCCCCTCCGCTCGAGCTGCAGCTGTAGCTCCCCACTTCCTGAGACAAGCTGCTGGGCTCGGGAGTAGAGCTGGCGCGGGCTGACACGCTCTGCCCAGCTGCTCATTCCCCTGCCCGCTTTCATCTTGTGGAGCTCTAGCTCGCCCTCACAGCCCTGCCCAAGCTCCTCCGCCAGCTCTGCTTCCTGGCGTGGCTGTCCGACTCCCCTCGGTGTCCGTCACAAGAGCAGGTCACCGCAGGCACCCAGCACAGGGCTGAGACACTAAGTATGCCAGCGTGTTTGGCTGCACACATGCCTGAGGGTAAGCCACAGTCTATCCTCAGAACTCCACAGCTCATCTGTGAAGGCTCAGGCATGAGCTCCACACCTCACATTTAAACACTGGGGAGCCAGACCTCAGCCCGCACCGTGACCACAGGACAGCTCCAGCCATCCGTCAGCGCAGACCTTCAAAGCCCTCCCCGCCGGCTACTACAGTGATTCCGACTCGCTGTCCAGTCCTCCCTGAGCCTTCATGCCGACACTTAGGCATCCACAGTTCGTACTCTTTAAAGAGAAATGAACTGTGCCCTGATCACAGGTCAGTACTAAGACTCCTTTCTCCGCTTCCTAGAGAGGCAAAAACAGCACACAAGATCCAGTGACCCCAGGTGAGCTGAGCGCCCATGTCTAGGAAGATGGTATCTGTAAGTAGTAAGTTCTGTCTGAGAGCATGAATGACATTTAATAAACTGCTCTCTACGACTTGGTTTGAAACGCTTCTCTCAGAGGATACTGGAGAATCAACAGAGGCACACAGGCACAGAGCCCGCCACCCTCCAACGCACACAGCTGCTCGTGCCAACAGCCCCGCGCTGGCGCTACCTCGGCGAGCCTCCCACTGAGCTGCCCTCACACCCAGCACAACTTCAGTGTCAGAGTTTGTAAGACTCTACCTACTGCTAGGGGAAATGGAAATGCAGGATAATATAAACAGGCAGTAAAATATCCTGTAAGAAAATTATCTTCCAAATTATATTATCAGGAGTATATTAACCTCCCAACCACCGAACCAGATGCTTACCGTGGTGTTCATGATTCCCGTGCCATGTGTTCGAATTGAATTAGCAATATGTCGAATATTAATAGTATTCAAATGTTTATTATTGCTTGTTCGTTCAATAAAAATCTGCAGCAAAACATGTGCATGTTTAATTACAATACAGCCCACAGCAAACACTGATTAGTCAAAGAAACTTTACAGCTGGTTTCACTAAAGGCAATTTGACTATAAAGCCACTCATACACCAAAAACCAACAAGTAAGATCTCAGAACAATTATTTCTTATTTTATATATTTTACAAATCTTTACCCTTAAAAAATATCAATTTCTTGCCCTTTGACCTTTCCCCTCTCTATTCAGCCACATTAAAAAGAATTCCCTAAACCCACTCACCTGATTGTTGAGATTATAGAGGTATCGAGACACAAATATATGAATATTTCTCATAATTTCCAAAACATCAAGGCCCTACAACACAATTCACATGAAAACACTGTTATTAAAGTCACATCCATTAGTTAAGCTTGTAACATACTGTCACTTGTGGTGTAGGTGAATTCTCTGATGTGCTTAGAATTACAAACTACACAAGGGCACAGTGAAGGTGCAGGAGCCTCCAGACTGGCCCACCCAGGCCCTGGGCAAGCCTGGTGCTCATGGCTCCTCCGGAGCTTCCACGGGGACAGGAGCACTTGTTTAGTGATAAAGACCCTGAGCCACAAAGTCTCCCCACGGAACTTCTTTGCAGTTTCCTAACAAAGCAGAAGCATGGCCAGATCCCGGCAGGCAGTCTCGGACAGCCCCCCGCCCCAGGTGTCTAACACACAAACCACCCTTCGGGTCTCTGCACAGTTCTTCGAGGGGCATTTCCAAACAACGAGGAGGGACTTAACTTCCACGAGTTCTGAGGGCAGACAGCAAGAGGCAGACCCTTGAGATCTTACAAAGTCTAATGCCAAATCGCTGCCTTTCTTTTGACTACCCCAGACCGCTTCCATCGCAGGTGAGGCTCACGTACTACGCCCACATCCCGCGGTATTTACAGACCTCAGTCTACAGCTTTTCCACAGGCTCCAAAGCTGCACTGCACACCTGCACCTTCTATCACAGCTTTTCTCTTTTTGAATCTAAGTCTGTTTACACTTTTTTCTCCCATAAGACTGAAAGTAACAAAAAATAGAATGCTTTCTCTCTCTCTCTGAATCCCTAACACAGGAGCACTGTCTAGCATATTCTCAATAAACCCTAGATGCATACATAAGTGAATGGGAGGATACACAAATGGACCTTACATGCAGCAGGCTCAGAAAAAATTATGCCAAATTCTGAAACTGAGTCACTTTTTTTTGATAAATGTTATCTGGATTATTTGAGCATTCTATGCAAGCTATTACACTCTGTTACATTGTATTATAAATTAAACTATAAATATTACAAATTAGCTACCTGACCTAGCAACAGCCAATGCTGCTTTGCATTTTTTTTTTAAGCAAGGTCTTGCTGTATAATTCAGATTGGCCTTGAACTCACTATGTAGCCCAGGCTGGCCCAGAACTCACAGTGATCCAGTCTCAGCCTCCTGAAGGCAAGGATTGCAGGCATGCGTAAAAACCTACTCTGCATTCCTCACGTTAAGAGCAAATGCATTTGCAATTATAGAGCTTATCACCTGCCCCAAGACGCTGAAGTTTATATACATGTCCAGATTAGATTTAAATACCACAACCCTAATTGAAGTCCCTCAGGATCCTGGCCCATTTTTGAAATTAGTATCTATCCATATTGATCTACGTACATATATACATATATATTTCAAAACTCAACAAAAGTCTGAGTGCACACTAGAAGGCTAGCCAACCAGTGACACGGAATTTTTCTTATAGTAAATGCTTTCTTTAAACAAAGCAAGAAGAAACTAGGTTTCCCCTCGAGTCAAGAGTGAGCCAGAAGCACCTCCCGCTCACCTGCTCCAGTGTCTGGCTGGGCAGATGGGCCTCCATCAGGACCAGGCCGTAGCGCTGGGTGGCCAGGTTCCTCATCTCGCTGTAAGTGGCCCAGTCATGAAGAGCTACCGTGGTGAGATTATAGAAAGTCTTGTCCAGATAGTGAGTGACGTAAGCTACAAAAGTAAAACAGAATCGAAGGTGTGGGACAGTAAGTAAGAAACGAAACTGAGGAGGGAAACCCTCCACTGCCTCTGAACATCAAGGTTCCCCCTTAAATAAGGGGCTGAGAACGACAGCTGACATCACCACACCCAAAACACACCCTCTGGGTTCTGTCTCACTGATGCCTTGCTGGACAGACAGAACACTCACCGCGAATGTCAATGAACCGATCGAAGAAGCGAATTGGATGCAGAGAGAAGAAGAGGGCCAGGTCCTTCGTGCCCACCCTGAAAGGGTTGCGGTCATCCAGCTTCAAGTGCGTGTGCACGGACAGCCGCAGGTCCTTCTCGATCTCTCGGCACAGCCTGTCCAGCAGGTGCTGTGCACCAAGGAAGCGAGTGACAGTAAGCTCTTCACAGGGCGGGTGCAGCTGCTGCCCCACGTTGGCGCTGCACCCCCAAGCATTCTACACAGCATACCAATGAAGAGACTGCTAACAGGACTCCTACCCAGGGTTCAGGATCCTACCCATTAAACAGTCACAATCTCACTGAGAACATGGAAATTCCTCTGTTCTCCATTCTAAATCAGTGATTCTTCTGGTTGGAGAGTTCATAAATGCCACACCCTTACTGTGCTGTTTTATTTATCTTGAAAAGAAAATCAGAAGCTAACTGATGGCGTCACCTAGAACACGGACGTGAGCCATGAGGTGTGTGGAATGGCAGCCAAGCAGGGCGGTCTGGAGAAGGCGGACAGCAGGAGCAGGAAAAGGCTTCCGGAGCCCCCTGGGACGAAGGTGACGAGAGCAGCCGCCCTGTCTGCCATCAGTGTGATCACATGTGTTCTGTCACCCAGCTAACCCTTCCGGCTACGCACAACTCTCCTGCTAGGAGCTCTCCATATGAAATATTACCAGTTAAAAGCTAACTGGGTATTAATAGCTAAAGTGCCTAACGGCATCCCTTTTCAAGTCCATTTGGACTGTGCCTTCTTCTAATTCACAGAATTAGATTAAATTTAAATATACTCTTTACTACAGTAAGTTAAAAAGTTCCAAATGCCTACTATGGTTTGTGAAACAAAGAAATTACAGACTACCCTTTGTTCTACATGCTGATTTCTAATCTTTCCCTCGGTGAAAGTCTGCATCCATCTGCAGTTTTTCTAAGCACTGCATTTCTAGACGTCTCCTTCTCAAACCCAACCTCAGGCTGGGGAAACAGCTCAGGGGCTCAGCGTCTGCCTGGCAAGCAGGCCCCAGCTTCCATCCTGGTCCCACAATCTCCAACACATGCTCACCTCATTCAGAATTCCCATAATCTCCCTGTCGTAGCAATCCAGCAGGACCTCAGGGGACTCCAGATGCCTGGTGTGCTTCACGGCGGGCACGCAGTCTCGCAGGGCACTGAACATGTACTGAGAAGGAAGCCCAGTGGGCGTGAATTCACACAGCCGAATCGCCCATCTCAGCGCCATCACCGCGCTGATGAGCTAATTCTCCACCTGGAGGCAAAGCCTCAACCTCCACAGGAAAGTATCTACGGCAAAGTATCTACGGGAAAGTATCTACGGGAAAGTATCTATGGGAATGAGCAGTGAACAGAAACAGAAATCACACAGTGTGCTGATGAGAAAATCACAGCACTGTGACACAAACGGAACTAACGTGAATGGACTGACGGGGACAGCTGCATACATTACAAGTCACCCCATCAGTCGGAATACAAACCTAAGCCCGGCATGCATGAACATACACTGTCTCCTGCAGAGCAGATGACCTATTTTACACCTGAGAGAGCAGAGCGACCTCCCGACCTCCCCTGCGCATCGCTTGTACTTACGTGTAACCGAGCCGCGTCAACAGCGTTCTCATAGACGTCATCTAAGTAGATCGGGAAGACGGCGCGGTGCCAGTACAGGAAGCAGCAGTCGCACTGCATCTGGACACTGCGACACAGAGAGCGGTCAGCGCCTTGCTCCCGAAGCTCTCGCGGAGCTGGACAGCCCACCACGCGGGAGGGGAAGGGTCCTGCCTGCCTGCGCACTCTGCGTCTCCCCATCACTGAGCCCGACACTGTACAGAAGACACAAAGTGCGTGCTTCCAAACTGAGCACAGCTAACTGCAGCGGGGAGCAGTGTCTGAATCACACGTATCTGCTTTGGTTTTAAAGCCTTAGGAAACACTACAGATGACGTTTAAACAGTTTAAAATAAGTTTATTTATAGGAATAGGGGCTCAGCAGTAGAGTGCTTGCCTTGCACAAGGGGGCCCTCATCCAATCCCCAGAACTGCAAAGAAATAGAAACTGAAGTAACTTAAAAAATGTAGTTTCAGTGTTGACAGAACTACACCTAACAACTTTTACCACCTAACTTTTACCACTGCTGCATTTTACCTGCCTCCAAGCAGGGAAAGAAAATTTATAAAAACAGTGCCCAAAAATACTCGATCCCATGGAACCTTCATCTTTGCCACCCAATGACTACTGCACCCCATTCAGGGAACACATCTTTTCCATATGCAGCACCAGGGGATGCAGCCAAGGCGTGTGCAGAGCTACGTCCACAGTCCTTTAATTTACTGCTTTCTTTAGAGCCAGCGTCCCACTGAGTTGCTAAGCTGCCCAAACTAGGCTTAAACTTTGGATGCTCCTGCCTCAGCCTCCCAGAATGCTGGCATTACAGGCATGTGCTACCTGGCTTCAAATATCTTATAATGAGTAAGGTTCAGTATTTCTTCCAAGAATGGAAAAATTAAATGCCACTGACTATAAGAATGTCAGCTTCCTAGGTCAATAAAACAATGTACGAGCATTACATGGGCACTGCTCTATCTATCATCCACCTGGGAAACCAAAATGAGGAAGACTCATTTTCTCTTTAAGAAGCTTACTGCTTACTCAATACAAAGAAAGAAGTCACAAACAGCTGCAAAAATAAGCTTTAACTTAAACTAATTTGGCTTAGTGACTGACTACTGGTGATGTAATTCAAAGCCAACAGAATCTTGAACACAATTACAAAGGCTAGGTCACAGCTCTGTCTCTCACAGGCAGATGAAGCCGTATAGTTCGGCAGCAACGCCACGTTCACCCCAGAAGGCTGGGGGGGGACCCCTTCCTCGGTGGGTCCCCCAGGCAGTGCTCCGCACAGAGGCCAGGCGAAGTTCGGGTAAGCCTAGTCCCAGCCCCACCGCCGCTCCCTGGGGGTGCAGGGGGACTACACTCTCCAGGTTTCACTCCTTCCTACACTACACTAAAAAGAAAACTGGAGCAGGAGGGGGAAAGGAGGAAGGGAAAGCAAAACAGGGTGAGAAAAGCGGGAAAAGCAGCTTGCAAGTGAGGAGGGGAAGAGGGGCTGCGAGGAGGGCAGGCGATGGAGGGGAAGCACTGTCGAGGCACATCAGGTACAAGGAGAGAGTCCCTGCAACAAACGTGAGCATCAGGTGTCCCTGAAACGTGCCAAGTGATGACAGTTACAAAACTGTGGGCGCTGCCTTTTGTGCTAACTGTGCGGAGCGTCCTACACAGACAGTCCACTCACCGCTCTCGGAGTTCACTGATGATGTCCAGTTTCTTCATGACCACTTGAAGCGGGAAAAGCTCTTCGTCTTTAAACGTTTTCTACGACAAGGAGGGAAAGGCAGAGGTTGGGATCAACATAAGGTCAGGCCCGGCCAAGGAAGGACAACCGAGGACCGGAGAGGCCCGGCCGCTCACCATCTGGGTGCCCACGCTGAGCGACAGCGAGACGATGAGCCGCCGCTGCTTTGTGCTGGGCCCGTTGAGAGCGTTTTCCGCCAGAACTAGAGCAGAGAGCACATCGAGACGCTGTTCACTATACTTTTTGTCAGAAATTACTCTTTTCTTAAAAATAAAAGAGGAAACTATTAGTTTTGTTTCTGAGATAACCAAAGACTCAGAAGACAAATGTCTCACTATCTTCTGCATGATTCAGTTTAAGAGAACACAGCAAAACACCTTCCCTGGTACACAGCTCATGTTCTCGCTTTGTCTCTATCATTTCTTAGCCCCATCAGGAGCAGCTAGTATAAAGGTGCACTTGGAAATTTCTACTTTAATTTAACAGGAAATCACATCCAGAAACAAAGAATCAACTTTAAAACTGCATACTGTGCTATTTTTAACAGGTGTACTGATATATGCTGAAATTTCAGAGGAAACAAAGTCCTGACTGGTAACTATAAAAACCTTAAAATCCTTTGGAAATAAGTGATCAAAAATACTATGTTTCACAAGGAATAAAGCAGGCTGAACAAAAAACACATACAGAACAGCAGAGCAAACCAAAAAGGCACCGTTGCTGTGCTGAGAACCTGGTGACGCACATACCTTGGCCACAGCGATGGCGTGGAGGGCCTGGTGCTGCAGGTGCTGGGTTATGTGGGAGACTGAATCGGCCACGACCGTGCTCCTCCTGTGGAACATATGCTCGACTGCCTGCAAACAGTCCAAAGCAACGCTGTGAAAACCAACTTAAAGTTTTAAGCAAAATTACCTAAATAAATCTTTAAGACCTCACCCAAGAGGAAGTATTTATAAATGAGATACAATAAACACAAAGAGGTAAAATCGGAAATTAAAAACTCGCTTGACAGTAGACATTAATAGGGAAGTAAAAGGTGGTATTTATAAAAAGGTATTTGCCAAATACAATAATCACGTTTAGGATACAACATCACCAAAAAAAGACATTCAGTCCCACGGAAAACTTTGTAAAAGACAAGTTTTTCTCAAAAAGAAGAAATTCAGTTAATAAATAATAGAAAATATATTCACCATCATTAACAATTAGGAGTTGAACATTAAAAATCATGACAGAAACTAGTAACACCCACTGATTTACAAAACAAACAAAAATCACATCCTGATAATACAGGCCGACCATCCTTAACCCAAATCAGACATCAGAACTGACCCAAAATCCACAGCTCTCTGAAGGTCCACCTGATGGCACCAGTGGGAGATGCCACCCCTGAAGGGTCCCAGCCAAAACGCAGGTACACAAGAAAAACTCCAGGGTCCACGAGTGAGGAGTGCATGAACCAAGTGAAGCTCATGTCTGGACTTGGGTCCCATCCCCAAGACATCTAGCTGCAAACATTTCAAAACCCAAAACCAAATGGAGATCCCGAGCACTTCAGTCCCAAGCCCTGGGGGAAGTGATGCCCATCCTAGAGCAGTGCGGGCTGCTGGCGAACAGCGGAAGTTTGACATACAAGGGGGTGTATGAGCAGACACTCCATCCAGGAAAACAACATGACGTCATCTTGAAAAATGAACATATATACAACTAACACGCTGTCGCCCAACGCTAAGAAAAAGTCCATACCACAACACAGAGAATGGCAGCTCTGTTTGCAGCGAGCCCAGAGCCCAGAGCCCAGAGCCCAGAGCCCGGGCTAGACAAACACACAGCAACAACAGGGAGGCATTCCAGCCGCCCCTCACAGTACGAGAACATTCTAATACAAGCTGCTGAGTTAAAGTCAAAGAACACACACAGCGCTGTTCTGTTGATATAAACCCAAACCCTGCACAACCATGAATGGTCTACAGTTCGTCTGCACATCCTGGACCAAAACCACACAAAGGCCAGCAAACATGAAATTCAGGACACAGGTGTCCCAAGCAGGTGGGCTGAGCCACGGTCCAGGCAGGACACACAGGTGCTCCACGAGCATCGGGACATCCTACTTCTCAAGGGGATCAGTATTTAAGGGCTGCTTATTTTTAAAACTAATGATTATACTGCATATGCATCTATACATACATACATACCCTTTTGTTTGTCTATCTGACTAAATAAAGTATTAACTAATAACAGATAATACACCCAGAACAAAAAAAGCCTGGAAATCCAAAACCAACTTGATTTCCACACAAACCTTACCCCCATGATTAGCAGAACTTTACTAGCAGGTATTACCTTCACTCTGACCTACTTTCCCAGGAGCTTTCTCTCCTTTCCAGTGACAGTGCGCCCTACAGGGAGGGTGGCTCTGAACTCACCTCACCTCCTCTACGCAAGCAGCCTACTGTCCAAATCACTAGACAACAGAGTGTGTTCTCCAAGTCACAGAACAGCTCCACGCCAAAGGACCTCACTCACAGGCCTGAACACCGCACAGAAGTAACCTTTTAAACTCACACAACACCCTTTTAAAACTCCTATGAGCAAAGTCGTATTAATAGCACTGAAGACAACCTGCCCATTGTCCTCCTTTTCTTTCTCATAACATTAACATTAACATAACATCTCATAACGTAACATTTTAGTAACAGAGAGTGCTCAACTTACAATTTTTTGACTTTACAGTGGTGCAAAAGCACACGCACACAACCACTGCTGCTACCAGATTCAGTGAACCCCAAGACACTCAACACTTGATTCTGAGCACATTTAAGGTGGGCTGGCCTAAGTTCCAGGTAGAGCACCCAGACTAGCCATTCACCATACGCAGTAGAAAGTTCTCGTCCTCATGTAACCAAGCAGTCAAACCCAACAATCTCGTCTTGCAGGCCCGCTCGGTTCTCAGTCACGAGGGCAACAGCAGCTCCGGAAGCCCTACCTTGAGCAGCTCGATGAGCCGGCACAAGGCCTTCACGGAGGTCTTGGTCATTGGCTTCTGCATGGACATGTAGAGATTCATGGTGGTCTTGACCATGGTACTAATGCCGTAGGCATACAGGAAGCCCTGTGAAGGAAGAGACGATGTTAGTATAACTGAGGGAAGAGCCCACTTCTCCAAGACCTCATTCCCTGCACTAATTCCTCAACTTGCCATAACTACTTGTTTTTTAAAGGCAGCTCTTACCATACAGCAGTATTCTTCCTGGCAGAAATACTGTGGCACAGTGACAGCTGTCCCAAGGCACCCCTTGAAGTTTACTTAAGAGTATCACATTCGGTGAGTACTGTTCAGACCACAGGGTACAACTGTTTTTTAAAAACTTTTTCCATTTAAAATAAAAAACCTCCAGAGGAACAATATGTATGTCACAGCGGGAGCTATGCCCCCTTGCCACAGCCTCCTTGCCGTGCCCGCGCCTGCCTGCTGCCGCTCAGGGTGAGAGCTAAGGACCTCCAGGAAGGAGCCAGGAGTGAGGAGGAGGAAAAGCGGCTTCTGGCCCCCGGGCTCTGCAGTGAGCTGACCTCCCTCCTCTCCACCCAGACCAACCCTCCACTGCTGTCTGTCACGCGCCCTCCCTCCAGCCCTAAGTACAGGCTCCCTCCTCCTCGTCTACTGTGGGAGATGAGGTGTCACTTTGTAGGCCCCAACCCCCTCGGACCTGCAGTGAACAATAGCCCCCGGTATGCGAGACAGAGGTAGGACAGGAATGCCTGTTCTCAGTGGGATCTCTCACCCTCTGGAAACCATACTGTGTGAGCTGGCTTTGTTTTGCAGAAGTCATGAGGAAGTGGCCGGTCACCCTTTGTGACACTAGCAGCAAACATAATTAACATCATTCTTGGGTTAATGAATTTCCTCCTGGGCTAGAGGATTCAGGAGAACTGGTTGTGGTTGTTTACTTCACTTAGATAGTTTAGAATAAACATTGTAGTCTGTCACATTGTAGCTTGTCACAAAGAATGCCTTTTCACTACTTAATTGTCTGGGCTCCGTGAACTGATCCGGTTTACTATATAGGAATCTTAAAATAAAGATTGGGCGTGCAGTGCAGTGCAGACATAAAAGTGCCTTGTCTCTTCTGTTTTCCTTTCCGAGGGCTGCCCCCCCCCCCCCCCCCGTGTCCCGGTCTGGCATGTTTGCGTGTTTGCCTTTCCCGGAGTTCAGAGTACACTGACAGTCTACCACCAAGGGAGGGCGAGTCCTGGACAGTTTGAAACACTGAATGCTCTTAAGCTCAGGGAAAAATACTACTTCTCCCGTTTCTCTCTTTTTTTCGCATGTTTTCATTCAAACCTAAAAATGGCTGTGCCGGAACACACAGACAGTGACAGCTTCTTGGGGTTTGTAAAGGGTGCAGAAAGACAGGAGCACAGCTGGGGAGAACCTGGGCGAGCCAACGGGTGGGCGGCCTTCTGCTCCCCAGCCCGGGTGAAAGGCCTCCCCTCCCCAGCTGTGGAGCAGCTTGATGGGAGAGGCGAGGCAGAAGGCAGCAGGACCAAGGCTTGGGGGGTTGTGCACAGAGCCCCAGGTCTCCCAGACCCTCCCGGCAGATCCTGCCTGAGGGCAGCACTGGGAAGTCACACAGCACAAACCACCCGGCCAGAAAGAGAAGCTCCTCTTTGTTTGTTTGTTTATTTTTCTGGCAAGGCTTCAAGTAGAGAACTCTTGGGCCCACATCAGCCATTCACTGTTAGTCTATGCACCAGCTACACGGGGAGGGAGTGTCTAAATGGGGAGAGCAGGTCTGCGGTCTGTTACTACTGACAAGAGAGAAGCCACCCAGAAAAACCCTAGAAAAGGCAGGCAAACAGGTCTAGTATCTCTCGGAAGGCATCAAAGAGCTATCAAGAAAATAAAAACTAAGAAGCCAACACGGCCGAGCCCATCACCCCAGCACACTGGGAGGCTGACGCAGAAGATCACAAGTACAAGCCAGCCCAGGCAACTTAAGGCGACCTGATCTCAAAATAAAAAGTGACTACTGATGCAAAGGCGCTGACACCAGTACTGCAGAGAGACAGACAGACAGAGAGACCAACTGACTGACCGACCTAGGAGACGACAGGAGCTTAAGTAGTGAGCCTGGCATCTATGGTTGCTTTCACTTCAAGCATTTGCTTTGATGCTGCCCTAAAAAAAGATAAAAACAGGAATTCGGGATCCATCAAGGGGAGGACGAAACTCTGGCAAACGTTCAGCTCTGACTTGGGACCTTGAAAGATGAACTTCCCTGCTCCCTAAAACAAAACTAAGGGTGAAGTGGAAAAACCCAGCACCACAGGATCAAAGTTCTCCAAATCATTCTGATCCAGGACAGGCAGGCGAGACCCAGGTTGCCCAGTGTCCCAGCCGAACTGTGCCAAAGCGGGTTTCCACTGTGCCCAAAACAGCAGATCAGACAGAGAATTAGAACAGAAGGCAGGAAAGTACAAGAGAATCAGGGCTCAGCAGCGGGGTGAGAATGTTCCACAAATTCAAGAAGCTGCCGAACCCCAAGCAGCACAAGTACACTGAAATCCACTATTTCAGGCATCCCAGCAATGCTGCAAAAAACCCAAAGTCTAATTTTTTTTCAGTACCAAGAACTGAACTCCGGGCCTCTCACGTGCCAGGCAGGCACTGCGCTGCTGAACTATATCCCCAGCACAAAGTCTAAATCTTACACGTAATTAAGAGCTATTACACTTATAAGGCAACAAAACCAATGGCTAAATTCAACAAAAACAAAGGAAGCCCGGAAAACAATTTAAGGACTTGTCTGAAAGCTGGACAAAACATTCTAAGCAGTCTAGAAATTTAACACAGCAAAACTGTTGAAATAAAGCCACAGTTGTACCCAAAACTGTGGCAATTTGTCCACAAGAGCTCACAGTAAATGCGATACCAGCAGGCCTTCCACAAGCAGCAGGAGAAAAGCCACGATGACGATATAGGAAACCCAAGAAGCAACAACAACATGAGCAGCTCCGTGGAGAAACCTCGGCACCGACTGCGAACATCAGCGCCCGGAGGCTGAAATCAGAGATGATCCAGGCAGCTCGCAAAGCAACAAACCAACCAAGTGCTTACAACCCTCGCTCTGCTCTGCGGAGAGTGACAATAAAACCACCAAGTCACAGAAGAGCTGAAAGAGCACGTAATGCACCCTGGAATCTCCAGAGTAACCACAAAAACAACGTGTTTTGAATTTAACTAAATATAACACACCTAAACTTAAGGGGCACAGCTACATACATAGTGACGCGCTAAATGCACTAAAGACAGAGCTGTGAATGGGTCCACCAGAAAAATTAAGTAAGTAAGCCAAACAGATGCAAACATAAATCAACTTGTTCTGAAACCAAAACACAGCCTATCCTTTCCAAGTTTTTCTCCAAATATAACTTCTACAAGTTAAACAAAGAAATTACCCCCTGGACCTACCTGTATAAAAACACTGCATCTGTTGGTGAGGTCTTCAGCAAACTTATCCATTCTCTGTTCTTTAGACAAAATCGATTCCATCTTCATCATCCAGGCACTCACAAAGACGTAGTAGGACTGCACATCTCTGCGGGAAAACATTGGAGTCTTCAGCACAGCCAAGAAACTGACTCCCATTTCTTCATACTGATTGTAAGAAAATACAGCCCAGCAGCACCCATTCCATTTTTGTGGTTTTTAAAAGACATGTCCCATTCAGCAAGTACTTACAGAGAACCCACAGAGGCCATGCACTATTTTCGGTACTAAAAACAAAACATGTAAATTCCTGTCCCCATGAGAATTATGGTTTAGGATAGCTGAACAATGAAGCAATCAATAATTAAAATCCTATTTAATTTAAAAGACGTCAACTGAGGCATGCAATGGGAAACATAAGGCAGAGAAAAAATAGAGACGAGGAAAAATGGAATGACGACAGTAAGCTGAGTGGATGACTCTGAGCCACGACAAGGCAAGTTAATGTGCAATCTTGCAAACCTGAGAAGAGAGCTAACCGGAAATGAGGACCAAGTGCCAATGTCGGAGGGCGTCTGGCAGTGCGTCTGGCATGTTTGGGTAGGAACACAAAATGCTAGTGTGGCCAGAACAGACAGCAGGGATGAGGTTGGCAGGGGAGAGGTGCATGGTGGAAGGAAGGAAAGGGGCTGGGGAGGCCTCCTGGGGGACAGGACATCAATTATGGGAAGCCACCAGAGAGCACAGTCTGCCCTGCAAGGATGTGTCAAAAATAAACCGCAGAAGGGGCGATGCTTTTCCAGGAAACACTAGCCAGGAAGCTAGAGGTGCAGCGTGGGAGAAAGAAGGCTCAGCCAAGTGGGAGCAGTCCGAGACACGGGAGTCTGAACTCAGCAGCTGACAAGCACTGGGCGCTTACCATCTGCCGACCACCACCTACGCTCTGCTCACACAAAGGGGCACCTCTAACCCTCACATCACCTGCGAGGGTGGTCCTACAATCTGCACTGCCACAGGGAAGGCGCATGCACTCACGCCAGGATCACACAACTGGCAAGTGGCCAGGCCAGGATTCAGGTGCGAGCTTCCCCACTCTGACAACACCAAGGCAGGAATACAGGCAAGTCTCTCCCCGACTCAGGACTACCAGAACACTGTAGCATCCACAGCGCGTCTCCACTTGGACAACCTCTCTCCGAAGGGCCGCTTTACCGCCCACATCCTGTTCAAGTGATTCCTTTTTTGTTCTTCCTTTAAAGTGTGCAAAAATGGGTAACTCTTGCTTCCTTTCGGAGTCTGATACTTCCCAAAAACCTTCCGGTAGCACTACTGTCAGGTATCAGCGAGGAGGGCTCTCCAGGGCCAGGGATGAGGGTGCACCTGAGGGAGGCAGAATCCCCCAGGAAGAGGAGCCAGCCACACTGGCAGGCCATCAGTTTGTCTCCATGGCTCAGTCTGAACAGGGATCACACCGAAGTCCCCGTGAATGTGCTTTAGGGAGGCAAAACCCCACCATAAACTCTGAGAAAAATGTTCTTTGCAGAGCAACGAGTCGATTAGACAAAATACATCAACAACCAGTCTGCTTCGCTTCCTGGATGTTACTGGCCCCAGATTGGAAGCATGGATCTGAGCATCCACAGGGCCCTGAACAAGGCTTCCTCCCTGCCAGGATGGGCTGAGAGCAAGGGCCAGGGAAAAAGAGGCCTGACCACGAAGTGCTCCCCCACAGCGTCAAGCCCGGCAACACTCTGGGGCAAGGGAAGCATGGAGAAAGCACCCCGCTGGCCTGGGACCAGACCGCAGGGGAAAACAAGGGTTTCCTAACCCCTTCCAGCCACCAGCTCACGTCCAGAGGCCAGGCGATCACCAGCTCCATTTCAGACACACACACCAAGAAGAAACCACCCAACTCCCCTCTGCTCAAAAACACCGAGTCGCAGCCACACAGGCTTGTCCACGGGGAGGGGGCAGACAAGGAGGACTCAGACTTCTATTCCGCCCAGAGGCTAGGAGTGAAGGTGCATGCAGCAGCCCGCAAACGCTGCAGCCTGGAGGGAGCCGGGTGCAGGGTGGAGTACGGCCCCCCGGCTGCGTCTCCATCTCACAGCGGCCTGGCCTGAGCCCAGTCAGCTCCTCTGCCCGCTGAACTGCTGAGACAAGGCTTATGCCGGTCATCACCCTTTCCCCTAAATTTCTCTTTCGGGCATAAACCTTAGATTTCCTCTGCAAAATTATAAGGAAAAGGCAAAACCCACGCCGCCGCCCAGTGTCACAGAACTCCAGCGACTGCACTAGCTCACTTCTGGAATTACAGAATTAGAAAACAACATGTTTCCATTTGGGGAATCCCTGAAAGTGAGCTTGGCCCTCTGCACCCACAAGATTCACTGCTGACAGGATGTGGGCAGGGAGTCTGCACCGCCCCCAGGGCCCAGAGGCAGCCACACACGCCTCACGGCCGCCCCAGAAACACAGTCGGAGCCAGGCCAAGCACCTGCGTGACCCGGCGAGGGTCACTTCTCCAAGCCTGATCTCCTTACTTCAAAACAGGTGCCCGGGGCAGGGAGCGGCCCTGCAAGCCAGCACTGGGAGCCAGACAGCGAAAAGTGTCTGCTGTAGAGAAGACTGCCAGCCAGGGAGGAGCTGGGCTGGTGACAAGTACTTTTTCCTTAAACTTTTAGCACTTTCTAATGTTAAACATATGCAAATGTTACTTTCATAAAAATAAAAATGGGAGGACACCAAGTTTGAGGGGAGGCCTCCCCAAATCATCACAGCTACTCAATGGCTACTCAACGTCTCTGTGTCAGCAAGTAGTGCCCACACCAAGTGAGTTGGACTTTCAGACAAAAAACAAGACAGCTACGGCTGGGGATTTAGCTCAGCGACGTAAGTGCCTGCCTTGCAAGCAGGCAGTCATGAGTTCGATCCCTGGTACTGATAAAAAAAAAAAACAAGACAGCTGGCAAAAGTGTGTGTGCTGTGAAGCTCGAGGTGCCTACATTTTAAACATGGGCAGCCTAAAGTTCCTAGAAAATAAAGCCCTGGAGACCACCAACCTTTTTCAGCAGTGACTTCATTTCATCTTGAAATTCAAATGCCTGCAATGTAAAATACCTAAACAGTTTCGTTAATTACTTGTAAGACCTACTTGGTAAGTGACTGGGCTTTCTGCTGTAGGAAAGTATCCCTGTGTATTTTAATGGCTTGGAGACTTTTTCTGTCCAAAAGTTTGGCAGCTGCTGGCATTTTCTGGATCAGAAAATTATCAGGAAACCAAATAATATTAGCAGTTAGAGTGATGGCTGGCACCTGAAATGGTAAAGGCAAGAGGGACATTCATTAAATACAGGCTGAGACGAGTCACGCCAGGCAAAAATGACTGCACACAGACACAAAACACCTCGTTAATACACACTGCATCAGGGTGGCAGCACTTCTATACCAGTGTTGAATATGATCATCTCTTTCTGCCTAAATATTAACATGCACGTGGACATATTCAGTACAATTTTTCACATGAACAGTGAAAATAAAAATATGCAAAAAGGCAGACACCTGAATCTTCGCATCCTTACTTTCATTCTATATTATTGGGGGGAAAAATGCATAGATGTCTTGGTTCTCGCAGATTCTGTGATCAAATTAAATCTTTGATTTTACATTCAGGTTTCATGCAATGGAAAGAGCAGATACACAAAAAACTAAATTTTTTTGTATTTCAACAGTGAGAATGAGTGGGGGGGAAATGTAGTATCAGTAACAGTAACAGAAACTAAATGAACAAGTAGAACCCTAACATCTACCAATATACACACTCACATGAAGGAGAGCCGCAGAGAGAGACAAGGAGCTGTTCCATTAAATACAGGCTAAGACGTTTCATTTCAAGAAAAAATAACCATGCACAAAATAACCTTGTAATAAAAATGAGACACCACCTTACGGCAGCACAGCATGAAACCTGTACTTCCACTTATTATATGACTTACTTCTGAAAAGCAAACTACCTTTGTAAACAAGAATACAATGCATTTTAAAAATCCACTTATACAAAATCTTTTTAATATACTCCAACTGAAAAACAGAAATTCTAAATTCTTACCTTCTTACAAATGTCCAATAAAGACTTGTAAAACTTTTTATCAACAGTTCGAAATATCTGAAAATGCAGAACAAACAATCCACAGATTCCAACATACTTGTCCCTCTGGTCAATTTCCGAAGGTTCGCCTTATAAGCAGTAATAAAAGAGAAAAGCAGAACGAAGATAATTAAATTATGTTTTTAAAGAAACACAAACTTGATCAATAAAATCTCAAATATGTAATAATTTATATTACCAATTTTGGCTTCTACATTTGCAAAAATCGAGCGAAGACTATGTGCAAACTCTTCCGCAAAAGTGCTATTTTTGGACACAGACACTCCTCCATTGAGAGAATCAAACTGCTGTTCTATGCAGGCCTACACAGGGAACAGCGAAGAGAAATTAGTCTCATTAATAAGCTGTTAAACACTTGGCAGGGTGTGTGATGAGGTTAGATCATTAGTTATCACTTTAACTTAGGACAGAAGCTTAAATTCTTACTTTAACCATTATGTGCAAGTCACACAACAGGACCCCCATAACAGCAAGGGGTCACACATAGGTGGTAGCCACAGACGCTTGAGGTTCAGATCTGCACGAACACAGAAGAGCCACATAATGATTTAAATAGATCAAAGTTTATTGTAAAAATAGGGGCCTGGAGATTTAGCTCAGGGGCTTAAGTGCTTGACTACTAAGTGCAAGGGCATGAGTTTGATCCATGGTACAAAAAAATACAGCAGCTATGAACACAGTCAAATAATACATTACCACACAAGGCAGGGGACAGCACAGAAGATGGAGGATCTTGTATGAGAGAGACCCTTTAGCAGGTGAGAAAGAAAAGCTGTACCAGGCCAGTTTGTTAGTTTAAGTGCCATGTACAGACAAAAGGACTTGGTGCCCACAGGCCTGGATGGCCAGCCGGGATCATTTCCCGCGTGGCTAGATTCAAGGACACACACAGATAGTCACTCAAGGCTTTCTATAAACAACATTTTCTTTCTCAAGGCAACAGTTTTATCTGTGCGGAATGGCACGCAGCTGAGTTCGTTCAGCTGCCTGGTTATTTTAACCTTTTTCCTGTCAACCCCAAATGTGTCACACAGAGTTAGAGAGTGATGTTCAGGAGTGTTTGGAAGATATTTCTTCTTCTTTTCATTTTATCGTATTTTATACATTTAAGAGTAGAGTTTGTACTTTCTGGTTAGTTACTCTGTTAGCACTTTAACACAGCCAATGTGGAAATGTCCCTTGGAAAAAATAACAAAAATTATTTGCTGAAAAATGGACTACGAAATAAATAGGTAAACACAAGAGTTGGGTCCATCTGTTAAAACTGTGAGCATGTAAAATATAAATTGAAGTCAGCCTGGTGCGGATGTAAAGTGGGGTGGAATACATTGTTTCTGGGGGACATAGCCACAGTGGGCCTGTCCCACAGAACTTGCCGTGATGTGAGATGCTTTGCTCCATCCTGGAGGACACGCTGGCCAGCCATAATGCCTCGTGGCTGATCAGCACTTGAAATCTGGCTACTGTGACCACACAAGTGCTGTTTAATTTGATGTCAGTTAATGTGAAGCAGCCACACGTGCTCAAAGCCCGTACACTGGACCATGCAGGCTCACCTCACATGCTGTGGGCCTTAGGAGAATTAACCAGATGTTTTGGGAATAGGCTCACAAATCTAACCTAACAGTTAAACACTTTGGTTTTAGATTTCAATCCTTAGTTTTGTTCATTTACATATTTCTAAAACGTCACTGTTAGTTACTTTATACACTAACGATCCATTAAGCCAAAGCACTTTTTAAAGGAAAACAAATTCATTGTCCGCAATTCTGAGCTCGGTCAGCTGAGAAAGCCCAGCTGCATGGCCCCACCTACCTGGAATATCGTCCCGTCAAGCAACTGTCCTTCCAGCCTCAGCAAAAACTTTTCGAATGGCTTTAGTTTTTCTTCCTGAATTCCGAATTTTGAAGGGTTGTGATGGACAGATTTCATTAACCTTGCAAAAGATTATGAGAAACAGGTTACATCTACCTACAGATTCTTAAAAACAAGGTACTCTTGTTTGGCTCTACACATCTGAGTATAATAATCTTAATATATTTAATTTTCTTGTGCTTTTTTTCCCTCCTACATTCAGATGTCTGCCACCAGGCATTCAGTGAACATAAACACAAGATACAAAAGTTCTGCAACAAAATGAACCACGTTCAGAAAAACTGTTGAATAGAATGCAAAGAAAATAAATTCTAAGGTGGGCAAATTAATATTCTTCTGCACTAGGACTAAGGGGGCTTTATGCAGTTACATTATTCTCTCCAATCCCTGTCAAATTAAAGAATGATTCTATCTTCTCATGAGCACCTTCTATATCACATCTCCAGCTCTCTGGTCTTTTAAAAGATCTAAATTCTTTCTATCTGTTTACTCTTTACTAATACATTAGCCACAGAAAGTAAGAAAATACTCTGAAGCACTTCAGCTGGTGTACCTTTTGTACATGGTCCAGTGGTCTTTCAGTGTGACGTGATACTCAATAATCTCATCCAGGGTGAGCAAAACTGTGAGCAGTTCTCCCAAGTGTTCATACATAGTCTGTAAAAAAATCTTTAATGATTATCATTTAGTCACCAGTTAGAAGTTAAGCCTCATGTAGATTCTTTTAGAAGTATTTATGAATGTATGTATGCATGCATGCGTGCATTTAATTATTTTGGTTTTCTGAGACAGGCTCTCACTATGTAGTTCAGGCTTGCTTCAAACTTGCAGTGATCTTCCTGCCCTAAGTCTCCTGAGCGTTGTGATTACAGGCATGTGCCACCACACAAGCCTCAAGTAGATTTTTAAAGCAAAACAATTTAGGGAAATTACTGAATTAGTTAAACCAGGGGTAAAATCAGTGAAGCGATAGTCAAGTAGGATATTAGCCTTTGCACCAAAGGAAGGCTACCTGAAAACCCTGCACGAGGCTGTTTCTGGGCAAAACACAGTTACTCCGGTACGAGTCAGCAGTGCCCATCAGCTACACATAAAAGATGGCAAACATGATGATAGGCGAACACCGGTCTTCCTACAGCTGTTGTATTTCCCAATTATGCAAACTCCAAAGACACAGTAAAAATTAGTTTTACATATTTACCTGAAAATGAACTCCAGTTGTCTCTATAATTTTGGGTGCGACCCTGTAATAATACAACACCCAAGTTAAGAACCCCTTTTCAGCCACAGTGCTCTATCTCAAGGAGCACGCACAGGAGCAGAGCCCTCTGAATTCGGACGTGTGTGCGTGCTGTGTCAGTGAAGCCTGACCCCGTAAAACTCAGGAGACCGGGGGAACCCTCCCAGACCCCATCTCCCCACCGAGGAGCCCACCGACTGCGCACCCAGAGTGAGCTCCCCGGCCTGCACCCGCCCCTCGGGGGGGCTGGTAACCTCAGGGCTTCCACTCAAGGACTTAGCGTGGGGCACAAGAGGAGAAGTCACAGAGCAAACTTCATTCAGAACTATCAGAGCTTCTCCACTAGCAACCAGCATTTTCATCCTCCCCAAATAGACAGAAACAGAACCCTGTTTTCAGCCAGGTTGGTTTCAATCCTACTGAAAAACAACGCTCATTTCTGAGAATATACCAAAGTCCAAAGCCAAATGATACATTGGTGCTTCCTTCCCCGATATTTACCAAAGCACTTACAAATCAATTACACTCAGTCTAGCAGAGGAAAACCCAATTTAAAACTAAACAGAAAATTCAGATAAATCTCATTCTCTAGGGCAGAGCGGAAGCTGGGGAGACCCCCAGAACCACACAGTAAGTGCCACAGGGCTGGGGAGCTGCGTGCTTTCTCTCCCACCCCAGTGCAGAGTCCACTCAGCTTTTGCCTTTATGTCCCATGCAGACTTTTCCGTCAACATTCTCATTCTGACAGACAGCAGCTTCAGGGAACATGGCAGAAACTGTGTCTTATTAATCCACATAATGTGCACATCAAGTAGTACTCGAATATCACAAGTGTTCAGAGAACGCTGAACCAATGAATGCAGTGAGCAAAAGCTATTTCAGGAGCACACTCCCTGCAGCCCTACTGGACAAGCCCACACCCTTTAAATCCATTACTTGTTGCTGACATAGAGGGCAGCCAGCTGATGGACCACATTCATCACCACTTCATAGCACCGCGTGACAAAACAGGACAGCTCCTGAAATGACAAGAGCAGGACAGGTCACAAAGCTGCTTCTGAAGTGTCACCATCCTTAAACTGAACTTTATGGTAACATAGCTAGTAAAAACAGAACCATTTCCATGAACTCTCCAATCGCTCAGCAGCCAGCATCAGCATCTCTCAAGGGCTCAGTACTTAGCTCCGCGAGTCCCCCGCACCCTGGAGCTGCCCGACCTCCGCTCTCCTCTGCCTCCTGCATAACTCCATGTTAAGCCCACTGTCTCGGCTGCCCACAGAGCTTCTAAGTGACAGGGACTGTCTCATTCTTTTGGAATATTCACTGTCTATCATGGTGGCTAATATTTAACTGCTTCTCAAGAGATTTATGTTCTATCATATGAACAAGCCAATGAGCATCTGAGTAAAACAGAAGCTCAGAGGCGCCAGTGTGGTAAACACGCCGAGAAGGGGCTGTCTCCAGAGCCCACTCGGAAATCACTGCATTTATGACTCACAGTTGTATTTATCAGTGGGCCCGGAGCACAGCAAGGGAAGTATAAGGCATCCCAGGGACATGTTTGTCCTTTATTTAAGTCACATCTACCCTGTCCCAGACCTTCTAGAAATTTGTTTGTAGACATTCTCAAGTTTTAAACCTACAAGAACAGTTTGTAGCTAAAATATTTCATGTCCGATTAAACCGTATCTATTCTTAAGCTTTCAGTTTTAAGAGGGCAGGAGTTTCTGTACCACCAAGAACAGTTTCAAACAGATACTAAAGGCTCACAAAACATACTCGTTCAGCCTTTAAAAATGAACTTTTTTTTTTAAAAATGGAACTTTTATACAGGTATCACTATAACCCAAAACCCACTTAAAAGTTTTTGGAAATAAAGAAGAATGAATTTTAAACACCTCTAGTTTTACATTGTTACTAAAGTTCTAGCACTTGAGTGAAATCAGAGAAAATAACAAGAAATGCAGGAAAACCAGAAAGCCCAAGGAAAAAGGCCTCAGAGGACAGAAGCAGAGCCAGCCACTCAGACGGACACTGCCGGGCGGTTTACAGCAGCACAGCAGCAGACTGCAGACACAGCTGCCTGTAGCTGGCCAGCAGGGACACATTCGGGGACCCTGCAGCAGATTCAGCGGCACGGCTATCACAGAGGACACCAACACCAACCAGGACGGCGACACCGCAGGACCACGAGCCCACGGGACGCTGGTCGTGAGTGTGCCTTGCTGACCAACACACGACTGCACAGCACATGGCTCTCCATGCAGCTTTAAAGAAATGCCAACCAAAACATGATAATGAAGGTTTAATGAAGAATGATAAATCAGGAAAATACCAACTTACTCAGGTACACCAGGAGTTCCACCATCAGACAGACTCCATTAGCATCGCTATAGCTAACTGCTAAATAGAGGACCTCAGCCCAAATGTTTCAAACCAGGGTTTCAAATTTCATATTTTGGATTTGGAAATATTTGCATATACATAATGAGATAATCTGGGCAAAGAACCAAGTGGAAATGTGAAATTCATTTATGTTCATGTACAACTTTTTGGGCAGGTTTATGCAGTTTTTATTCATTTCAGGAGTGAAATTCTCCACTTGTGATGTTAAGATAGACAGCTAAGCTCGGGAGAAACATTACATGCAGTCAGACAGGGTTCAGTCCTCAAGGCAGTCAGCGCAGAGGACAAGAACACAGCACAGTGTGGCAGGAGGTGCCTCCACACCGTCGAAGGCACGCCTCAGGACAGAGATGGGCTGACGGGGTACTTGCCCCCCAAGGGATAAGCGGAAACTTAAGACTGTACTATAATTGGTACTACCTGGTCCAACAAAGTCAAAAGATCAGCTACCCTGGTGGGCGACCAGAACCTTGGACCCTGCCCTTCCTAAGAGCGCCTTTGCTCCTCTGCATGACCTGCATCCCTACTGCAGCAGTGTTAGCTGAGCAGCTACACGGGTGACCTTGTTAGCTGGCCACAGCTGGAAGCACCTTGTACCCACCTTGTGATTTTGTACCCACCTCAGGATTTGGCTTTATACCACATTTTCAGAGAAGTGGGCTTCATGGCAAACCACTTTCCTGGCCCTCTTGTCTCTCAGGAGTTATCCCTCACTAAATTTTTCCTACTCTTAACGTTTGTTTTTCCTTAGAATTCATTCTCTGACTTCAGGGAACATAAAACTCAGCAAATCCAACATCTGACAGATTGGGAGTTACACTTTCCCCTATATCAATGTCATGTTGGTAAAGGATTCAGATTCTGAAGCAGTTCAGTTTCGGATTTTTGGATTGGTACTTCTCCACCTTGATACACATTATAGATTTTAATATACTATACACGTGACTATCACAGCTCACGAGTCACTATATAAAAATCCTTAGCAATCCTAAACTTGCATGCACTGAATGAAGCACTATCAGAGAAGGAAATGAGGAAACTGACCCACTCCCTGGAATGAGAGCCTGCACACCACCGGACCTGGATGCCATCCTGGCCAGCAGGCTTCGCACTCAGCGCTGTCCACAGGAGCAGGGAAAGGACTCCCTTCCAGGTTTTCGGCCTTGAGGAAGCGCATGGAGGAGGAGCAGTTCACCTGGGCAAGGGCTGCTTGCAAACGCACCACTCAGAAGCTCACCTCCCACCACCGCCCTCGGGTGCGCCCTGGGGTGTGCCCTGGGGTGTGGGAACACCAGCAGGGCTGCCCCTCCCGCCAAGCTGACCACTTCTGCTCTGGTTCTCTGGATCATCTCACTATTCTGTTCTTTCCACCCTCCAACTCCTATGTAACCAACTCTCCACACTACTTCCCTCCTTTAAAACTCAATCAGTACCACTGCACGGATGTGAGGTGCCTCACACGCTACGGGTCAGGTGCAGACAACAGAAAGGTTACCACAGCGCAGAACACTGTGGGTATCCCCTCATACAGGTTCTTTTTGCTTCCGTAACAAAAGCAGTAAAACCTGCTCATCTGACATGAATCCCATATACAAGATGATTTTACACCACCCCTTACACTCACGCTCCCCATGAGGTCTCAGAGCTGTTTTACACGTCGGCCACTTTGTATCTTCTGACCTACTGCTTCTGAAATGCCCTGTGTAACTGGTTTTTTAGACAGGACCCTGAATAACACATGCCATATTATCAATAAAATGCTCTTGACTAGGTCAAACAGACCTCCCCAAGACAGCCCTGAAGACATAAAAGATTAGAGCAATATGTGAGCATGCTTCACCTGATGAAATAAATCAAATCTTGCATCCAATAAATATAAGGGAGGGATACTACAGGTATTTTTTCCCTTGTCTCCAGTTTTTGCTTCTTCACACTGTATACTGATTGTCATAAGGAGAAAAGGGAGGAAACAGAAGCTGTATCATGCTTTTTAGTAAGCCAAAGACCTGAAAAGAGTAAACCTTTTCAATAATGCAAAGCAAATCTACATGGTAAAGCATTTTTTTAAATTTTTGGGCCAGGCTGAAAAATTCTAGGACTAACTCTGTAAAGAGGAAGAACTGTGCCAGCGGGTGGGGACAGCAGTGGGATGTCACACTGCAAGCAGTAATAATGCATAGGGTCTAAGTTTGGGACTTGCCCCTTTAGCTCAGGAAGGAGCCCCTCGAGTCCACGGCTCTGTTCCAGCCGCCTGGTCCCCACTCAGCATGGTGGCAGAGCATCTATCACATGAGCAACAGCGCAAGGAAACAATGAGGCTGAAGTGTCACAAAGTAGCTTTCGAAAGGTTAGAGGCATGTGATCGCCAGTACTGTGTGTCACAGAAATGTCAGGAATGATGCATTTTAATGGGTTTAGGTGAGCTGGTGTGCAGAGGGTCTTTTTTCCTTATCTGATTCGTACTGTTAATGTTCAAAGAATAAAAACGGTTAGTTTACAGTTTAGATTCTGATACCAAAATCTGTTTTTTCAACCATAATTTGCACAAGACAAGCATCCTAGAAAGTCCTAGACTACACTTTTGAATTCTCTAATTTATAGGTTTTTTTAATGTTTTAATATTTTTGTGAACTGGTGTAAATTGTTAACGCATATAAGCTTGTGTGTTTTTGTAAACAGTTTGGTGACTAATTTCTTGGCCCATACATAAATATTTAGAGCCTCATTTCTTCCAATTTATCTGAAGCCAAGTTGGGAGTTGTGGGTTTTGCTTCTCTGTTTGAATGGAGCATGGTGGGAAAGGGATTTGTACTTGGAGAAATCTCGTCGTTTGATGCAAATGTCCCAATGAACACAACTCGAGACAGAACTATTTCAGGTTAAAACAAAACAAAAGAAAAACCCATTTCTGCTAGAAACATAAAGTCACGCTGCTTTTCACAACCTCCTCACCACCCAGCAACTGCTCGATTCCACTTACAACTCTTGTGATGGCTCTTTTCCTACTGCTGCACAGTTTCAGTCCTTTTATAAACGGCACGGTGACATGAATTAAATTACACGGACAAACTTGTTTTGATCCTTATTGTCCGCAAATGCCAGGAAGGTACCATCTCTCAGGAAGTACCATCTTCTAAGCAAGCACGCAATGACAACTAAGTGCTCTGTGCTCAGAGTACACAGCCTTAGCCTTCCAAGTTTTAAAATGTTTAAATTACGTGTTACCTTACCCAAGCTTTTAAAAGACAAAAGTACAACAGAAAGTAAGAGTCAGTTACCTGTAAAAACGATATAAATCTCCCCATCTGAATTTGGCAATCACCTTCCACCATGCTGGAATCTGTCGCTTTAAAAAGCAACATTAAAAAATGCATTTCAATTTTTAAATTTAAACTCAACACCAAAAAGCAAGCAATTTTTTAAAATAGACACCTTTTAATATTCAGAGTCCTGAGAACACAGAATTATTTACACCCAAGAGGAAAATGAGACAATCATTAATCACTCCAGGGAAATCTGCATCTTGTTACATATATCACTGGTGAAAATATGAAAAAGAATTGTTTGCTTCTGCTTCACTAGTTTGCCACTAATTTAACCAAACTCACAAAAACGCAAATTCTTATTTCCTTGAAGTACATTACCTGATCATGCCATTCCTGTAACTATCTGAACTTTTTGTTCATTTCAGTTTGACTTCATGACAATTTAACAATTTTGAAACTTACCTCCTTCTCCATAAAACAGAAGACCGTTATAAAACTTAGTTTCAGCCTGTTTAAAAAAATTAAAATAATTTTTAATTTTGTTTTCTTTGTGAATTCTCTGACTCTCTCAGTTCTCTGTATTAGTAACAGTGGACTAAATCACCTATACACGAAGTTAAATTGCAAACACTGCTTGTAAGTAAATTCAGCTTACCGAGAGCAAGGAAGACATCCCTAATACTCAAAGCACGTCCTGACTCCTTTGTCTCATCTTTGTCTTACCCACCCTGTCCACATCCTCCTGTCAATTCCTAGGGGGCAGCCACAGAGTGTGCAAGAACAGGAAAAGAGACGCTTATCAACTTCTACCGGAGCAAGTGTTAGCAGCTCAGTAAGGAAACACAAGACTGATCGCGTAAGTTCAAAGCGTCCTTAACAAGATCGGTTCCGTCTAGTGAGAACATGTACCCAAGGCAAGCACAGCAATGCCGAGGGACGCAGAGCCGGACTTCAACTGGGACTGCCAGGAAACTACTGGCCGGCAGCATCTTCTCAGGGCCTGCTTCTCCACCCACCCTCCGCCCCTGCTGCTGCTGGGTTAACTCAGTGCCTGGGAGGACTAGGATTAGCCTGACTATTCGTAGCAGCATTAGCACTGCCATTCAACAGTCAACACTCACTGCACACTAGACACATACACGTATGTATCTCTCTTTAAATGACCTGCTGTTAAAGTTGTAGAAAAGAGTATTAAGAATTACCTCATATTTTAACTTCTTGATTTCACAACAAAGTGCAGCGTAAACAGTAATGACTTTGTTTAAGACCTAGTTTCATGAGCGAACAGATAAAACAGAAAAAAGTAAAAACCAAATAGCAAAAGCATTGCTTAAAATGCATATTTAGGTTTAGGATTTTGTACCTTGTTCTCAGTCTTTATCAGTTCCAACAGGGAAGACTGTTCAAAAGGCAAAAGCTATAGAAACAAAGAAAAAGCACATCTGAATTTGAAAAATCACTAAACTTTTAAATACACAAATTGAGCCCAGCTAAAATTTTTGTCCACTTGTCTTCTAAGTCCACCTCATTTCCCCATCTTCATAAGAGCATCTACACAGGACACTTTACAGTAAACCTGAGATCCCTCTTTTGGTGACAAACTAACAATTAAGTGCTTTATGTAGGCAACTTACAAATTGTCTCATTCAGGTGTACTTCTGTTTAGAGACTCTGTGTTTATGACTCTCTCAACCATATAAGCAATGAACCATCACACTAAAACATAAAATAGTAGCCCAATAATGGAATTAAAAAGAAGTTCCGCAGGCAATTGGGGAAGATGCCGATATGGGTCCACATGATGCAATCCAAGCAGTCAGAAGTCATCCACAGGGGAAGGTGAAAACTAAGACAATTCCAGCCCTTCGTAACACCTGAGTTTAACAACAACAACCCCGAGACAAACAAACAGATTTTCATGATCATAACTGGAAGAGGCTCTTACGGCCAAAATCTTTAAAAAATATCAGCAAATGAAAGTGACAAATCGGTAAAGCTCATCATCCCTAGAGACAATGTAGGTTGAGGACTACACTCTCCGAGGGAAGTTCTGTAACTCACACATGACAACACTCAAGAACAGCAGAAAACACTAAATTTGGGTGCAAAAGAATTTTTAAAGGAGGAACAGCCTACCCAGCCTGCAAGACAAAAAAGTCAAAACAGGGGCTGGGGATTTAGCTCAGCGGCATAAGCACCTCCCTTGCAAGCAGGTGGTTGTGAGTTCGATCCCTGGTACCGAATAAAAAAAAAAATTCAAAACTAACTTAGACTTACATGTACACAAACCATCAGTATCATGGGTAGGAACAGGCTCAGGAGCTGGCCTGCGAGACTCGCCACCTAGCCAGGTATGTCCCTTCACGTACGTAAATAAGTTGCTTAACTTCCAGACACCTCAGTTCTCATTTGCAAAGGGAGATACTGTATTTACATAATAGAGTGCTGCAGAATTTAAAAGTTAATCAACTGTCCAACAACGTAATTATGAAAAGCCAAATTTAAAAACAGGCAAAGGCATGTGCTACAGTTTCTGCTATTTGAGAAGCTGAAGCAGAAAAATTGCTTGAGTCTAGGAGTTTAGATCCAGCTTGGGCAACATGGCAACACCATGTCCAAAAAAAACCTAACCAACCAACCAATCAAACAAACAAACAAAACAAAAACCAGGGTAAAAATATCAGCATAACATTTCTCCAAAAATATACAAATGACCATAAGCCTATGAAAACATGCTAACCTCATCATCATCCAAGAAACGCAAACCAAACCATGAGATGACTGTTTAACACCCACTAAGATGGCCCTAATTAGATCCTAGAGCCACACCTGTGATCCCCACATATGGGGAGCTGAGGCAGGAGGATCCCACGAATTCAAGGCCAGCCTGAACTACAGTGAGACACTGTCTCAAAAAAAGAAAAATATGTACATATGAAAGACAGTAAGGAGTGCGGAGAATGATGTGGAGAAACTGGACTCTTCATCTGCTGGTAGAAACGTAACCGGTACAGCTGCACTGCGACATCTGGCAGAGGCTCATGAAGTCATACACAGCTACCACAGGACCCACCAACACGCCTCTAAGAGAAATGAAATGAAAACGTATCTACACAAAAACAGATACACAAATGCTCACTGCAACGTTATTCCTAAGAGCCCAAAGAGGAACACACTCCACGGCCCAACTGATAAATGCGTATTGACATGGTAAAGCATTCCACACAATGGAGTATCATTCAGTAATAAAAGGAAGTACTAACTACGAACCACATGGGTGAGCTGAGCACACCTGCTACGTGAAAGCAGCCAGGCACAAAGGACCACATGTGGAATGGCGCTGCTTATATAAAACATTCAAAAGAGACACCCATACAGCTGCAAAGGTAAACTAAACTGATCTGTGATTGTCTAGGTCTGGGGGCGTTGGTGTGACATGGGGGACGGAGATGACCACTAATGATTTCTTTCTAGGGTGGTAAAAACAATCTAAAATCTCTAAAGTAGTACTGACTGCACAATTCTGTGAACACACTAAAAACCACCACTGCACAATTTAATGACAGATTATATGACATGTGAACTACACATAAAGAAAGCTGTCACAGGACCAGGGTATAGCTCAGTGGCACAAGTGCCTGCCAAGCAAGCATCAGGTTGTGAGTTCAATCCCTGATACCACCAAACAAAAAAACATAGAAAGCTGTCATTAAAAAAAAAATATGTGATTTAGGGTAGTATGTAGTACCTAGATTTCACAAACAAAGCTGTGCATTTACTGTATGCAAAATAACCACAATAAGAAGCAACAAACAGCCTCAATATTCTACCCAACCCTCTTTACTCTCTTGATAAGGAAAAAAGGGCTAATGCAAAATACCAATTATCTGACACTAAAGCCTTTAAGTGTGCACCATGCTTTCAAAAATTAAATTTTAAAAACACTTCAAGGCTTAGAGAAAAGGAAATAGCAATTTTTCAAAGTTTCTTTCCACTGTCAGATTTCAAATAAAAATATTTTGTTTCTTAAAAGGACATTGTCAGGACATGGTATGCTTTAAAAATTACCATAATAATAAAAAAACCAAATCAAACCTTTAACGCTATAGGGTCCAGATTGAAATCCCAAACATCTCCGATTGACTCATCCAGGGCATCCTCGATTCTTCTCAGTTGTGATGTATAATCCTCAAGAAATTTCCCATAATTCTTAAGCTGGACTTCAGCATGAATTTCTAAATTTAAATTTTAAAACAGCATAAGTAAAAGTAATAAATTACAGAACAAGTCCTTCAAATAACTTCACAAGTCACAGCGAAGCAGTGTTAATCATTACTTCGGGATGTCTAAACTTCTTGAAAATAGTTCCAAACTTAAAAACTCATCTAGCTTTTAACGTTTCCCAAATAGTTAAAACAATTTTAAAAGCAGCAGGCAACCTGTTCGCCCCATAATCTAGGGCTTCTTATCTGTCTGAACATCCTGAACCAGATACAAAAGTCTATGTCATCACAGAATATTTTTAAAATATGGCTTAAAATATTAATTCTACATCCAGTAAGCTGTTCCAAAATGCACCTACATTTTGCTTCCCCTCCCCTCTTTGGCACTAGGGAGACTGAACCTAACACCTCTGCACTAAAGTTACACCCTCAGCCCACTGTATTTTGTCTGAGACAAGATCTAAATTGCCCAGGCTGAAGATGAACTTGGAAACCCTCTTGCCTCTGCCTCGTAGAGGGGTGAGATTACAGGGATATGCCATCATGCCTGGCTTCTAAGCATTTTTAAATAAAAGGTTTGGACCCGCTGTAACATCATGGCTTTCACTCCTGTAATGAATACAATCTACAAGATAGCTCACTGGCTTAATTATTTAGCTACCATAATTGAGTAGCAAAGGCTGATAAAGAAGGCTAACACTAGAACACTATGCTATTTGCAGATTGTACACATAATAGGTGAATTTCAGCTTAGTCACTGGAGTAAAGTGAACAAAAAAGTGCCCATTCATCAACATTAATGAGACCAATATTTCATCTTATACAGAAGAACCCATTACTTACTCCCAAAGGCAGCAAATTAACTCAGTTTCTTTCACTGACCTGCATAACTTTTTTTCTTTTTTTAAGAAGACACTGAAACCCAAAATGCGTAAATTTTGTTGTAAAAAAAAGTGCTCTAAAGGATACAACTGCAAGTATGTTTAGGTGTGTTAAGATAGATGACCATATTACTGAGTTTTTGTTGGATCACTGAACACAACTGTTTGCAGTCTCACTGTTTGAATGTCCACTTTGTATGCTTTAATCCTGTAACTTGAACAACTATTTCTAAGATGACAATATGTAATCTATTAACTAGTGATTTCTTACCGGTTTTTTTTTTTTTTGTAATTCTGTATTACTTGTACCCTTATACTCTTTTTTTTTCCTTTAAATAAAAAAAAGAAGACGTTGAATAAAATATCGCTTTAAGTTAGCAACACAAAGCCAGGAAGCCTAAGGGAGGCAGTCTAAAGAGCTGCTCATGCTCTGAATCTGGTGTTATCAACTTAGTTCACCAGGGTTCCTATCTTGCTACAGCATTAACCTGGGCGATTCCGGAGAAGCAATTAGTCTAGGTACGATCCACGGTCCAAAAATAAATGAAAACCAGCCACAGAAGAAACAATCCTCTTTCCTACTGCTAACAATTTTCTAAGTCTCGGAACCCCAAGTTGATGTCAAATTCTGTTAAACGACAAATGACCTGAGAGCACTTCATTTGACCAGAAAACGAGCTCTTAAACAGTGCAAGAAAAATACGCCAAAGAATCGCTCCTCGGTCTCTCTGGGGATTCACAAGGTCACCCTTTACAACACCTGGGGTAACACTAACTTCCTCGCTAAGTTAACGAGCAGCCATAAACTGATAAAAGTGCAGACGGGGTAGAAACAACACCTTTACTCTGACAATTCCAAAGACCGAACAAGCTCATCTCTTCCATCAGATTCATTCCTTATCTTTCTTTTCCGAACAGCCTGGAGAGTAGAAATGGCCATTGAGTGAATCAGGTCCTCCTACTGCCAGGTCGACTATTTTCAAACCCAATCATGTAATGTTCCAAAAGATACTAACCCGGGCAATTTTTCCTATAAAACATCAGACCAGACAACCCACAGCTCACAACGCCCCCCCACACACACACAAATGCCATCTTCTCCAAGGTGTTCTTCTGAGATGCTGCATAAGAGCTAGAAATTTAGGGAATGCAACTTGTAAACTGCAAACCATCCAGGAGGTAGATAACCTTTCTTTGAAAGGGGACTAAAACCTAGTAATACCTGACTTAGCAGACACTAGTCTGTCTTTGTAAAATAAATCAAGACCCTGCTAAGATTTTTTTTAATGGCATCCCACCTTTTGGTAAAAATAACACTTAAAAAATCCACAAACACCATAATCCAATATCTGTCTCTCATACTGAACACTATCACAAAAGATAATCTACAGACTGCCGCCGGGCATTCAACCTGTATTTAACCAAGAGGATTCGTTTTGCCTCTACATTTTGTTGGGGAAACCCGCATTCCGTTTTTAGCTGGCTTTCTCGAAGCAAACTCGGCGGCGGCGCCGCTGTCAGCTCCGAAACCGCGGGGGCCAGCTGCAGCCGCCGGCGGGGCGTTGTTCACTGTCCTTTTTCCTCCGTGCAGAGCTGTTTTCTAGCCACTTTCTCCGGCTGTAAGAACGTGCACAGCAACTTCCGAAAGTTGATTTGAAAGAAAAGGAAGAAAAACAGGAAATCGAAACAAGAACCCAGGGCTGGCTCCGGTGCAACCTGGGGTGCACAAACAGGGCCAGGACGGGGGCGGTGCTGCGGCAGGGCAGGGTAAGGCAGGGCAGAGCAGGGCTGGGCGCCCGCCTGGGCCCACCGTGCCCGAGTCCCCGCCGAGCAGCGCACGGAGCCCGGGCAAAGGCGGACGCCCCGGGTCCACGTCGCGCCCGCGCGCCCGTCCACTCGAGCCGCCGGAAGCGCCAGGACGAACCGCAGCGAACCGAGACACCCCGGCGTACCCCTGACTCCCCCTTACTCTGCGAGCCGTCATCCACGCGGTCGAACTCCCAGTCCGGAGTCAGGGTCTCCACCGCCATCACCCCGGGACCTCCCACAGCCGCAAACCACACCTGCCGGGGAGCAACGCAGGCCTCGCCCCGCGGGTATCCGGCGCGTGACTTCCGGTCCAGGCCCCGCCCCCGCGCTGCGGGCGGGCGCATGGGCTGCCGGGAAAACGAGTCTTCCGGCCGGCGCCAGATGCGCTCGCCGCGGCAGCGGCGGACTCAGCGCGCCCTTAGATTTTGCGGCTGCTTTGCCTTGCTTGGCTGAGCGTGTCACGCTGCGCAGCGCTTTCCACTCCGCCTTGTGTCTCTGATGGGTTTGTGCCGTACGAAATTCGCCGAGTCTTAGTGGCGGTGGTCCAACGTAGCGAATCAGCCAAAAAATAGCAGCCTATAAACATCATCTTTCTTCTCCCCTCAGCCCAAAGTAAACTTCCTGTTTCTTTTCCCGCGCGCGGGAGGCTCCTCCAATCGGCTGCTGCTACGTCATCTGGCCCGCCTCCCAACTCCTCTGCCGCGCAACCTAAAACCATCCCATGCAGCCTTGGTTCCACTCTGAGGCAGCCTGCACTCTGCTGCAGCTCTTGTGCGCCTGCAGTAAAGGCCGCTTTCTCTCTCTCTGTTTCTCAACTGCACCGAAAAGCCTAACATTTCCGGTGCCATTAATCAGATAGGCGGGGTGATAGCTCCTGGGGGTCCCCCGGTTTGAGCTCCCCCTGCCCACAGCCGCGCCGTTTCGCTCTCCCTCTGCTGCGCCGATCCAAGCCGCCATCCAGCACCGCCGCCCCTCCGGTTCTCACAGGTGAGCCACCTCTCGCGCCGGGTTTTTGCTCTTGAAGTCGTGGGGATCCGGTCGGGATTGCCCTCACTTCGTGGCCACCCCCCCACTGTAAGACCAGTGTCGCGATGGAGACTCCAAGAACTCAGCTCTCATGTAAGAACAAAGGGGTTTTTATTATTCCGTGCGCACGGGGTCCCCCAAACAGGTGGGAACGGAGAACCCCGCACTCGAGCAGGGCTGTGTCTTTTAAAGCCTAAACCGCAAAGCAGCCAAGTGTTGTTACAGAAGCCAATCATAGCGATTAGAGCTGGGTTGATTGTGAGCTGTCCTTAAGAGATTGGGTTTCTTTGTGGGGCAAGGGAGGTGTTTTCCCAGAGGGGGTGGCACTTTTTAGGAACGGGCATTTGTCCCGTGACTGAGAAAAACAGCCTGTTTACCTCAAATGGCCCGGAAACACTGGGTCTTGTGGCGGTAGAGCTGCACAAGGCCTCTTGAATAGAAAAGTCTAACAGCAATTAACACCCTTAATTGCCTTACTTTAGCACCACAACCATCCTATTTGTAGAGGGCAACAATGGTTAACATATCAATTAGGTAAGATTTTATAATTCTTTACAGAGGAGAACATTGATTAACATATCAATTAGGTATCTCAGGCCTTTGTTTTATGGCCCTTAGGAAGTTAAAACTTAACCTAGTTAGATTTGCAGGGAGAAGGGGAAGGGAAGCAGCAGATGCAAGAGCTTTCTTGGTCTCTTTATTCCCTACTTTTCTTGTAGGTGGCCTCTAATCCTAGAGGTCAGTTGTAGCTAGGGGTTCATATTGTTGACGCATGACCATTATTTTGACCTGAGAAACTTGTCTCCTTATGAATTGGGTAATCCGGGCAGGGGGCAATGGCTAAGATTAGGATCAAAGTCACTAATGGTCCTACCAGTGGAAGGAGATAGGGGAGAGTTCTGTTCCACATTTTCCAAAGGGGACTTTCTAACAATTCTTTTCTTCTTTTTGCTAAATCTTCTTGTAGTTTGTGGATCTTATCTCTTACTATACCTGACTTGTTTGTATAAAAACAACATTTCTCCTGTAAGGCTAAGCAGATGCCTCCTTGATCTGCTGTGAGGAGATCGAGTCCCCTTCTGTTCTGAAGGACTACTTAAGCTAATGAATCAATTTGGTCTTGGATGTCTTGAAGGGTGCCAGAGATGGATTGCATGTCATCAATTAGCTTGTTGGAAAGCTTGGTATTAGGTATCGGCAGCCATAGCTAGGCCGGCCGTGCCGGTACTCACTCCGGCGGATATGCCAAGACCTATTAGCAGGGGGATAAACTGTAGTGCCCTCTTGGGGCGGTTTATAAAATAATCTAGCATGGGAACAGGTATGGGTTGATCTCCAGGCACAATTTCTATATCAGGCAGTACTGTAGCCATGGTGCATACTCCCGTCCAATTTTGGGGCAGAAAGACATGGGCCTTGTTGCCACAAACAAAAACATGTCCGGGGAGAGGACAAAGTAGTGAATCTTGGTTATTGTTATGGTTGAATACAGTCTCACACGTGGCAAACGATATTCCCCCTAGATCCAGGTCATAACTATTGTTTTGGGCGGGTCCAACCCAACAAGCAGTCATATTGAACCCTACGGGTTGCACTTTAAAAGGAAGGCTCATGAGGGTGCAGCTTTGGTGTTTCTCAGGATGAGAGGCATTGGGGGAAGGTAGAGCCAGCGGTATGGGTGTCCCAAAGGTCATGCATAACCAGCAGTCTTTAGCTAACTCTGGGTTAGTAACATTTAAGGCCTGGTGAGTAGTCGTCAGTATGTCTGTAGTTTGGACATCAAGATCTATTCCTCTCGGCTTTGGGAAGCAGGAGAGGATGGTAGTTGACCTCTGGGTAATTTATCATCTTTGTATCTTAGCGTCTGTTTCTATTCTTCTAATTGTATCTTGAGGGCCTCCACCATCAGTGATATGAATGGGAGCTTTTTTAAACCAGCATACCGGTGAGCCAATCTTTCCAACACATGGGGCCTGAGATAACTTATAATTTCCGGTAACAACTGAATTGGTGCTCCCATCTCCTCCTATAGTCCCTGTGGAAGTCTGAGTTAGAATGGCAGTAACATAGATTGTTTGGTTTGGGCCCATACATTCTGAGTAGGATGATGAATAGCAAGTGGCATGTACTGCCTCAGAATAAGTCCCGCAGGGACATGTTTTTATTTGGGATCTGCTGTTAAGGTTAGGTTTAGGTTTGAGATAGCATGTCCATCCCAGGAGTCCAGGGATGGACTCTTTATAGGCCACTTTGTCTTCGCAATCTATGGAATATCCTGTGGTCCTGGTTGAGCTTATAACGACTCCTGTCTTACAATTGCAGGGGTTTCCCAAGACACTTTTTATGATGGTGGTTTTGTCAGGAGGTGGCCCAAATCCCCCTTTTCCATGAGGCAGCATAAGCAGGCCACTCAAAATTCAGTATATAACCCTTATGTTTTGACTAAGCATCATAGACAGTCAAGCTAATTAATCCAAGAAATAACAGAGTATAACATACCTTAAAGGCCAGATTAACATCTGGAGGAGCGACTTCCCATAAAGCCACAGCAAACATGCATGTCTAGATGGACAATAGAATGAGGAACCATACAGGGTAGCAGAGCATATCAGGGGCCAGTAGGGCAAGCGCAGCGCAGCTTTACTTTTAGAGGATTGCCAGTCTGTTTTAATGTCCAGTTGTCCTCTGATGGAGGGGCAGGCTTTAGATGCGACGCATGGATCCAGGAAGCAACACCATCAACCTTGACTGCAGTGGGGGTGGTCAGCAGTACTTGATAGGGTCCTTTCCAGCGAGGCTGTAAAGTTTCAGCTTGATGGCAGCAGACCAGCACAAAATCCCCTACTTGGAGATTCATCGGGGGCATAAACCGATGACAGCTACTTCCAGAGGATCTTTTGTAGGCGATCGAGGGCGACAAGCCTATCAGACAGAAAAGTAGGTAATACTGCCGAATCATTTACTCGGGGAGACAGATCTCGGATAGGAGGAGGAGTGCCAAAGAGGACCTCAAAGGTTTGAGTTAGATTAGGGGGCATAGCCGAGGGAGTGTTTAGAGCACAGAAAAGGGCGTAGGGCAGGAGCATTGTCCAATCTTTTAAGCCAGTCTCAAAAACTAATTTAGTTAAGGTCTGCTTAATTGCTCTATTCATTCTTTCTACCTGTCCTGAGCTCTGGGGCCTATAAGCACAATGTAACTTCCAATCAATCCCCAGTATGTTGGCCAGCCCCTGACTTACCTTAGCCACAAACGCCGGCCCATTATCTGACCCAATCACCTTGGGTAGTCCGAAGTGAGGGAAGATTTCTTCCATCAGTTTTTTAGTAACTGTGGTGGCTGTCTCTTTTTTAGTGGGGTAGGCTTCGGTCCATCCGGAAAAAGTATCAACAAACACAAGCAAATATCTATATCCGTACTTGGTGGGCCTGATCTCAGTGAAGTCAACTTCCCAATATTGTCCGGGCATCGTGCCCCGTAATCTTTTTCCCGGAGCTAACTTAGTGGGGTGGGCATTAGTTAACTGGTATGCCTTGCGGTTAGCCACTACTTGAGTGGCGATTTTATGAATACTCAAGGGACTTATCCCCGGGTAGTTCTGGTGTTGAGCCAACAAGCACAGTTTTTTAGTCCCCAAGTGAGTAAGATGATGGGCCTGTTGAAGGTAAGTGGCCAAGTCAGGTTCATCGGGTTGTTTATCTGGTTGAACTTTTTTTTGAGGGAGAGTATTGAGTGCCAAAATTTGTGTGTCGCCCATGGCGGCTGATTTTGCAGCTTGATCAGCTAGATTATTTCCTTTTGTAATTGGGTCTGTCCCCCTTTGATGGCTGTTACAATGTATTATGGCCACTTTTTGTGGTAACATAACTGCATCTAGCAATTGGAGGATTTCTTGTCTATGTTTTATTTCCTTTCCTGCAGAGGTTAAAAGCCCCCACTGTTGATATATGGCCCCATGGATGTGGGCCGTTGCAAAAGCATATCGACTGTCCGTATAGATGTTCACCCGTTTTCCATTGGTGAGCTCTAAGGCCTTGGTGAGGGCTATCAGCTCGGCCCTCTGGGCTGAGGAGCCCTCTGTGAGTCCGGGTGCCCAAATTACTTTAGAGCAGTTGGTCACCTTGTAGGAGGAAGCTACTTCCATCAGTGAAGTATGTCAACTCAGCATATGGCAATGGTTGGTCTGTCAAATCTGATCAGACTCCGGTTTCCTCAGCTAGGATATCTTGGCAGGTGTGTAATACTGGTTCTGAGGTTTCTTCTGGCAGCAGAGTTGCGGGGTTGAGAGCTGCTGGGGCCCAAAAGCTATCCTGTCTTTGTTTAGCAAAAGGCTTTGATAATGAGTGATTCGGGCATTGGAGAGCCACCTGTCAGGGGGCTGACAGATAACACTCTCGCGGGTGTGTGGGGCAATGATAGTTAACTTTTGGCCCAAAGTTAATTTATCTGCATGCTTAGTGAGCAAGGCTGCTGCTGCAATAGCCTTTAGGCATGGTGGCCACCCACTTGCCACCACGTCCAGTCTCTTTGAGAGGTAGGCCACTGGTCGCTTCCATGGCCCAAAAGTCTAGGTTAATACTCCTCGGGCTACTCCCTTTTTCTGCTCTATGAAGAGGGTAAAGGGCTTATCTATGTTGGGAAGGGCCAGGGCTGGAGCTGACAAGAGAGCTCATTTGATGGCATCAAAGGCTTGTTGGTGACTCTTCCCATGTGAAAGGAGAATTCCCTTTTAGGAGTGGATATAGGGGGGCTGCCAGAGATGCAAAACCCGGAATCCACAGTCGACAGAACCCAGCAGTTCCAAGTAACTCACGTAACTGCTTTTGGGTCTTGGGTGGGGGAATCTGAGTCACTGTGTGTTTGCGTGCCTCAGTGAGCCACCTTTTACCTCCCTTTAGGGTGTAGCCCAGAAAGATTACCTCTTTTTTACAGATTTGGGCCTTTTTAGCCAATGCTCGATATC